ACCCCTTTTTCATTGTTATATTTTTTTTTACAAAAATTAAAACTTATACCCCCACCCCCTTTTTTTTTTTCCCCACTATTGTTTTTTTCTGGTTTCCCCCCCCCCCCCCCCCTCCATCTTAAAACACATGAGTGCGATAAATCGAAGCGGAAGAGGAGCTAAGAGATTATAGATGGAAGAATAGATATTACCAAGGCATACGTCTAGGTAGTTGTCATCATGTATATCAAGACCAACAATGATTCTCTGCATGGGCATATTCTGAAAGTGAAGAAGGCAGAAAGCAAAGAATACTCCTATGAAAAGACGAACGTGGCTCACGTCCCGTCTCTCCTGAATAAGAATAGATGGGACTGTAGACTGATCTACTCAGTAATTATCATATCCCACAAGCCAAAGAAGATCTTTCAAGGTCAAGCTCCTCGACCAGTGGCCCATATGAAGTCAGATTAGCATCCAGATAAACAGCAAATATACATCTACATCTACACTCAGTGTCCGCGTACACCAAACCCATGGAAAAGCAGCACCATAGTACCCAAACTCTACAACACTGTACGATGTCTACGCACACAGATCTCTTCAAGCTTCGCCACCACTTCATTTGTCTACCTCAGTATTACGTAGAGTGTAGTATCGTAGATAAATCATTCCCTCGGATGAATCGTTCATGAAATCATGCAGATACGCAGTATCACATTTCCCTTCTTTTTCCAACCAAGTCCACTCATTGACAGAATATTATCCGAGATAGAGATGAGAGAAGACAAACTATCAAGTAACCAAGGGCGAAAATCATTCGTCACGGACAACAAGTTATGTCACTTGTACGTAGATAATCAGCATACGAGCATCATCATCATCATCAACATTCATTCCCCTATCTACCTACATACCTATCTATCTATCTATCTATCCACCAACCCAAACGAATCCACGAACAGGTTCACCATCGCCCTCATTAGTCTCCACGTAATCTCACAACGCACGACCCATCGCAACCAGTATACTTACCTCCCGTTCGCAGAACTCACAGCTCGGCTCTCTTGTCCGAGCCAGCCCACTGAAAGAATCACCACGGCACGAAGGAAAGCAAACAAACAACAAACAAACCAACCAACCACAATAAATCCATCACATCACGCCACACACAAAAAGTAACCATGGGAGAGAGAAAATAACAATAATACTAAATTCTGAACATGGCGTCATCCTAATTTCCCATGGGACCAGGGCATCCATCCACGGTAAGACACGGGACTGCATCGTGCCGTGGTGCGAGTGAGTAAGTAAGATAGGTAGGTAGGTAGGTAAGTACCTACATTACACTGCACTACGGCAGGGAAGGAAGGAAGGAAGGAAGGAAGGCAAAAGCTATGATGTGATGTGATTTAGGTACTTACAACGGACGTATTTTCGCCACAGCATAGTGGAGGATAGGTATGTACACAGTCACAGACAGACAGACAGGCAGGTAGACAAGTGGTATACGTAGGCCGTGGATAGTAGCTAGCTAGGTGATGAGAGAATTAGTTGGACAGACAGATAGGTAGCCGGATATTCAATCAGTGAATGAACGAGGAGGCGGCGAACGACTACCGCTGTCCTAAATCGCAGGCAAGAAAGTGATATAGTATGCTTAATGCTTATACCTGTGCGTGATCATCCCATACAGACATACAAAATAAGTAGAATAAGAGTAATGTAATGGAATGTATAAATGATTCATCTACTTCGTCACATCTCACTCTTCCAAGGAGGCAAGCAAGCAAGCAGCTCGTATGCCAATGTCATGGTGCTGTGCCATGCTGTGCCGTGCAGTGTCATGTTTCCACGTAACCCCTTTCCTTGTTTCTCCCGCCGAATCTCCGTCCGCACAATAAACCAGAGACACTCATAGACCAAACCGTGAAGTAAAAAAAAAAAACAAAAAACCATCGCATCCGGATTGATCGTCTCAGTACTCGCGTTTCCGATTTCCCATATCCGGCCCCCCTTAAGTCGCCGGTTGGCTTTTTTTTTTTCGGCCTTCTCCCCAACCGAACGATTGAGACCCAGGGATGATGTCGGTGCCGAATCAAGTTTTAAAACACCACATATACACGCGCTTACCAACTTTTTTTTACTTCGGATTGTACTTGTCCTTCCAAATCCTATATGTGAACGTGTCAAGTTAGCATCCAGCACTTTTCAAACACTAGTTGCTGGTCTAGCGTTAGGGGGCCCCATGTATGATGCAGGTAGGGTAGATAGAATAGGTACTTTTCCCTTCATGGGATGATGCGGTTAGGGACCAACGGTAACTCAGCTCTAGATATACTAGCTGCGCTGTTCTTGTAGCGATCAGGAAACCGGTAGCTAGGAACACCAAAAAAAGTGATGATAGCAAAGGGACTTTGATGCGCTGTAGCTTTTCGTGCACTGACGCTAGCAGCAGCTAGGTACCTAGCACTCAGGATCTGATGGGGCAGCTCTCATCAGGCACAGCGAATGAGTGCGAAGAAAGTGCACTTTTCGGTGTGAACGACGTCTTTGGTTGGCTCGATGACATCGAACTAAAAAGACAGAATCCCAACCGTAGGCTATTAAGATGGGACAAGCAACGAATGATGGAGTACAGGAGAAGGACAAGCAAGAAGGCAGGCCGCAGAATATGCGACCTCGTGGAGATGGGAAAAGACGAGAAACCACTGGGCATTGTCACTCGATGGGGCCCGAATGAAAACCGTTTAGCCCGCTGATTGGCCAATTGACGGCAAAAACCGTACATGCAGAAACGGAGAGTACAGAGGAACAGAGAAACAGGGCGAGTAGTGTTGGCGCCCGACAGCCTATCAGCAGCGATGCGTGCGAGTAATTCGAAACTGAGGCTTGTTGGTGCGTCTGCAGCTGCGCCTGTAATGCATGGGGAAGATCGCATGTGCATGAAAGCCACGCTGGGAAGCGAACTCGACAGCGAAGCCTACGAATGAGAAATGGTTGAATGTGGTATAGGGGACGGTAGAGAGTAGCATGTAGCAGGTGAAAATAAAGTGCTTGCTTGCTTACCAGGTATTTCCTAGAGTCTTGCTACCGCTCTTCTCAGCCAACCGGTAGTATTGTGCTGCTTGGAACTATGGGAATAGTAACCATCGAGTTAGCCGTGTAACGCCCTTGACGATTCCCAACAACTGATACAGAGAGGGTCTGGGGCAATGCGATGAAGAGGACCATGGGTGGCGTAGGTTCCGATTTGCCGGACCAGCAGGGAGTGAGCTCAGTAAGGGTAGTGTTCCAGTTGATGCCCAACACACGCGCGCGCAGATCCCGGCTTCACCAGCTTAGCTTGAAGCTGATGAGTTACCAAGACGGAGTGTAAAGTCCTAAAGCCAGCGAATGCCCGAACAAAGCCGAGGAGCTACATTGTTCCATCATCGGAGGCTTCTCAACAAGAATGACTCGTCATGTTTTTTTTGCATTGTTGAAGTCTGGCCAGCCAGGGGTGCCCGCTCAACAATCATCCAAGATCTGAGGTATGTGATGGGATGGATCTCTGAAGCTGTCTTCGTGCCTAATCAACATACCTTGTCCTTCTTACACCCGAAGCCCTCGAGATAGCACCAGGCAGCCTCGTTCATGGCGTCTATGCCGGATATTAGCCTACCGAGGTCGCTGTCCCCTCTTGAGTCTGTGACTCAGAAATTGCTGGCATGATGGAAGAGTTGGTGAAGTGGGTAACGAACTCACCAGTGTCTCCAAGATTCGCTGCAGTCTCGTAATACTACCAAAAGCTCATAGTTAGTCGTAGTAGAAGCAGATGATCTTGCGTTTTGATCGCCGTCAAATGAGCGGTAGAGTTTTAGTAGCTTGTGAAATTCATTCGATTTTGCCCATTGGTCATTACATGACCTTCCTATGTTATCATGATGTGGTCCCTAGATCGTGCTGGTCCTAAGATGCCGTAACATCTCCGAAAAAAGGAAGGCAAAACGAGATAACTTACCTGCTTAGCGGCTACTGGATCCTTTGCAATGCCCCAGCCGTGGCGGAAGCAGTTGGCGAGCTCGAAGATGGCGAGTACCAGTTCTCCTTTTGCTGCACCTCCTTTCTTGAGACCGGCCTTCAGGGCCATAGTTTCTACGGTTGCTGCATTTGATGCTGCTGCCGAGAGATAGGTGACGGCGCGTTTGAGATCGGGCTCGCAACCCCAGCCATGTCTACACAAATCCCAGCGTTAGCTAGGAATATGTTCTCTACAGCTCTCTTCTGCATGTCAAATACGCCTCGCTTCGTCCCTTAGGGCTCCGTAGTCTAAGATGAGTTCGACTCCTTCTTTCCCTAGATAATGCGAGCGGAGGTAATGGCTTCTTAACGCGTTTGCGTATGTGTATAAGAAGCGCCGTGTACTAACCTGAGCGCAAGTCCATACAGTACCTGACTTAGCGGGTTGTTGGCGCCGTACGGATCGGCAAGGCGCCCGAATAACTGTGTCGACCTCTCAAGATCCCCCTCCTCGTGTAACCGTATGGCTTCCTGGATATCCTGATCGATCTCCTTCGACGAGACGACACCACTCGACTTGAGCGGTGATGTGTCTGTGTTGCCACTGTCTAGACCGACGAGGTTCGCAGATGACACGGATGGCGATGCAGACACGCTACGTGATCTGCTCCTCTGGCGTTCTTCGTTGGTGCTCGCGAGGATGGTGGCCCGCTTCTCCCACTGGTGCTCTCTGGCTTCCTTGCTCTCGGTGGCTGTTGGGTCGTCGGAGGTGCTGGTGACATTGATTTGAGGGAGATCCTCAGGCACAAATTCCGACGTCTTGGGCGGGTGGCGAGACAGACCTAGACGCTGCGAAAGGCGACGGTGCTCCTTTTTGGTTGCGCTATTGTTATCGCCATCGCTATCACCCGAAGCGACGGAGAGGAGGCTGTTACCCCGCGATCGCGGACGGAACACATCGAGGCTGCGGCGCGTCTTGGATGGTGGCGACGCCGGGCCGTGCGCGCTAAGGTAGCGGTCTTTGCTCGCGGGGTGAGCTGGCGGGTAGATGATCTCATGCGTGTTTGTATCGGAGCGGATGAAGGTGAACTCAGGTCCTGCGAGTCTGTTCAGTGTCTCGGAATAGCGCCCGTCACCCTCCCCCAGCCGGTCCTTCTTCTTAACCAGATCGCGAAGCCCCATGATCGATATGTGCGTTATGTCGTACACTACCGTCTGTACACGTTAAGTCGGGAACTACTGGAACAACCTCTTGTTGATGCAAATGCACGCTCGGCGGACGATGGAAGGAACGAAATATGAGTACGAGGGCGCTCAATCCCAAACAATGCCAACATAAATGTATATCGTGCTGTCAGAATTCAATGCTATGGTGGTTTTCGCCGTCTAAAGTAGTACGATATAAGCATGTGTTCTCCCCATCGAGGGCCAAATACACTACAGCCAGTCAGCCCACAACGAGTAAGTTCAGCGGCGTATCTTGGCCCGAATGTGCGCGCTTCGAATTAGTCCTGGTGGATAACAACCCATCGGGGGTGGCTCAGCACGTATGAAAATGATTGCTTTCGGCATTTGCTGGTGCGAACTCAGCCCTTTGTTTGGGAACCTGTGACGGCGGCTGTCGACACATGGACGAGGTAGCGTCACGCCCACCAGCGAGAAGCTCACCAGGGACCTCGCCAGGGAGCAAGCAAGAGGGAGGGAGATAGCCGACCTCCTTTGTTGAAGCAAGGAATCAATCGCGCATTCGCTCCAACCCCAACGCCGACACCAACAATAATACCACCCGCCCACCTACGTGGGCGCGTTGTTCGAGGCTGAGTCCACTGGACGCGCAGTATTGGTAGGCAGTGAACTGCCCCCAACAAACAACCTAGAAATACCTGGCAACATCGCTGCAAGAGAGCAGCGCGCTCACTAATCCCTTAAGCAAGCACCTAAGTAGGTCGCTATACGTAGGTACCTCCTACCTACCCAGAGGTACCCTAGATAAGTGCTGTACTTTGTCATCAAAACATTACCAAAGTTTGAAAACTGACTTTATTTGCTATCTTGGCCATGCGCCCTATGAATACGAGCCCGTATTACTTTTCTTCGTTTCTTCGTTTCTTCTATTCTTTTTTTCTCTTTCTCGTCAGGTATTCTGTCTATTTCCGTAGTAAAGACTTTACTCTGCAGCAACCCTGCTCTCAGCTGAATTTGGGGTATCACAACCGTAACAGGAACATCATCGCGTCCAACGCCAGCCATTTATCATGGTCAACTAGAATCCCTTCGAAGCAAAACGTCATTGCATCATAACCTTGGTCTCACAATGGTACGATAGCCAAGAACATAAACGTGCTAATGAAGCAGAGAGAATGCCCAGCATTCTGCTGGCCGGCGATGCAGTGGTCGACCGACATGGTCGATACAACCGAGTGAATCTGTGAGGTCAGTAGGAACGACACAACCAAGGTGTCATGTAAAACCAATGAAATCTTTCTGCTCAGCAAAGCTGGGGTCGTAGTTGTCATGACCGATGAACTCTTCAGCCTCATCTGAGTCCACGTCATCACTATCCACCATCTCGTCGTCTTCACTGGACAAGTCCTCCTCGGGAGAGGAGGCCCTTTTGTTGGCCTTGCGTAAAATACTTGCCCTTTCAATATGAGGCCGCTTGCAGCCCTTGAGTTTACAGACACCGGTGTTGCTAAAATCCGGACATTCAAACACGTGACGCCCCGGACATTGAGCACCCTTATCGCAGTACCCGTAGATGCCGAATGCCCGGCATACCGGGTCCGAGGGAGAATGCTCAACATGAACATACGAGCACGACGGGTTGTTGCAAGCCCCTTTGGCATAGTGCACACAAAGCGGCGTCCTCTCCACCGTGATCTCGTGGGATAGATCACAGTCGTCGCCTCTAGGGCAATCACCCTTCGAGAGCCAAGTTCTACAAATAGCAGTCTTGGAGACATCGTGGATGTATCGACATGAGGGGCCTTTCGGACAGGTGCCTACAGTATGATGTTAGTGGCGATCCTATGGGGGCTTACCACACTGCCTTCTGTGAAATGGGTGAGGCAGGCGCTTCGTTTGGTTTGAAGGAAGACGATACCGGTCCATGAGAAGGCCTTGCATCTCTCGTTGACCTTCTTGATGCGGCCCGCGCGCCTGCAATTTGGTTAGCATGTACGTCAATCACGGCCAGTACAAACGCATACCGTTGGGCTTGTACTATTCCATGTCTTATAAGGTTTCCGTTCTTCGTGCGGTGGAACTTGACGCCAAATAGTGAGGCGATCTTTGGCGTAGCAGTAGGTGGATTGAGGTCATCTAAGAAGTGATTGTGTTTTAGCCATGCTATCACTAGAGGCATTTGTCGAACGCACCTGGGGCTTTGACTAGTTTGCTTCCCTGCTGGGTGACGTGAAAACGGACTCCTTCGACATCGACTTCGTATCGAGAAGTTGGCTTAGATGAATTAGATGATGTCATGACATCCCCTCCTACTTGTTGCATGTTCCTTAGCAGTTGTGCTCTCTCGCGACGGTCCTTGTTGAGTTGCTTCTGCTGCAAGGTCTGTTCGATCGCTTGTGTCCGTTGTTGAGTTTCTCGTTCATACACATCGCGATTGATTAACTGGAGATGGCGATCGGTCTTAGTCACCCAAGAGGGTGTCGTAGGATCTGGAGCTTGATTTTCCTGATTAGAAACGGTCGATGGTGCTCCCCCGTTCAGTACTAGGGTCCTATTGCGATAAGTGGGTGGAAATCGCCCTCGACCGCCGCGGTAAGCTTGTTGAGGATACGGCGCTGAGCGGTGATACAAGCCTCTGCTGCCAATAGAATGATCTACGCCTAGATGTTGGTGGAAGTCAGGCGTGCCCGTTCTACAGTTTAAAGTGAGCTCTAAGTAGACTATACCGAGATTGATGCCATTGCTCTGGATCTCTTTGTGGCGATTGATGCGATCTATGAAGTGGTGAGTAACATTGGTCTGCGATCATAAACAACCGCGTTGTAGAACATACTGGTTAGCTTATTGATCTTGTCTCTAAGCTCCTGGTCCTCCGCAGTAGACATGATGATAGACGATAGCTGAATAGTAAAGTTATCTGGGTCAGAGATTGAACGAATCTTAATATAAAACCTATGGTATGGCAAGGCGAAGTCACTGTTGGTGTGTTTGGGGGTTATGTGTTGTTTATAAGAGTGTGTCAAGGCGGGAGAGGGGGGGATATAGGTAGGTATGCAAGCGCTTGAAATGATATTTTCGTATTGAAAGGTATGCTTCAGGCAGTTACGCAAGAATCCAAAGGGAAGGATGGAACAAGAAAGGACGGCAGAAGGTGTGCTTTGGAAGGTTAAAAAGAGGGTGAAGTGTGAAATGGTGGGTAGGTCGCAATTCACCGTTGACAAAGAGGGTCAGTAGCTAGGTGGGAGAGGATGGCAAAAGTTCAGTCGTATCACACGAGATCAGCGTCTTTTGTTTCTCCGGCCCCGACTCTGAACACCTTTTCTTTTTTTCTTTTCTTCTTTTCTTCTTCTTGTTCCTTTTGCTCTCTTTTCTATGCAGCGCGACTGCGATTACGACTATGTCGTCACTCGGCAATATAGTCGCAGAGATGCTATTTTAAACACGTTGGCAATGTCTTTGACGGGATGTTATTAAGAACTAGACGCGTCAGATGTGACGGATAGCTCTCGAGATAGATGCTCAGAACGAGTCTCTAATGGTGTCAGTTGGCCTCTTTGGACGCTATATGACGGATGAATGATGATGATGATGATGATGATGATGAATAGTAGAAACACGGCATATGTGTGGGATTGTTGGAAGAATGCCTCCATGCGCGAGCCAAGCTCTCTGCAAGCCAGTCAACAGCGCCAATCAAGAAAATGTGGGCAGAAAGACCCCACCGTGGCGCTGCGCTGCGACCGAGACACGTGATTTTGCATTTACTTTGAGCCATATGTACAATCGGTACCTACATATGTACTTACATGATAAGCGGTGTCCCTACCTAGTACGTAGGTACCTACTAGGTAGGGACACCAGCACGGGGCTTATCATGTAAGTAGCTTATCATGTAAGTACATAGGTACTTATGTAGGTACCTGTTAGCGGCTGCAAACGGACAATACAAGCACCTAGCAAGGCTGAAATAACGAGGTAGGTGCTCCTACAGCGGACTAGATTCGTACCTACCCTAGGTAAGGATCCTTACATCATAAAGTTTCCTTTCACCTCAAAATCAATCAAACGAGCCTCCTTTTGGTTTGACGAGACGAGACGAGACGGCAGAACCGGCCATACATCAGATATAGCGTAATAGACACCCTCGACATCAACCGAGACACTCCGAGAACACCTTTTGCGCTTGCATATTCAGACATCAGCATTTCCTACTGCCTGCACCTGCAGGCAAGCAGCAACCCAGCGCCATGGCATCCGTCAAAGCAGAACCTATGGTCAAGCCAGATCCTGCAATCAAGTCCGATCCCGATGCCATGAACTCCATCCCGAGTGCGATGTCCGACGATGACATGTACGAAGATGCTGGCGATCTCGAGTTTGCTGATTTCGCTCCTACGAACCCTGCCGCTGCCGAAGTCTACCTGACACAAGTGCCCAAATACCTCTATAATGCTTGGTCCACTATGAACGATGACGAAGAAATACGTATTGGGACGGTGCGCAAATGGATCGAGGTGGGCAAGGATGGCAGGCAAACTGTGTGTTCCAACTTTCCACTGCTGAATTGAGGAACCCGTAAATAGTCTGACTATGGTTTGCGCGTAGGAAAGGATGGCAGTGCTGTTAGACCATAACAAGGCAAATTACCAGCCCATTCCGAAAGAATATAAATTAGAGGTTAAAGATCTGAACTTGGCCAATTCGTTCTTGTTCACCGAACAGGATCTTCCTGGCTTCAAGTCAAGATCCCACGGCGCCAACAGCGACCTACCTCCTCACTTGCGCCGCAGACAAGAGCAGCAACAGCAACGCCCAGAGGAGAAGACACAACAAGACGGCGGCGTGAAGAAGAACAAATATCAGCCCCGTTACAGAAAGGCAATTCCAAGTGAGTCTATTGCCATTTTCTTCTCTGATACTATAGAGCTGGCTTATCAGCTGATCCTCGGTATAGAAAAAACGATCTTGGCCGGTAAGCTAAGCCGTGAACTGAATTGCCAGCCTGCGTGGACAGAGGAAACGCAACATATCTTGAAGGTTATGAATGACGATGCAATGAAGCCCAAGGTTGCAGCAAGCATCGTCAGTTCCTTCGACCCCAACGGAGTTATCCAGGCTGGCGCACATGTGGCAAACGACAAATTTAGCAACCTCGTGGTAAGTATATCGTGTATCTTCCTCTATGACAAGGCTAATTGTCAAAGCGCACGGCTCCGGAACAGCAGAAGAAGAACAAGAAGCAGAAGGAGGAGAAGGCTGCTCGACTGCCACAGAGCGAGCTACGCGACCGCATCTTCCGATGCTACGAGCAATATGCGTACTGGTCTTTGAAAGCATTTAAGCAGACATTGAATCAGCCCGAGGCTTGGTTACGTGAGAACTTGGAAGAGGTCGCCGTTCTGCATAAATCCGGGCGCTTTGCAAACTATTGGGAACTGAAACCAGAGTACAAGAGGCTGAACGTGCAGTCAGTTGAAGGCGCACCTCCCAGTCCTGAGCCTAACGATTCAGACTTTGACGGCGATGATGATAATATTGAGATGGAAGATGTGAAGATGGACGCTGACTAACCGCCGACGATAGAAATCTACGTGTAAAAAAACATGGGAACCGGTGTTTCGCGGATTCATTCTGGGGTTTACAATTGTTCATTTCCAACTGTATAATAACTAGATACCCTAACGCTACGTTATCACCCGGGATAGTGAGGTAGGTAGGCAGACAAGTAGTTAATAACTCTATCGTGGTCAGCTCTCGAGGACTGTAGGATATAAATATGACACTTGGTGAATGAAACAAGATACTACTATGTATCGTATTGTCGCCCTGGTTCTCCCCTCGCCAGCTGTCTCGAAGAGTTACCTGGCATCATTTTCGAACAGCTTGCACTCGTACAATTTCAACTTCACCTCTATCAGAGAGGAAAAACGTGAGCCTCAACTATCCATCTTAATCTAGTCACGGTGCTTCTGTACGAAGTATGTGCGTAGTGGTTCGTCTGGGTAGAGTCTGGGTAGATGCTTTGTACATTTACCCCTTTTGGCCAGTACGCAAAAACAGTCCAATCACGGAGCGCCTCTCATTCGCCAACACCCATATTTTCCCTCCCGACCAACGTCACCCTCACTCTCCCACTTTATTTCCACACCACCAGGTCCATCGGCCATCTAGACAAGCTAATACCCCAGCTTTCTCTCTGCTAATTTTAGTTGATTTACGCACCATCAAAAGAAAATGAGTATCTTCCTAGATTTCGACGGGACGATCACGACAGAAGACACAGTGACGCACCTAGCCAACTTTGCACTGCGCTTTCAGTCCGAGTGTCAGGCGAAGGGCCAGAGTGTCCGTGATGCGTCGCACATGTCTTCTACACAAGATATTGCTCCCTCAATAAGCCTGGAAGAAGACGATCTCTCATCTCGCTGGGACGAAGTAGTCCACGCATATGTGTCCGACTACAAGTCTCACGTATCCTCTTACGTCCCCTGTGAGCCAGACAGGCAGTGCGTGGAAGACGAGATCGCCTTTCTACGCTCGCAAAAGCACGTCGAGACGAGATCTCTGGGCCGCATCAATGAATGCGCGCTGTTCCGGGGCATCAGCCCAGCTACGTTTCGCGAAGCAGGCCGAGAATTGGTGCGCGAGGGCACCGTGCTTCTCAGGCCTGGGTTCGCGGATTTTGTGCGCAGGGCCTTTGCCAAGGGGTGGCGCGTGAATGTCGTATCGGTGAACTGGTCGGCAGCCTTCATCGAGGGCGCGTGCGGGTTCGCCGAGGGCGAGATCAGCGTTTTCGCAAACGAAGTGCGCGAGGACGATGGCGCGGTCCTTGGGCCCGGGACACTGGCTGGGGATGTGCTGCTAACAAGCAATAGGCAGGAGAGTCCGTCACAGGGTAGGAATCTCACGAACTCGTGTGATAAGCGAGACGCTGTGCGAGAAGTGCGCCGCAAACGCAACGAGGTGGATCTGCCGTTTTACTACTTTGGAGACTCGACGACGGACATGGAGTGCTTGCTTGAGGCGACGAGGGGCGTTGTGATTGCGGATAATGAGCAGTCAACGCTGATACAAACGTTAAGGAGAATTGGGAAGCTAGTCCCGCATGTGCGAGATGCAGGAACAGGCGAAGAATTAGTATGGGCGTCGAATTTCGAGGAAATCATCGGTGTCCACGTTTAGTTTGATCCGCCGCGACATGCTGGTTCACCCTACGCTGATCCTGCAGTCTGCAGATGCTTCTGGCAGCGAAAAGCTCACATAACAAGCAGTAAGCACACGTCAAACCTTCTCTGCTTTCGCTCACCTATCGCCAGAATTTCGTCTGAAAATAGAATAAAGTTCAATTAAATTCGCGCATGTAGTTTATCGCCACAATTGCGCCTTGTATGCAGACATTCATGTCGAGTCGCAGGGTAAGACTGTTTCTCGTCGCACACCTATCGGCTTCAATCCAGATAAAAAGTAGAATGGGGAATCACAAGGAAATGATTTAGCATGTGAAACCCCTTCTTCGCTAGATGGGGACTGTACCGTCCCCAATCCTAGATATAAGGCGAGAGTGACTGTGGAAAGCATCGGACCAGAAAATCCGCCTTGGACTTCCATCTACCTCTCGGTTGTCTGTGCGAGTCACCTTGTCGTTAGACCTTCAACGGGATGATATCATTTACTTGCCATAGAGCAGAAGTCAGTTAAAAGACGACCAAACATGATTCGCGCCTTTGACATCTGGTGACATTGAGGCTCACCCCTGATGATGAACATGTTAGGTGAATGCGTAGGAACCCGTGTTTCGAAGCATTGCATGAGCGATGTCTAAACAAGGCTTTGGCTGAGACGCGACAATCTAGAATGGTGGTATAGATATGATCTCATTTATCAATACTTTTGCTTCTCCTTTCCTTCTCTCTTTTCTGTCGCTTCTGTTGCCGCGACAGACATAGGCTTCCCCAATGGCTCGTGTCACTACCTCCCACTCTATTATGCTGTGGACAGCGAATCATAACACGAGGAATATGTTCAGGTGCGCAACACGTAGTTCCTGGCCGCCAGCAAATTCGATATGTTATTTTTCCATATTCCATTTTTTTTTTTCCTTAATGCGTTCCCCCCTTCTTTTCTTCGCTCGGTTTTCCGTCGACACGCAACAGTGCCATTGTTGGTTCGATCGCAGTTTGCTGGCATGGGTGAGTTGGTAGCGTTGGTCACGATTTGGGCTGGAACTCGAGATAAAGCAATGGTATCGGCCGTCCCACGTCTCCAGAGTCGTGTAACCAACAATCTAGATCTACGCGATTTGCAGCCCTGCACAGGGAGCGAAGGCGGAAAAAAAAAGTTATACATCGGGTATTCAGTCAGGTGTATATAAAAATTAAGATATCGAAGGATATAATCACGTTTGAGCTCAATTGAAGTCCATCTACCCTTTGATTTCCATCTCGTATTATTCTATATCACCAACACGATATTGGCTAGATTCCCCTATACAGTCATTGGCTCTAATTGGGGCACTTCGCCATGGCGTACCCAATGCCGAACTCCGTGCCTTCGCGCCCATCGACACCTCAATTCCCAAGATACTCCTGTCAACCTCCAAGCCGACAACAATACTCTCGATCTCCTCCTCCGTATAATCACCCACTAAACTATCCTACGTCATATCCTCAGCCATTCTCAAGTCCCCGGCGCCTGAGTTCGCCTCCTCCGCTATGCACCTCTCCACACTTACACTGTCACCAGCCAAACACTGGTGAACACATTAATCCTCCCTATACGTGCGCTCGTGCCTGGGAACCCCATCGCGGTGATCAGAGACGTCATAATGGAGATACGATATCTACCGCGTACCACTGTTCCAAAATCCTGGACTACAAACTTGAGAGGCCTACTAGGAAGTCCCTGGCTGCTGGCATGCTGCTACAGAAAGTAAGCCAGCACCCCGAGCAACAGGACCCTATTCCACACGGGCTGCTGCTACACATGTTTCAGCACCTTTATGGCAGCATGCTGGACTCTATCAGATTCCTTACCAAAGATCTACTCCAAATTGAAGACTCCGATGCCGTTACATGCAAGGCAACGATATGTCGCTTCGACAAGCAAGATACCTGGAGACTCTACAAATCGCGAGTAGGAGTCCAGGAGCACTTCTATTGTGCGCCTCACATTGAGGTCACGTTACCATGGCTTCCTACCCGCGCGGCTATCAAGGAGATCATCGAGGCCATCACAGACAGCTGTGGCGCTCTCGGCAAGCACATGCAGCCGGCATACAAGTTTAGAACTCAGTCATATTCGTGGAAGTTCGAACCCGGCACTATCTACGAAACCGTCGACGCGGGCCATCTAATACCACGGCCAATAGTGCATGATTATAGCCACGACGAGACCAGTCACGAAGAAGAACAACAAGACGAGGAGCACCATAACCAACAACTGATTACCTACACCGAAGAAGAGACCTTCGAGATAAAGCCGGAGAATGGACCTAGGACATTAGGCGACATCAAGAGAGAATGGCGTTTCGGCCCAAATACGAATCAATGCAAAGAAATTGTCAAGGGCGTGCTCGCGAAGCTATTCAAGCTCGACCCGCGGCACATAACGGTGTGGTTCTGGGTCAAAGACGTCGAGCTCAACGACAGCAAGTGGTATCCCTGGGGCAGCCTGGACAACACCTACGGCCTAACCCTCGTATCGCAAGAAATAGTCCGGTACGACCCCGAAGACGCAAAGGGGAGCCCCAGGAGGAACGGCAAATCAAGCCGCGCTACCAGGGAGAAGGAGCTCCGCGACGTCGCCCCGACCGTGCGCATCATCTTGCCCGTGGAGCGCAAGAACTTCGCCAAGGACGACGAGAATGTCAAGTGGCTCCAGGAGTGCGTGGACGTCATGCGGACCCAGTTGTCTGCAACTTCGGCATCGCATAGTCGGGCCGCGTTCTGTATCTCCTGGAAGAAGGAGCGGAGAGACTTTGCGGACTGGTTCGGGCCTCAGGTCGTCTACAAGCTCATAGGTGACGGCGATCATTACATATTAGAAGATGCGTAACTGTTCCAACTTCTTGTACGAGTGATAGAAAATTGGATCGTGAAGGAGGAAAGACACAGGGTTATAAAAGGGGAAATCATGAGGAGTCGGAATGGAAGCGTCCTAACTCTGTACTTTACTTACTTTGGTCGGGTCATTCTTCAAGGAGCACGATGGCCTAATGTCATATTGTCTAGTTTCTAATCAAACCTGTATTAATCTCTCGCATCATCTGTATGAATGGCTCCTTACCCTTGATGAACATTACTAGATCTAGTTCTAGACTGAGAGACAGTAGTGCCATCTACTTGGCCAACATCTAAGCACCTTACCGAAACAACTTGCCTATTATTGATAACACTGATGAACTGTGGAATATCCCGCCTATTTCACAGTGACAACATGGTTTATATTTACTAATGGTAACTTATATGCAAGCATAATCAATTCCTATTAACTAACTTGGTGGATTTGTAGCGCTTATAATACCAGGACTTCAATGGTATGGTTATGTGAGGGTACTTCTAATAAGATTTGCTGGAAACAATATGCAAAAAACGGACTTAGCTAGGTTGGTTGTCTTGAGCATCTCCTTTATGCCTTTTGTCCGGAGGTTCTTCGGACTCCTTTCCACCGGCCTCGGCATCTGATTTACGCTTTCTCTTAGGAGGCTCCTCTGACTTCTTCCCATTGGTATTAGCGTCTGCCTTGTGCTGTTTCTTAGGGGGTTCCTCTGACTCTTTTACATTGGTATTAAAGTCTGCTTTGCATTTCTTTTTCAACGTTCTTCCGCCTTCTTTTCATTGGTCTTAAGTTCTACCAGTTTTCGCTTCTTTGATGTTATAGTCATCCAGAGCTCTTCGGGCTTGAGGATGAAAAGAAGAGCCTTGGGTCCAAGGGGAGCTTCGATTTCGATTCCCTGGTATTTAGTATCTTGGCCTCTGAATGCACTGCAGCTCACCCAAGTGTACTCGTTGAGCAAGGTCCGCAGAGGTGCGCTTACAGCCTTGCGTCTACTGTCTGGGTTGAACACAATGTCTGCCGGTTAGCTCGTCGCTATGATTATATGTCCCAACTTTGCTATGAAATCGACACAAATAGAAAAAAAACAAAAGTGTTGGAGTCTATTAGACCAAATCCCTTGTTCAGGTGAGGATTTACAATGTTAATTCTGGCTTTTGGATAATTGTTGATCTCCATTAGTGAGAGCTTGGGATCTTGCGCAAAGACTTGGACGTCTTTGCCGCCGTTTAACTCCTTAAACAGCTTGGCAATTTCTAGAGCTGTTGCATACTGGCAGCAAACTCGCCAGACTTCGGCCTCATTGCTGGTAACTTGCAAGGTACCGAGGCCAAAGCAAACGATCTTGTCAATGCTGCTTAGGCGTGCCTCATGCTCTCTGAGACTGTGAATCAGCTCAGCGAGATCTTTGTCCTTGGCCCAGTTTGACTGATAAGATGCAAAACTTTCTATGAACGTCTCCTCGCTCATGTCAAACTTTGTATAATAGGATTATTGAAACGAAGCTATGAAAAAGCAGAGCTGATTGTGTTATCATAAACCAGATTTAGAAAACCAGCCCACTTTGTGCTCTTGAGATTTCTTTAGGAATTAGCTTGATACGATAAACAGTCACTGCTTTTTGCTAGTCCGTAAATTTGCATCCCATATGTAAGAGGTCGTATGGAAGCATTCTTGGCTGAAAGTATCCCTGAAAGGAAACCCCCATACAGCCTTGTATTGAAAGAGCGAAGCTGTCTCCGCAGTCGGCCTCATACTATTAGCCGGCGGCCAACGGCCAGGACTTACCTGTGTGGCACGCTCGTGACCACGTCGGCCATTTTGTAGATAGCCATTCTGAAATGGGATGCGGGGCAGTTGCATGACAGTTCTATCTGCGGGGAAGCTGTTCTAGATCATGTCAGATTGAAGCGACTGGCGATCATGTTCCGTTTTGAAGTGAGTCGTCGATGGATGTGGGATAAACATCGCGATCAGTTGCAGCTGATGATGAACTTCGGCTTAGTCATTGTGATACAGCACTTACATTTATCGTCTCGCTCTCTCGATGTGAATAGTATTTCCTTGTCATGAGCTCTAAACTCAGACTGCTTGCTGTCAGCCAAGATATCTCTTGTAGGTTGGGACAGCTTCATCCCCTGTCAGATCTCTTCTCAATTGGAGAGGTCAACAGTACAACGTAAACCGCACAATCATCTCCAACCCTGGCTCTCGGAATGGCGAACGAAAGCGCGCACGAGAAAATCAGTTATGTATCAAATGTCGACGCTGCTCATAACGAACATGCCAAACCTGATCAGCAAAAGCTGGACAAGACAGGATTACCCCTCTCCCCCCAGCCGACAGACCTCAAAGACGACCCGTTGGTATGCAAATGCGCACCAAGAATGTCGGTGCGGGGATTCATAGCTAACGTGGCCATCATCTAGAACTGGTCACCAGCGCTGAAGTTCGCCATCTGCATACAGGCCTCATTCCTCGCGTTTATCGGCCCGCTCGCAAGCGCCGTCGTCAATCCGGCCTTGGTGCAGCTTGCCGAAGCCTTCGCCATCACGCCGGTGCAGGCGTCGTACGAGCTGACCGTGTTCCTCGTGTTCGCGGGCACGGGTCCCCTCTTCGTCCTGCCCATCGCGAACATATACGGTCGCCGGCCCCTGCTGGTGATCGCGTCGCTGCTGGCCGGCGTCACCAATGTCGCCGCGGCGTATAGCCCATCGTGGCCGGGCATACTGGTCACTCGGGTCTTCAACGGTATCGCGACCGGCTGTCTGACGGCGCTCGGGCCGCCGATCATTTGCGATGTCTATTTTCTGCATGAGAGGGGCTTCTACATGGGGATCTGGGCGTTGTTCGTGAATAATGGCGTACATGTAGCACCTCTACTCGGTGGCCCTATAGCGCAGAATATCGGTTGGAGATGGTGCTTTGGCATACCGGTAAGTCTTCTCGACACCCCTAGGCTCTCTTGCTGGTTATCTTATTTGATTTTTTGATATAACAGGGCTATATCCAACTGGGCGTCGCGGTGGTAATCGCCCTATGCTTGCCCGAGACGCTATTCAATCGAACACGCCAAACCGGTGGTGATGATGCTAAGGAACGGACTTTTCTAGACTTGTTCTTCTTCCAGCGATCTACTCTATCACGAAGACGCATCGCTTGGCGTGACTTCACTCAACCATTTACAATGCTTCGGTACCTTGCCGTGCTACTACCCGCCTTCTATTACATGACCTGTCTGGCGTATGGATCCGTGCTTTTTGCGACCACTGGATCGGTTGTATACAAGGAGATCTATGGCTTCAGCGTCACGCAGACTGGCCTGATCCTATCGATCCCCTTGATCATTGGAAATTTGATCGGCGAGGCGGGAGCAGGTTGGTTTACTGATTGGCTTTTATACATGCACGCTAAGCGACATGACGGCAAGAGACCTCCCGAGGCACGTCTCGACGCACTGTGGTTTGCCCTTCTACTCCCTGTCGGGACGATCATCAATGGTATCTGCATCAGCCACGCGGCGACGTCAAGCTGGGTTGGAAACGCTTTCGGCATGGCGATCGCGAACATTGGGTTTCAGGTCTCGACAACTGTCATATATGCCTATTGCACCGATGTGAGTGTCCCCGCGAGACAGGAGCTATGAATTGCTCACTGACCCGTCCTCAACAGTGCTACAAGCCTCAGAGCACAGAGGTCTCAGCCGTATTCAACTTCTTTCGACATATCTTCAGTGGTCTCGTGTCTTTCTACGCGTAAGTGTCGCCGCCATCCTCGAATGCGAAGGGCTGAACAAGGCCCGAGGAAGAGAACCTTGCTGAGTTTATCGTCTGCAGTCTGCCTCTCGCGAATAACATCGGTTTTCAGTATGCATGGCTTGTTTTCAGTTTTATCAATATCGCCCTACTTTTACCCCTGGCCGTGTTGCGGTGGAGAGGGGAGGAGATCAGACAAAGCGCATGGCAGAAGCCCCCAATTTTCCATAACGACATATAATCGGAGAAGTCTTATGTATTAGAGAAAGAGAAATTAAGGTCGGTATCAAGATATAGTAACCCAGTCGCCACTTAAGTAGGATACAGTACTCCTGACTGGCGGGCTGGTACTAAGTTAGACCGGAATCTCGAAAAAGGGGGCGGATAAGATAAACACCTCCCTCGTAGGTTAATACGCCGAGAGCAAAACGGAGGCTCGCCGGCTACGAGGAGACGGCGGGACTGTTGCACCGCCATGAGTCAGCAGACGCCTTTGTACCGAGTGTTCCATTTTGCTACAGCTTAGATTCTTCGCTTATATTAACAGGACAGGTCTTGTGTCAGGGATTGGTGTCCCGGGAGTGCAGCTGGATCGTAGGTAGGTAGAACCTAGGTAGTAGATAGGTCGAAGGTATGGGTAAGGGCTCAATAACATTGATTCCTGGCCCTCCTAATGCCAGAGGGGACCCTCCGCCCCCTTATATACCTGACTATTGAACTATCTCCACTCATTCGGAGTAACTTCTGCCCTAGTGCTTCCTTGCCCCTGACATCTGGTCTCATCGTATATAACATTTATTATAATTTTTCTATTCGCAAGACTTACATGATGGCTTTTGTTTTAGATATGAAAATAAAATATTATATTACTAGTTATAGTAAATTAACAACTGTAGAGCTAATCTTAAGCGATTATATATTTGCCCTTGCTTTAATTATAATGTTCACTGCAGTAGTCTTGCACTTAGAGAGAAATCCCCACGAAATTTTATGCATCTAGCCCTATTTCAAGTATCCTGAGACTGTTTGACTGGTTAGATGCTGACTGTCATACCAGGCGCCTGCTATTTCAGAAGATCAGTAAAGCATTTAGTATAACAAGGGCAGAGATACTGGGATTGGAACTTGAGCAATTCAGATTATAATGAACAACTAGGGCTGCATGAGTCCTTGACCAATCAACTTCTTCCTGGCTGTTGGTGGCTTGACTCGACTCTATATACACCTGGTCTGGCAGCCCAGACCGCCTAGGTCTCAAGGGCCTGTTTGAAGAAGCGAAGGTCTGTATAACCTCACTTTCCAATATTGCCTGCATGTCTTTGAGGATAATGAACAGCCTACGATGGCCTTTCGTACGGCCGAAGCGCAAGGCGAATTGCATATTCAGCTAGTACCACTTGAACGCGTGTAAGCGTCATGAATGAAGATGAAAGTCAGACATTCGCACTTTAGCATGAACCTTCGTAAGGTTAAACGTATCGGTAGGCCGTCTCGTCGAGCTTGTTATGCCTTATGTATTCCTTTAGAATGATGTTTAGTTACCCGTCTCGTATGGACCACAGGAGCGCTACGTAGTATTCGGTCGTTGACCGCGACTCTTTGTTGCATATTACGAAGTCTGGAGACAGAGGTTTGTTGATCCAGACACAATACCTTTGTTTGATGATTGAAAATTCCTAAAGAAAATAACAAGCTCATTGATTGCATCAACTGACAAGAGACTTGTTCAATTAGAAACGGGTGGGTTGTTGAAGTCTTGCTTCCGCTTCGACATAAATATCTGCGCAAGAATCTCTGCGCCGAAGAATAATCATGAACAAGCATCAATATCTAAGTTTCCAGTGTCTTTAATAGCAATATTTTAAACTATACACTATCTCTTTCCTCAATCGAAATTATCTCACAATGGAATCTACTCCCCTCAAGGTGACTCTTGCCAGCAACGACGGTGTTGAGGTCCAGGCGACTCTTGCAGCTGTAAAGCAAAGCACCACACTGAGCACCATGTTTGAGGTCCTCGACGAGTCGAAGACTACCAATCTGCCCGTTCCCATTCCCGGGGTCGACGGAGAAACTCTTCGGGTAGTCATGGAGTGGTGCGAGGAATATCAGCATGTTACCGAGGCTGACAACTCTCTGAAGCTGGGGAACGGAGCCACCAAGATCCCCGAATGGTCCAACGTGTTCCTAACAAAAGTCGGGCTTGACAGAGACCTCTTCTTTAAGCTGATTAATGCGGCCAACTACCTGGAGATTCAACCTCTCCTGCGCTATTCGATTTTGAAGTTGGCTCGTAAATTGGAGATGATGAATCCCGAACAGATGCGTGAGTATCTTCACATTGAAAACGATTTCTCTCCTGAAGAAGAAGCTGAACTGAAGCGTTCTCATGCTTGGGCCATGCAGCGAGAGCCAGAGAAATTAGAACCTGAGCAGCAGCAGCCACAGTAGTATAGAATAGAGTAAACAAGAAGGCTAAGATAACTTCTTAAGAATTTACATCACCCAGACATACATATTTATTTTTCTCAGTCAGTTCTAATACACTTTTCTTTTCTCCTCTAACTACATACCATCTGAGTCGCTTCTGTAGACGTAACAATAAGTTCTTCTAGATACGTAGACAAGGGAGTAAGCAAAAACCCGGCCTCACGACCACCCCCCGTCACGACCAGGGCCCTAGGCACCCTAAAACGCGCTTTAACTCCCAACTACCTAATTAAACACTACTTAATAACGCAACTGCATTTAGGTCTCACAATAATTTTTTACCTTTATTCTATTTAAAATTAACTCCTCTTTATTATTATATCTTCCAATTTAAAAAATTATTATATTATAGCTATTATTTATATAGTTTAACTTAAAACTTTAATTTAAACAGTAATATATATTTAAAGTATTAATAAATTATACCTATATTGTTAGCTTTAAGGTATTCCTATTAAAAAATAAACCTATATTAACCTATTATAAATATTAATTAATAAATTAAATAATAGGGTAAGTTAAGTTAAGCTTTATACCTTTATTATTTAAATTTAAACTTATAGCTAAATGTATATTAATTATTTTAAATAATAATAAAAGCTTTAAAAAAGAATAATATACTTATTTTTTAATTTAAAATAATAAAGTTAAATTAATTAAATTATAATTTATTAATTATATATATATTAATAGTATAATAATAATTAATATTAATCTTTTTTTTAATTATTTTAAAGTTTTAAAAATTATAAATATTCCTTTTAATTACTTTTATAATATTAATAAAATAAGTATAAATTAAAGTATTAATAATAATTATTAAGTAATTATTAATTTTATTTTATATTAAACTTTTAAAAAAGCTATTAAAAAAAGTAAATAGATTATTATTTTTAAAATTATTAATATTATTAATAATACTTTATTATTATTAATAATTTAAAAGGGTATATAAATATAAAGTTAATAATTTCCGAATTAAAATTAAAGCTTATTTAAAGATTAATACTTTAAATATTTATTTAATAGGTAAATTAATAATTTTATAATATTAAAATAATTATAAAATCTTTTTATACCTTATATTTAAAGCTATTATAATAATATATAATATATATTAATATATAATAGTTATAAATTATATATTAATAATAAATTTTTTTAAACCTACCTTTTAAATAAAATCTAGCTTTTATTTTATAAACCTTATTATAATTATATATTATAGCTATTAAATATTAAAATTTTTAATTTATTAAAAAAAAAGTTAAAAATTAAGTTATAAAAAATATTTATAAGCTATTTAAATATAAAGCCTTTAAAATAAAATATATTAATAATATATAAAGTTATATATAAAAATATAATAAAGTTAAATATATTTAAAAAACTAATAGGTATTATTATTTTTAAAATATATAATATTTAAAAAGAAGGGTATTATAAAAGTAATAGTATTAATATTTATAGTTAAAGAATAACCTATTATATTTAATCTATTAAAAATAGCTTTTAAAATTATAATTAAAATATTCTTTAAAAGCTAATAATTATAAACTAATATATAAAAATTAACTTAAACCTTTCCTTTATTTAATAATTTATTATAAAGGCTATTTTTTATAAAGGTTAATAAAGCTTTTAATTAAAAGGTTAAAACTATTACATTTTTATAAATAAAGATTAAAACGTTAAAAGTTAAACTTTAAAAAAACATTAAGGTTAAATAAAAATTAATTAAATTAAGTTCTAATAATAACTTTATTTATATAATATATATATATAGAAGTTAAAATATAAATTATATAATTATATAATATATATTAATAAAGCTATTAATTAATATATTCCAAAATGTAAGGATATTAATATAAAAGATATTATTAAGGTTAAAAATAATAGATTTAATTAAAAATATTAAAAAAAGCATCGTAAATAACGTATTCGTTAAGAAAATCGCTTTAGAAGTTGGGTAATTAGTAGGCAGGAGGGGTGGTCGTGACGGGGGGTGGTTGTGAGGCCGGGTTTTTGCTTATTGCTAAAAGATAGAATTGGCGAGTTTCCAAAAATTCATTGAAAGAAGTAGGCTCGTTTAAATACCCTTCCCAGAGCGGTGCCTAATGTCAAGAATAGCACACTAGTCTAGTTGTACCGAAATATTCTTCCTCTACCCAGACGATATCTGTGCTATGGGGTTAAACGAACACTGCAATATGTCGAACTCGAGGTTCTCCAGTGTAAAGCCGGCTGATGATCCCTGAAGCTGTATTAACTAGATACCGCCTTCCCGAAAAGCTTGTCCCCGACGTCTCCAGGGTATGGCACAACGTAACCATTTTCATCGACGCTCTCCGCCCTTGCTGCCACGACGACTTCGCGGATCAGAGGATGCTCGGCCACAGCTCTGAGGCCGATCGGCGAAACATAACAGGATAACACGGTGATGTATCTCTCACGCGGGCCGCTCAGACCCAGGAGCTCATTGCAGATACTGAGGATGGTGCCACCAGTTGCAATCACCGTGTCCAGCAGGACGATATGGCCATGCTGCGGGATCAGGGGGTAAGGACGTCTTCCCAGCCACTCAATCTGGGCATCCGTATTCTCTTTGGCGCGGATACCACGGACGAGGCCACATGACGGCGATTCGAAAAGTCCAGAGGCTGCGACGTACATGGGTAAAGCGCCTCGAAGTATGGGGACAAGGGTGACCGGAACTTTCCCGAGCTGCTCATTTCGCTCCTTCGCGACACGCACAACCTCGACCGTCATGGACCCGACGACGTCGTGCATGGAAGCTTCATCTGTAGAGCGATCAAGAAAGACTGGCAAGAGTGATTTTATGGTCGAGATTGATGGGCTCAGAGTCACAATTGATGCGTGATTCTCCGAGTTCTTCTCTACAGAGAAAGTCGAGGTGTCCATTGTCGAATAGTGAAATTGAACGCAATGTCTATGGAGTTATCCTCCGGTATGGAATGTTTTAGTTAAGTGACGGGGGAGATGGGACATCTGCATAACAATCTAGTAACATACCAAGTGGAAGGAAAACAGGGAAGTAAGGTGAGATATACGGAGAGCTCCGTCGTCGTGAGTGATCGGGGACTCTCTAGCCCTCCGGCTTATTCCTCGAAGCTGTGCCTCTCACATGTGTTGAGGCCCTTCATCACACAGTGCTTCGGCTTGTAGAGCGCACATGGTCCATTGGGGATGGGTAACAATGTTGGTTTCTTTTTCCACTCTTACCTTGACATATGGGGTTACTGCGTTGTTTCTCGAGCTGACTGTTGCTGCAATACTCCGAGCTTCTACTCAGCCTACTACCGTGCGACCATGATCCAGTGCCGCACTTCGGACTTATAATCGAGCTCTACTATAGGCAGCAGTCCCTGACACTTAGGTACAAGGGCTAAACAAGCCGAATCAGAATTGAATGCAGGCCGCCAAATAGAGAATACCTAGAATGGCATTGCGGAGATGCTGATGGTAATTAGACGCTCTACGAGGTACACATTTCAGGGGTGATATGATTGGATTCCTAAGGTTCTCAATAATTCTCATGTTGTTACAACACGTACGCTGATCCCTTTAGATAGTAGGGCTAAGCATTTAACTTCCTTGCTAGATCTTGGGCAAATGCACACATTGCCAATGTTGGGTTCCATGCTCCCGCAGTTGGAAATATACCGCCTCCTGTGACGTACTAATGGCATATGAGTAAATCCTAGTAATTCTCTCAAGGGTTGTTAAACATGCACGTACCACACCATTACAGCCATACGGCCGATACAGTTCATCGACCGAACCACCTTCAGACTCCGGGCCCATGAAAGTCGAGCTAGACTCATGCACTACGCCTCTGACCCTCATTTCTTGCTGTGATGGCCTCCCTGTGACCCATGTTTGGGACAATTTGTTCCAATAATCTCTGTTGCTTGGCTTGGATAGGCGGTCGGCAAGCTGGAAGACAACTTCTTCCATGAATGTCCGTAGCGCTTCATCCTCTTCGTTACACAAGTATTGGATTCGAATATTTGTTGTCTTGTCCGGATCACCCTCGTTTCGTCGAATCCAACACCGGCTGTTTTGTTCCGAGAACTCACCAACAGCCGCACAGACTGCACCTTGATGATCAGTAAGAGAAGAGAGCTGAAGAGAGGGTAAGTAGCAGGAATTACCAAAAATGACGTGATCCTCAGACCCTCGCAGTTGATTGGCCTGGGCAGATGCTGAGAAGTCAGGGCACTTTCTCCCAAGATCGTGAAGGTCTCGTTCCACATCTGGACAGTGAACCGCAGTGATCTGTATCTGATATTGTCTGCCAGTACTCGGATGCAATCCAAGTAAGCACTGCGCAGCAATCTCGAGCGACCTACTGTGCCCATGAGAGAGGCACGGAATCTGACTCCTTGGGACCCTAAAAGTGAGATGGGAGATAAAATTTCCTGTAAGTCGTTTAGTCTCTTTTGCCATTTGAGGTATAGAATTGTAAAGTAAGGTGGTGTTAGGAATCGTCTGCGATCAAATCAATGTTAATAGCTTCATGTTTTAATCGGTAAGTAGGGGGGAAACCAACCCCCGCACATAGAATGAGTTTCGTGTGACTGCTGTCTAAGGTCTTGGTGCCATTTACAGTCTCAAGGCCTATAGCATCCCCGCGATTCACAATAATTCTTCTGACAGCACAGTTTAATTTCACGTCAAGTACTTTACCTTCTCCTCTTGAAGCCTTTTGGATTTGGTCCTGGATGATTGATAACAACTTTTCGACGGCTGAAAACTTGCTGAAACCAAACTGAGCACCAGGTCTTTTGTGGGATGTAGCCAACAGGGCCGGTCCAGTGGTTCTCAAGGATGGAATTCCGTCAATAGGGAAATCTAGTCTGCTGCTCATATGGCCTTGCAAGCACCCAAAAGCCGAATCTTTTATTTCAGCCAAAGACGTGATATTCAAGAGCTCTTGAGCCCTCGCCCAAAAGATTGAATTTGCTGCAGTATTTTTCATGGAGTCGGGATATTCTCTAAGAGACTCCATGGACGGTTGAGGACACCACCCCGACCAGAATAGACTTCGCCCGCCGAAGAATGGGTAAAAGCCATGGCAATACCCTAAGTCTGAGTTGTATGTTTCTCCTGAAAGGGTCCAGGGATAAATCACAGAATGGCCACCGAAAATTCTCTGAAAAGGGGCTGAGAGGTTCTGGAAGTGTGTTGGAAGCAGGAATCCTGGAGCTGTTAGACACTTTAATACGGATCTAGGAAATAATACATATTACCCCCTCTCTCGATAATGAGAATCTTCTTGTGAGGATTCAACTGCAGGGTTTCATGTACGAACGCTAAAGCAGTACACCCTGAGCCAACGACGACATAATCATAGGCGTTGAGAGATCCAAGATCGTCCCAATTCTCTTCGCTTTAAACTTTTAGTTGGCACTTGTAGAGGGAATCATGTGTGTGTGTAATCATCAAACCTCATGAAAAATATATCATTCAGCACTTTATCTGGTGTTGGCTGTTGGACTGTTGGCCCTGGAAATCCGCACGCCGACCGCCCATCCTTTCCAATATCGTAGATTTCAGCCATTGTACACTATAATTGACAGACTCGCAAATGCTAAAAGTCTATAGAAGAGCTGTCCGAATAACGGGTTTCGACGCTTGCAAAGAATCTCCCGACCGACAGTTGCCAAACCCTTCGCACTTGGACAGTATCATGATTGAAATTCGAGCATGAAATCTCAGCGTGCTGCGGGCTTTGTAGGCTCTCCTACTCCTTTCTTTTGTCAGCTGGGAGAAGGAACAAACCGCAGTCGAAATCATATACACAAGTGTATGTATATCCAACTGCATATATTACTGCATATGAAGGCCACGATGCTACACCGCTACTTGAGACGGCCTTCAGAACTATACCGTATTGTTGACAAGATAATAGCTAACAAGATAGGTTAGCCTTCTGTCATGGATCTACGTATCAAGTCCCTAGACAAAGGGGTTGGATGTATGTGACGTGCAGTTCAGGTGTGAGACTTTTGTACGACCTCGGGTCAGAATTGCCGTGCTGGAAACCTTGACACAGTCCGACTGTTGGCTCAGTAAGCGGCGAAACATCATTTTACCTAAAAGTTTTTCAATAAAGGTGTCGCGGAGTAGTGGGCATGCAGTTAATCTTGCACGGGATTAACGACGTCGTTTTTTCCGTCACAAAAGGTGAATCCAAAGGTTACAATATCGCAGGGGCTCCGGAGAGGTGAAGCTCACTCACAGTTGAGCAGTTAAGAACCTACGGGACTTTCCGACTGTTGTCTTCGATGCTCCTGAGTGGAGAAGGAATATTGCATGGGAAACAAAGAGTGCATACAACAACTACGACGTCGAGCCATCGCCTTGAAAACGCTATGGCAGTCAAAAATCACGCAGACTACAGGCGGCACTCCAGTTTGAGCTCAGTCTCCTTTTTAATTATCTACCAGTCCAATAAATGTGCGCCCAATATTACTTGAACACTGTGTTTTCCCACAACGTTTCGTCACGATTTATGGCTTCTTGAATTAAGACGAAATTTTCTCGTGGCTATAGATATCATCATTGGTTAAAAGCCCATCATGCCGTGTGGAGCAGATATGAATCTTTTCACCAGCCTTCCGTTGTCCAGTTCAGTTTTCAGTGAGTGGCTAGACGGCTCTGTCCCTCAGCATCCGTATTTTGATGACAACGCAAAGATCCAATCCATTGTTTCAAACATCAAACATCGTCTTATGAGCTTTGCTATTGAAGCGTGTCACTTGGTGCTCGAAGAAATCCCTTGCGAACAACCTCAACACAATGTGCTATCACAAACACTCTCTGCTAAACCAAGTCTCTGGTGGGCCGTTTTGCTTGCTCAACGTTACGGAGTTATATACTTCATGTCCCGAGGCGAGGCGCAATCAACTTATTACCAACTCATCAGAAAACACGCGGTCGAAACAGACATTATTGACAACTTCCTCCGCTCAAACGCGGCTGGCGTTCGTATCATCAACTATGCGGTGCATGCATATATCACGCGTGGCGATCTCCATGTTGAGTACAGCACTTTTTGTGTCCCTCCAAATGCCATAGCAGCCGTCGGCCCCAATCACGTCGTTGTACGTAAGGGGGACTTCATCAACCGTCCATCATCGGAAGTTCTCGCTTCACATTCACCCATGTGGGACTTGCACGATTTTGCCCATCTGAGTTCCGCTACACTTGATGAAACGCTGTATGGAAATAAGTACCAGGCTTGCCTCGTACAACTACCCAAACGCCTCACAGCGTTGATTCGCAGTCCTGGCATGCGGACGGCAACTGGACCAAAGATCTCAGACGGCTTGGTGTTTAGTGAGCTTCTAACAAAGATGTACACAGATGCAGTAGCAGATATATCCAAAAATGCTAAACAGACATATAAGAGTCTCTGTACCGACCTAGCCAACATGCTCGCGGAGTACTATTTAGCCAAGCGCGGGCTCGAGCATCCTTCAACAGGACAAACAATGATGCTGAGGCAGCCTATTTTGCCTATCGAGCTTGCCGTCTTGGTCCAAAACAAAAGCTACGAGCTTCCAGCGAGCGAGATTGAGCAACGGGTGCTGACACGAGGGGGTGCACAAGCCACTACGGAGGACGCACTACTGCCTCTAACAGCGAGAGAACGAATCACTTGGCTGGCAAAAAGCAGGAATTGGGGCTACTTCGAGGTCCGCAATACGATTAAGCACCGGGCACACAAGGAGGCCTACCGAATTGTCTGCGAGGAACTGATGACGCAGACAACTGATGAGTTTGAGAAGGCACTTCTTCAGAAAACAAATGCAAACATTCTGTACAAGGATTGGAAGGCAGGGCACAGATTGATTCTTTGGGACGAGTTGCCCCAGATGTAATTATTATCGGACTACGGCGGAGTCTAGCCAGGAGAATCCGAGGACAGTAGGTGTTGGAGGTAGTGAGTGTTTACTGCAGGGGTTATTGAAACTTACATGAGGCTCTGTTGTTGCATACGTATTAGTATCACACGGCCAAGATTGCCAAGACCGCCAAGACTCTTTGAACCACACGCCCGGAACCATATCCTTGGCGAAAGTGAAGCTATAAGTGATTGGATATTAGGAGTCACAGGGTCAGATTGTTATATGCGAGAAGAACCAACAAGTTGAGGCAAGGGAGCCCAACGGGCCTGAGAGTCCTAGATTGTATGAAGCCAGAATGAGCATGGATAGCCCGGGGTTTCTCCTACTTCAGAGAAGAGGGAAGACCAAAGCCCTAGAGACCCCTAGTAGATTATTTGACTAAGTTCTAAGCCTTCTATAAGAGCCCTTGTCACATTGCAATCTCAACCAGTCAGCTGCTAAGCTCGAGCCTACACGATACAAGCCTGGCTACTGTGTTATGACCTAATTTCATTACTATGTAGATAAGTAAAGAGATACTACCTAGTCTAATGATAGGAAATGTTTAATGTGACTGAACTTAGGTAATCTGTAGCTTCTCCAAAAATGTAGGATGAGCGAGGGTTTAACTTCGGAGATACTAGATCATCCCGGTGACGGCTCATGTACTTAGAGTTAGGCAGCAGGCAGTTTTCATAGTGGGTCAATCCTTAGGAATGAATAGGGGTTGGAACCGGAACTCTCCATAAGCTCGCAATCTGTTGCCATTAGCTGCCTGAAATCTACCAGAACAATTCCCAACCCCTTCTCTATGCGGGAAAAGCCGACGATACGAACGTTGCCAGCATCTTGTCTCTTAGTCATCACACCGTCTTCAACGTTGCAAGACCGACATCGCGCGATCCATTTTCTCCGCCACACTCCCATTTCCGTCGCGGAGAAGTGGGTAATATGCCGTATAAAGGCCGTTCATCTTGCACGGGATTAACGGTGCCGTTTTTTCCGTGACAATTTCGCATTCAATGGCAGCCATGGAGCAATCGAATCACGATCTAAGCAGCGATTTCATTGTTAGCGACCGTGACGGCATCGTGGAAAATTGCCACTTGGTCCACGCGGCCGTGGTTGATACGACAGGGAATCTCCTCTACTTTTTAGGCAACCCTTCGCGCCTTACTCTCATTCGCTCGGCAGCTAAGCCAATGCAGGCCGTAGCTGTGATTGAAGCAGGAGCGCTTGAAGAGTTCGGGTTCGATGAGGCCGACCTTGCGCTCATGTGTGGCAGTCATAGCAGCGAGGCGAGACATGTTGAGAGAGCCAAGACCATGTTGGCAAGGCTGCAGGCTGACGAGGATGATCTCCAATGCGGTGGCCATCCACCTATTTCCCCCCTCGTAATGCGGACTTGGCTTCGGGATGGGTTCAAGCCGTCCCCAGCCAGCAGTGCCTGCTCTGGTAACCATATTGGGGTCATGGCCGCTGCAAAGATCAGTGGAGCTGGCATTGCAGACTACCATTCCTTAGACCACCCAATTCAAAAGCAAATCAGGTTGATCATGCAAGATATCGCGGGTCTTGGCACCAAGGGCATCAAATGGGCCCTGGATAGCTGCAACATGTACTCGCCAGCCATGTCACTGCAGTCGTTAGCTTCTGCCTACGCCGCATTTGCCAAAGCAGCTGACAACGTTGCCCATGACAGGGTCCAGACATTTCCACATGCAGAAGCAATGGCCCGAATATACAGTGCTATGGTTCGACATCCCGAAAATGTTGCCGGTGAGGGTCGTTTCTGCAGTGTTCTTGGGGAAGCATACAACGGCGGCCTGTTTGGGAAAGGCGGAGGTGATGGGTGTTACGCTGTTGCAGTTCGCTCCTCGGAAGACACCGAGCGCCTGGGGGCCGTTGGTGGTATCGGGATTGCTCTGAAAATAGAAGACGGGAACTATGGCATCATGGACGCGGCAGTCGCGGAGATCCTTGAGCAACTCGAGATTGGAACTAGGGAGGTTCGACAGCGCCTGGAGGTTTTCCATCAAGGCAAGGTCAAGAACTCTAGAGGTGTAGTAACTGGGGGTCTGTCATTCCCATTCAAACTCAGAGAAAACTTGATTGCTAGATAGTCGTCTACATCAGCAGTGCTAGTTCCCTAAACTATGAGCTCCCCTGCCTTTGATCGCATAGTCCTTCCAGAACCTGCACCAATGCAGTCTTATCACTATCGACTTGATCTTCAGTCGTACTCTCTACTAAGCCTATATGCATTGCATAGTGATGGCAAGCTTCTGCCATTTTCACATCCTTTTCTGAAATGCCGCCCAGATCATGTGTAGTCCATCGAATGAAAACTTTATTGTAAATCTAGAGCATGGTCAGACATGTCATGATCTAGTAATTGTGTAGAGTAAAAGAAAATAGAAATCTGGGGAGAAATGCCAAAGGGAAATGGATAGTACATTGGCCCATTCGGGATGGTGTCTTTGCTCAGTTGCTTGGGAAGCAACAAAGTTCATGAACTCCTGATTATCCAGTCATGTTGTCAGTATGATCATCCTTCAACTTTGACAAAGCTTTGCAAAGTGACGACAGAGAACATGAGGTGAGAGCATGTACCCATGTGTTTCTGAAGGATTTGAATTGCAAATAGGCTTCGAGAGCCTTTCCGTCCGCGCTCACCCGCCAATTCTTGGAGTTCAATATGTCAAATCGGACTTGCTCTTGAGCCATCCTTTGCAGAACGCCCACAGCATCCAAAAAATTGACTGGAACTATCAATGTCTTGTCAAAAAGGATGAGATGCGGAAAAATAAATCTTAATCCTATCTGCTTTACGCGAAACAGTATTTCTAGTCCTGCTATGGCGGTCACTTCAGTCTTGCGTCAATAGTTGCGTGCTCAGTCGGGGTTTGACGCCATATCTTATGAATACGAAACCCACAATCACCAAGCAGACACCGCCAGTGCCGTTCAGTGCGCTCGATCCCACCAATCGTCATCATATTGAGATCCTCCCAAGCCATCTCTTTTACTGCATTGGTGTTGTCGATGACCATGTCTGTAATTAGAAGACGCGACTGGACGGCGTCCATGGCGGCTGCAACGTTCCTCAGGAGAATCCCACACGCAGCATCATCCCAATTGTGTAGACAGCGGCGGAGGTAATAGACTTGCGCACCTGGTAAGTAGATACACATTAGCCTTGTCATAAGCACTATGCGTTCAGGGAGCTTCGAATGGTGAAAACATGCCTCTGATAGGGGCTGGCAGCGGCTCGAAGAAAGACCCCGCAACCGTTTCCATCCATGCGGGCAAGCCTGCAGTAATGGCATCTAGAATCACCGCCTCCACATCCATTAGAACAAATCGTGCAGCTAACAGCTCCGGGTGATCGGCACGAATGTCTTGCAGTGCTTGGCCATGACCGCCCCCTAGGTCCACAATAGTCAGCTCTTCCTGCAGTCCATGCTGCTTGTTATTGTCTGTGACGCTGGGAATCGGCACAAGTTCCCGACCAAACGGGAATGAACCAATTGCCTTCCCTACCGAAAGGGCTGCCACAATCTCACTTTCCATGCCCAAATCAAACGTTTCACGACATCTTTCATCCTTGTCACGGTACTCCCACATGGGCAAGGCGGTGTGAGACCCGAGCATGAACGAGCAATCCCTGTAAGACCCGGCATCTTGCCATTTACGCGCCTGCAAGAACTCGGGGAGGGCAATGATTGCGCGGCCGTTGTAGTCGTACATGAGTGTAAGGAGAGCCCGGTTAGCGGAAGATAACAGGGTGCGGGAAACGGCGTTGTGGGCGTAGCAGAGTTCCGAGGGTTCGCTGAGTGTCGAGGTTGCAACACAAGCTCTCAGGATGCGGCCCGTACTCGGGTTAGCGCACGGAAATTAAATTAAGGCATGTGATGGCATAATACTAACTCAAAAGTGTCTTTTCGGCTTTAAGGGTCCGAGAGAGATCGTCTAGGCTGCACGAATCTCCGTTGGCTGGTAAAGCGTCTGGGACACCAAGTGCGATGGCGCAACGTAGCGCGGCATTTTGAGCAGGCTACCGAGTTCACACACGTCAGCAGATTGTCATGTTGGTTCCGGACAAGACACGTACCTGCTGAGCGATAGAGAAAATATTTTCCTCGGGACTACGAACGGCCAACAGCAGCTGCTCCGCTGCAGCTACGAGCTCACGACGAGCAGATTCTGATTCGAATTGTAAAGACCCATTGACCGTTGCAAGATTATTTGCCGCTTGGGTAATGCGATGAACTAGGGACTGAATCGCTTCTGGGGTAGAGGACTTGAGAGACATAGTGACAAAGGCGGTTTGCAGGTCAACTATGCTGTTGTCTCACTTGCAAAGCTTCAATCAGAAGTGGTGATTTCCGCCAACAATAGGTATTATCCTTGGAATGACTCTTATATAATGAAATATATCCTCTTAGATGAGTGGGGGGCGGTGTCATGGACCAGAATAGGAGTGCAGTACTAAACCGCCACGCTATCTAAAAGATAGAAACGACGTTATCAGGTCGAGGCCCTGCGTGTCTACATTCAACTATATAATACTGTAACAGGCGGTGAGTCTTTGGGTCCAATCACGTATGCCGTGCCTTCGGCTTCGATGGCCGTGATATCATCAGAACAGTGTCATGATATTTAGAGCGTAGTAGATGAAGGCTGGGTTCTGCTTGAAACAGACGAGGAGACTAAGTATCACTCAAATTTACAGGCAGAAAAGTGCGCGTCTTGTTGCTAACCGAACGAACACGAGGGCTACTATCGCTTCCACAGTTGATGTCCATCAAAACTGAAGATTCTGCCTCTAGCTAAAAGAATCCAAGTTAATTCACTATCGTCACTTCTCTTCCTCCGCTTCGTAGTCGGGGCTATCTAGAGTTATGACACCGTCATCCTTCCAAAATTTTGCCGTAAATATTATAGTCGCAACAAACATGATCCCAGCAATAACAGCATACATGATAACGAGCTTGGGGTTGCGCGCAGTCGGGGAGATAGCCAAATCAATCAGAGCACCAATTCCTTGTGTTGCAAGAAGCACACCCTGAACTAGGGACTTCATAGATTCTGGTGCCGTATCGTAGGCAAATTTGTATGCGGTCGTGATCCCCAATATCTCACCGAAAGCGATGAGCACATATGATGGGAATTGAATCCAAACGCTGATATTGTTTGGACCACCCTCCGCAATGCTGCACTCTGTTGGGTAACGATAACAGGGACCGACATTATAGATGAGCTGTTGGACTATGGCAGCAAACGCCATGGATAGCGCGAAGAAAAAGCAGCCAATTATCATTCGCATCATTGGCCCGAAGCGAACATGAAAAAGATTGGTCATGTTTGAAAGTAGCCACTGAACAAAAGGTAGAAGCACTACGACAAGAATGGGATTGAAATACCAGATCAAGTCGTTCGGCAACCCATTGGTCTGCATCTGTCCAGCTTGAGCGATAAAATTGTTGCTACTCTGCCCCACGCAAACGTACACGAGGATGAAGATGGCACTGTCTGTTGTGTTAGTCCGATGATAGCACACAACATGGCAACCCATACTCACAGGACTCGGCATATGTAAAGAGTTTGCTTGACATCCCCTATGTCATCATCTTGTAAAGGTCGTGAGCTCGGCTCCGAATCCTCCTCGCTCGCGTCTCTCGACTTCCGCCTAATGCTTTTGACAACTATTCGCCAAAAGACCTTTCCTTTTCCAAGTAACGCATTCTCCTGCGGGCGTTGACATACTGCGCTTTGTTAGCGTTTCAGTAAGCAGCTTCGGCTTCCCGCTTCCTTACTAAAGTGTTTTCGACCGAGAATAAGGGTCGCAGGAGCAATCCACAGTCCAGAAAGCGGAAGCAAGAATGCAGCCCAAAATCCATAGTGCAACTCCAGGAAAGTTGAGGCAATGCCTGAGATGGCACCAATGTTAAGTCCCCTGGCAACATTTGAGTTAGACGGCGGAACCTGACAGGCTCGAGAGAGACTTACCAATAGTTCAGATTGTAGATAAATTGTAATGTGAGATCCCGGTCAGGCATATACATCTTGCCATTCTTTCTAGTCACGGGACCTCTTCCCTCTCTGACGTATTGATCACCTTTAGTTCAAGATACTGTTAGCCAAGTTTACTAGAGAATGATGCAGGGGAATCGTATTACCAATGAAGGCGCTGACAGTAGATTGGAATGCACCCGATCCAGCAGCAATAAGTATTAATGAAACTGTGAAGCCCGCTGGGGCAGCCCCGTGTTCGATTGCCGCTGGGATTGAGACCAGAACTAGAAGCAGCGTACCGAACAAATACACTCTGCGCTGGGTTAGCCCGGGAGTGATTTTGCGTGGCGACAGACTCACAGTGATGATATGACTAATAGATTATACCGACCCAACCATCCGTCTGCTCCCACCGCGCCACAGAGGGCCGCGATCGTTTGAAAAGTGAAGAACGCGTTGTTGATGGCTGTCGCAGCAGTCTGGCCGAGACCAAGCACGCCTGGGCGCTCATGCGCAACAGAGCCGTAAGAGTTCTGTACATAGTTCTCTAATCAATTGAGAGTCAGTGGCGTCAGACTGCTAGACATCATGTCAACATCATCTTACGGAATGGAATAGTAAGGCCGTAGTACGAGAACCGCTCGGCAACATTCACGAGGACAGCGAAATATACGCGGAAAGGTAGGTGATCGATTCCAAGAGGTAGGTCGCCAGTGACAACCATCCCCCGTCTTTCGGTAGACATGATCGGACAAGGTCATCCGTGTGGCGGTAGAGAAAAGTGATCAAATTACAACAATGCAGAATCGATAAGTAGTAGTCGTTGATTGCCCAGGAGGATGAGAGCAAGGCCTAGTCAAGCTTCAATGTTGCAACCCCGAAGGAAAGTGGACGGAGTAGTGTCAACATGGATGAGTTGAAGTGGCTTGCTCTTGGGGCTTTTGGGGTCCTGGCTATCCCATGGATGGCACGTTGGGCTTGCATGCTGAGCGCGCCCTTCGCACCCCTTTCACTTGTCAATACTTTGCGCCGCATTCTGATACCTACCTAGTATGCAATGATACGTTCTCACACACTGCTCAGCCTGACGAAAGCCCCTGTTGGTTAGTCTTTCCACGAGGGATTTACTTACATGAGCGGTCTCGCCGCTTTAGGACCTACATGTCTTCATGAGTCCTCCGAGTCACAGTGCAAATATGATCTGGTAACGTAACGCGCAGCCAACATTTCTAATGATTCGGAGTCTCGCCCTGTATGTACCAAGTACAGTTGATGTCCTGCTGACTCCAGGACCAGGGTAATCTTTGAGCTCCGATAATTGATATGTAGAGAGATAGGAGCCTGGTAATAGTGTCACGGAGCCCGTTGCTCGTGTATTGCGAGTAATCCTGAAATGACTTGCCTTCTTTGATTGAATGACCGTGTCGTATAGCAAGAAAGCCAAAGCACAATGGACTCAGACATGAAAAAAGAGCGCGACGGGGAGCCAGGCACGCTATCGAGTGTAGGTTACGGCAATATTGGCCTATTGTGTCTTGCTAACGAACACCTTGACAGGCGGATCATGGCGACAGCAATGAGTTCGAGGTCATCCAAGACTGCGTGCATCGCTTGTTTGAGCGTCAAGTACTACAGAGACCAGATGCCCCAGCCGTATATGCGTGGGATGTTAAATTCACCTACATGCAACTAGATCAAGCAGCAAATCGGCTCGCTCACCACCTGGCCCGACAGCTCCAAATTTCACGTGGCACACTGATTCATACATGCTTCGAGAAGACCGGCTGGTATATCGTTGCCGTCCTGGCCATCAACAAGGCTGGCGCAGCTTGGGTCCCCCTCGATCCCTCACATCCGAAACCGCGCAAACAACAGATTCTCAAGCAAACTAGAGCGACAATTGCATTAGCTTCGCCTGCCAATGTCATCGCATGTGCCCAGCTGGGTTTGCATGTTGTCGAGGTATCTCAAAGCTCCGACAGTAGCCTGGCAGCCGAAGATGCCGAGAGTCGCAGTGCCCCTGTGGTAGAAGTATCGGCTCTTGATGCTGCGTATGTGCTCTTCACATCAGGTTCAACTGGCGTACCTAAAGGCATAGTGATGGAGCATGTTGCCGTTTGCACTAGTCAGAGGGCTATCAGCGAGAGATTGAGGATGACTGCAGATGTCAGGATTCTACAATTCTCTTCTTTCGTCTTCGACGTGTCTGTGGGCGAGATCATTGCCCCGCTGATCTCGGGTGCCTGCTCTTGCATGCCTTCTGAGGACATGCGCGTAGATATCGCTGAGCTCGCTACATTCATCGAAAAGTCTCAAACAAACTGGGCGTTCTTCACCCCGACATTCGCTGGTCTAATTCATCCTTCCAGCTTGCCCACCCTTGAATTGGTGGCACTGGTCGGCGAGGTGGTTAGTCGTGATACGTTTGATCGCTGGTTTGGTAACGTCCCCCGCCTTGTCAACGGTTGGGGACCTACCGAGACCTGTGTTTTCAGCGCATTGCATGAATGGAGCTCTGCCGAAGAGTCGCCTGCGACAATCGGGCGACCAGTTGCATGCCATTGCTGGATCGTTGACCCCAAGGATCCCCAGCAGTTGGTACCGGCAGGCGGGATCGGTGAGATCGTCATTCAAGGGCCTACTCTTCTGCGTGAGTATTTGGCCGATGTAGAACGCACTAAACTTGTGATCGTTGACACTCCTTTGGCGGTGGCTACACGGCACAATTCTAGGCAATGGGGGAGATGCTACCTAACAGGAGACCTTGCGACCCATAATGCGGACGGGAGTCTACGTTATTGTGAGCGAAAAGATACACAAGTCAAGATCCGAGGTCAACGTGTAGAGTTGAGCGATATCGAGTCAAATATAAAGCCCATGTTGTCAAATGATCAACAGGTTGCAGTCGGTGTTATTAGCAAGGACCAAGGCGGCACTCTAGTGGCATTCGTCAGTCGTGGATGTAAAAATCAGGAGGGTCGTGCTCAGAACGAAGTTGGCATCCCTCCAGAGATCATCCCCTTCGACGATGAGATCTCTACTTCTCTCCACAAAGTAGTCGAATCTTTAGAGACCGTTCTACCAGCATATATGGTCCCCACCATCTTTCTCTGTGTACGACACATGCCATATCAGTTGTCGTTGAAGCTAGACAGGCAGGCCCTGCGCAGAGCAGCAGAGTCTATGCCGCCGAATGCATTAGCTGAAGTGGCGTTGTCCAGAACAGATGATGTACGCCCTCTTGACGCGGATATCCAGCTAGAGTTCAGCAGTGAATACAAGGTCCTGAGAGGAGCATGGGCTAAGGCCTTGAAGATTGATGAATCTTTTCTAAACCACACAAGTCACTTCTTCAGTCTCGGCGGAGACTCAATCATCGCTATGCGACTGGCCAACTCCCTGCGTTCCTCCGGTTTTGATCTTTCGGCCGGCGCAGTACTGAAGCACCCCCGGCTTTTGGAGATGTCTTTTCACGTTCGAAACCTTCATAAGCTAGCTAGGGCTTCTATCGAGCCGTTTTCGCTGCTCACTGGCGCTAGGGACCTACTCATCACCCAAGCTTGTCGCGCTTGTAACATCAGCCAGAGCCATATTCAAGATATGTACCCATGTACACCTTTTCAGTCGGGAATTATGGCAATCTTCGCTAGGGAGCCTAGATGCTATGTCAGCACCTTCACATATTCATTGCGAAGATCAATTGATCTACCCAGGTATTTGGCAGCTTGGCAGATGGTGCACCTAGCACTGCCCATATTGAGGACCAGAATAGTCTTGAGTAATAGCGGAGACTACTTCCAGGTCGTCGTCAATGAGGAGCTCTCGTGGTCAAAGTCTCGTCAGGACACATTCAAGATAATGGGTAGTGATGTAGGCAGAGCTCATTCCATGGGATTAGGTACCCAGCTCGTCATATTCGCTCTGGAAAAGGCTAATACCGACGAATGCTATAATCTTTCGTTAACAATGCATCATGCATTATACGACGGCTGGTCATTGACGATTACGATGAGTCTGGTTGAGCGAGCCTATGAAATGGGAATGATACCCAGTCCCGTTCTAGACTACAACATTTTCGTTCAATTTCTCCAGAACGCAGATAATGAGAACCGTGCCAGGTACTGGCGCGGTGTGTTGCTAGAGTCTCCTCAGCCATTGTTTCCGCCATATCCTATCAGATCTTACCGAGCACTCGACGATTCTTCGTACACAGTGACTACAAAGCTTCCGAGGCAGGGCAGCTCTGCCTCTACCCTGACGATTCTCTGTCACGTAGCATGGGGTCTACTACTGGCAAAGTATGAAAATACTAACGACGTCATTTTCGGCTGCACACTCAGCGGCAGGAGTGCAGAACTTGAGGATATCAACAACATATATGGCCCAACCCTGACAACAGTGCCTCTCAGGCTCAGCTTCGAGACTGGGCAGACCATCAGCTCTCTCCTTGGAAGTGCGAAGGGGAGCTATGATGATGTTATTGGGAACGCGCACTATGGCCTATCCAACATTGCTCGCCTCGGACCCGACGAGCGTCGAGGCTGTGGGTTCCGTACTATCATAATCATCCAGACTCCCGAGTTCGAGACATTAGAGGACGCGAGCGCCGACCGTGTCACAGACTTTCAATCGGAATCGGCAACGATCCATGGTATGCCTCTTACTGTGACTATTCGCGTTGGGCAAGACACAGACAAGATCACTTTTCGCTACGACTCGCACTGTCTGAGCGCTACTGACGTCTCTCGAATTGTTGAGCAGTATATTCACATCCTAGAAGCACTGAGTCATACATCAGAAGGGGACAAAATCTCGGATATGGAATTCTGTTCTCCAGCAGACTGGACACAAGTTCTAAAGTTAAACTCAGACGTGCATGAAAGAACAGACAGCTGCATTCACGACCTCGTGACAAGGTCAGCAATGCAGCATCCCACGAAGCGAGCTCTGGAGGCTTGGGATGGTAATGTGACCTATGAGGAACTCGAATGCCTGTCAGACCAGTTGGCCCAAAAACTCTCGCAGCTGGGTGTTGGCTCGGAAAGCTTTGTGCCTCTGTGTTTTGAGAAATCCAAATGGGCGATAGTTGCCATGCTCGGAATCCTGAAGGCGGGCGGTGCATTCGTACCCCTAGATCCCGCACACCCAAACGCCCGTCTTAGTATGATCCTAGAAGATCTGAACGCGACGATAGCTGTAACATCGGATACACACTCGGGTAGACTTTCGTTTGTCGAGGACATCGAGGTCATTGTTGTCAACGAGTCTTGTTTCAGACCTTCCAGCGCCCCTCCGAATCCTATTGTCAATCCCTCTAAGTCTCGTAATGCGGCATATGCAATGTTCACTTCCGGATCCACTGGACGCCCAAAAGGCTTCGTCGTCGAGCACGGCGCCTACTGTACGGGCGCCCAGATTCGCGCGCGTACTATCAGTCGTGATGAAAACTCGCGAGTTCTTCAATTTGCGTCATACGGTTTTGATCCAAGTATTGAAGACATCATGACGACACTCATATTTGGGGGCTGCGTTTGCATCCCGTCCAGCTCTGAAGCGCGCGAAAGTCTTGGACTCTATATTCAGCAGCACCGGGTCAATTTCGCGAATCTGACCCCTTCGTTCGCAGCAACAATAGACCCTTCTGAAGTTACATGCCTGGAGACCTTACTCTCCTCGGGCGAGCCCATGACAGATGAGTTCGTTAAGCTATGGGCAGGCCGAGTGAAGCTTATGAACGGCTACGGGCCAAGCGAGACGTGCATCAAGTGTGCCATTAACCCCTGCGTCAAACCCGGAGATAACCCAAGGAATATTGGCCATTCAGTGGCTGCGAACCTTTGGATTGTGGACCCAGAGAACCCCGAGCAATTAGCACCGTTTGGCGCGCCAGGAGAGCTGATGGTGGAAGGACCTTGTCTCAGCAGGGGGTACCTTCGACCAAGTGATTCAGTCGACGGCTTTATCGAGGCACCCAAATGGCTACAGAAGATGCGGCAAGGTGTGAGACCCAGGGTTTTCAAGACCGGTGATCTAGTCCGCTATGACCCTGACGGCAGCATATCATTCATCAGTAGGAAGGACACACAAGTGAAGATCAACGGTCAGCGCACCGAACTGGGTGAAATTGAGTCCCAGCTTCGCAGATTGTTGCCTGAGTCCTACACGTCGACAGTGCAGATGGTATCCCTCGCCGACAGGCCAACTGGGTTACTCATAGCATGCATCGCAGAGAGAACCGCGATATGCGCCGCGGGCTCGGCGATCGATACTGTCCAGGTTGCCGATCTCGCTGGTCACAGGGAGGTTGAGAAGTGGTGGGCGGATGAATGTTTCAGTTTCTCGGCGGTCCAAGAAAGTCTAGCTCGAGTTTTCCCAGTGTACATGATCCCTAAAGCGATCTTCGCCTTGGATCCAATGCCACTGAATATCAACGGAAAGGTAAACCGACGCGAGATATCGTCTCTTCTGTCGTCAATGCACCTTCGCGAGGATCTGGAGCCAGACGCGGCTCTAACTAGCGACGAAGCCTTGCTGGTGCAACTTTGGGAAGAAAGCCTCCAGAGGAGTTTAGGTCGCGTCAACGCCAGCGCCAATTTCTTCGACCTAGGGGGGGATTCTCTGGCCGCTATTCGTTTGGCCTCGCTTGCCCGACGCAAGCGTCTTCACCTGACAGTAGCTGGGATACATGTAAAGCCAATGCTGAAAGATATGGCTGAGATGATTGCATCGTCTTCTTTCAAGAGTATATCCACCTACCAGCCGTTTAGTCTCATAATACCCAGTTTAGGTACTCAGGCTGAAGTCATGAAGAAGTGCAGTCAGCAATGCGGCATCGAAGTGAGCCAAATCGAAGACATGTATCCGTGTACTTCTTATCAGGAACACTTCATCGCGCACGCCATACGATTTCCCGGTCAATGTGTCTTTCAGTCGGCGTTTCCCCTCCGTCCAGACATCGATCTTGATAGATTCCGCCTAGCGGTCGAGTCAGTAGTGAAGTCTCACCATTCACTTCGCGCCAGACTTGTTCTGATCAATCACGCTTGGCTTCAGGTTGTCGTCGAAGCACCCATTGAATGGAAAACTGCAGACAGTCTGCAGTCGGCATGGGACGCGCATACATCGCAGCCCATGATGGCCGGGGATGTGCTGAACCGCTTTGCTATCGTAGAGGACAAGCGGACAAGACTTTCGTCCTTCGTTTGGACGAGTAATCACGCCGTCTTCGACGGATGGTCAACTGCTACATTCTTGCAGCACATTGATCGCGTCTACTCAACCGGAGCACTTCCCAGTCTTCGAAGCAGCTTTGGGGAACTTGTACAGCACACGCTAACATTAGACATTGACGAATCCAGGGATTATTGGATTGACCACTTCGCATCAATTGACTGCAAGCCGCTCTGTCCGGTTTTGGAAGACCCTCTTGTAGATTTTCATTGGCATCGCCAATTCTGTCCTCCTCAGTCCAAAATACCAGTTTCCCTGCCGACTGCGATACTTGCCGCTTGGGGCCTCGTGATCGGCCATCAAACGCAATCCAACGACGCCGTGGTGTCGCTGTTGCAGCTTGGAAGAGATTCGCCGATTGACGATATCGAGAACATAGTTGGTCTAGTGGCTACTGCGTTCCCATTCCGAATCAACTTAGACCCTAGCATCCAGGTCCATGACTTCGTGCTCAAAACCAGTGACCGATTAAACCAGGCGCGCCGGTTCCAGTATACCCGTCCAGAGATGATCCGACAGTGTAGTGCTGATGCAAACAGGGCCATCGACTGCCAGACTCGCTATGTCGCGCATCCTGCACAGTTCCACAATGCATCTAAGCCGGAGCCGATTATTTCTGGTAGATCTCACAGAGTCCCTGTGAAGGGAGAATGCATCGAGATATCTCTTTCTTTCACATTCGGTGGACCAGCAAATGCCATTGCCATGGATCTCACATATGATAGCCGCGCTATAGATCAGGAGGTGGTTCAGAGTCTCATGGAGCGCTTTGAGCTTGTTTTTGTCCAGCTTGTAAAAGCGCCCTCAGGAAAGTGCCTGAAAGACCTCTCGTGGGACCCTTCAGCCATCTTGCAGGCAAATCCAATAATCAAGACTGATTTGCATCGCGCTGATGACTGGATTCCTTATCCTAGGGAATAAGCAAGGTAAGGAAACATGCCGGGGTGAATCAGTAGATAAAATGGAAGCCCGGCAGCTACAAGGAGGGACAAGACCGCTGCACCGCACAATGAATCAGCATCTGTTCCCGCACTTGTAATTGTTCCGTGTTGCGAGCACGCCGGGACCGAGAAAAGTGGGAACCTCGCAGGAGCTGACAAATCCCGGGTGCCTTTTCACCTTAGTGATTTCACTTCACGTCCAGCAATGTACAAGTGCTACTATATTATGCTATGTATCTGTTATGAGTCTTGGTGTTGCGAGGGGGAAGGATGAACTCAATTCCGTAGACCGGATCGCGATGACTTCAGAAGACAGAAAATATAGAAAATATAGGGGAGACAAGAGAAGGGCTCGACCGAACGGACACCGAGAAAATATCTTAGGCTCTCTTGAATTATTTTAAAATGTGTATTTAAATAGGATACCGATATCTGAGAACGGTATCTCATTGATATTGTTCGACAGTCGTCATTCTATTATCACGAAGAGTTCACACTTTATCTACTTTTCTCATTAATTGTCACTCATCCGAGTCTGTTAATATCAACATGGCACTAGCAAAGCAAATTCGCAATGTGACCCTCGTGGGCGCAAACGGCACAGTCGGTGCACCAATCTTGTCGTCTCTTCTTGCAGCAGGCCATAAGGTAACCGTTCTCACCCGGCCTGGCTCAACCAAAGACTTCCCTGCTGCCGTGACGGTGCATGTGGGTGACTACAGCGACGAGGAGTTCATCTCAAGCAGCTGTGAGTATTCTCAGAACCGTCTCTTTTCTAAGAGGATATAAAAGGCAGGATTTATTCACTATTTTGCTTAAAACTATATTCAAAACCCCGTGATAACTAGAAGCACTTGCGAGGCTCCTACACGAAGTGAACAAAACTAACTGTTAGTGAAATTATAGTAAAGGACCAAGAGGTCCTCATCTTAGCCCTGGCATTCACCGCATACGATGCCCAAATCCCACTGATCAAAGCCGCAGCTAAAGCGGGCGTCTCCTACATCGTCCCTTGCGAGTTCGGCTCTGACCCTACGCATCAGAAGCTGAACGCCGCGATCGAGCTCATGAGCATGAAAGCGCCATATCGCAAGCTCATTGAGGATCTCGGAATCAGCAGTTGGATCGGTGTGGTCAACAACCCCTGGGTGGAGTTCAGCATGCGACTAGGACTCTACGGCATCGACATGAAGAAGAGAACCGCGACGCTCTACGATGAGGGCAATACCAAGGCGAATTTCACAACACTTAAACGGGTCGGAGAGAGCTTGGCTGCCCTGTTGTCCCTGCCTGAGGAAGATTTGGCCAAGCACAAAAACGAGTTCGTCTACTTCAGCTCCTTCTATGCCAATCAGAAGGACTTCCTCGCTAGTGCCATGCGCGCAACTGGCACCACAGAGGAAGATTGGACTATCACCAATACCAGCACAAACAAAGTCCTACAGGATGCTCGCGAAGGCGATCCTTCGGCACGCATGATGTTATTGTTTGCCCTTGTGTTTAAGGAGGGATATGGAGGTGACTACAGCTCAAAAGTCGTGGACTATGAGAAGTTAGGACTAGTAGGGGAGGATCTTGATGCTATCATGAAGGGTCTTGCCCAGGAGCTCGCTGCGTAGGCTGTGTGCGCCGTATCTACAACGCAGACTGCAACAGACTCCTTGGAAGCTAGCCTGAATTCACCACGTTCACGAGTTGTCACAAGTCTTGTTTCATTCGAATCACATTGGCCTCGCGTCGGGTTTGATTTTGCTACCCAACAACGACGTAGCTGATACACAGATAAAACAGGTTTTTATCTCCCTTCGCATCTTTATTAGTGATTTAAAGAATGTCGATGGAATGATCGAAGACCTGTTGAGTACAGATGTTGTAGCTATGAGACCTGCCAAGTTATCCACTAGCACTAGGAGCCTGGGCTGTTCAGAATATAGCTCAATCGTGAAACCACATATACCAAGTGCAAGCTGAGAGTCCTGTAACTCCAACCTCGAGGTCTTGCCTTAGAGACTCGGGGGTGCTCGGCACGCTATTTTCCCTCCGCGCGTGTACCGGTACTTCATTTCTTATCGTATTTCCGCGCTTCAAGTGTGGAATATCCAGTAAAAATTAGCCTATGTACAAGGTATGACCTTGAGATGATCGTCAGCATTCATTTTGTCGTGGTGGTTCAAGCTTGCTTGCGACTCGTCAGACACTCATTCAGCTCTTCTAACCACCCACCTTATTTGGCGTCATTATAGATGGATAAGACACAGTTGCCTCGACCGTAGGCATACATGCACTTATAGACCGGGCAACAGGAATCTCGTAAGGAGATAAGGTAAGAGTAACGAAGCATCTCGTTCAACCAATCTAGCCAAGTTGCAAAGGCCTATCAAAAGAATAAGCACTACACTATGCACCAAGCCACCAAGATACCAGCTAGATAGATAATATATTTATCCCTAGGCGCGCCATTGGCTGACAAAGCATAGTGCACGACGCGACGGCATTTTAGACGCGGCCAAGACATGCATGTCGGCGTCAAGCGCTTCATGAAACACAGCTGAGCTACTCGTCACCACCACACGCCACACCAATGCACCGACGCACCAGAATAGTTTAGGTACACCTCCCTACACATACATTAGTTAATTTACTTGGGTATCGTCGCAGCCAGCCCATATGCGTCACAAGAATCCCTCGACTACACCTCACTACTCGGCCATTTACGTACTCACAAAGAGCGCCTTCATTCAATAGCGATAATACTCGTGGCAGCGCGCTTTACTCGTTCAAATTCCGCCCACCCACAACTCGTATATTCAGCAACAGGGAGTACAAGGAGGAGAAGAAAAGCGCCCCGCAACCATCTCAAATTTTCTTCGGAAACCGCCCCCAATAGCATAAGCAGTGTATCAGTACACGACATGCTTGGCGTCGATAACCGGGGGTGCGATGAAATGTACGGGGAAGGCGAAGCCGCCCCCCAAAAGCGGCCGTCACGCCGCACACATACCTACAGTAGATATGTAACAAGTATACATATAGAGTATAAGTAGGTAGCAACGTAACATACCACCGTCTACTTATGTATAGGAGGAGCCATGGCAATCAAACGCGGCCGGTCGCCGACTCGAAGGATTCACGTGGCGTCATCAGAAACAAGGTCAAGTAGTCGGAACGCGCGAATCAGATTTCCAGGCAGGGGTAAAGCAACGAAGATCAATAACGCAACTGGCACACCAAGCGAGTCCTACATATCTGGGCAGCATGATTTAAAATTGTAGAGTTTCTTCTAGGGCACCTGGTGTCTAGTACGTTACTTAGGATATGATAATGCTGTCTAATTTGCTATTTTGCGCAGATATAGGATTCTTGAATAAAGAAATAAGTAATTGGCTAATACGTAGTTGTCCACCCTCTTCTCCCGTTTGGATATCTCTAGTAACTAGTCTAAATGATGACCAGAATCCTTTTTCTCTCCTAGTCCAATGTATAGTCGTGATACAAGCGTAGATAGGTTGGGGTGAAACGTGACACTACTCAGTGTAGTAAGAAAGTATAGGAAGTAGTGTATAAAAAGTTGTATGCTAGATCGGAAACAAGTGACCCCAACGCCCGCTATAAACAAGTTCGTCCCAGTTATAATTGTTGCAATACTTAGAAAGCCAGACATATTAATGGGCTGAGTGTGGCTGCTCGGGGTGGTTGGGGGGTGACCCTTGAGCCGCTGGAGTGTTGTACACTTCGGGACCGGCAAGTTCTGTAGGGTGGTTTCCAGCTGCTAACTCTGCCGTGTATTGTTGCGGATATGGTTGAGCATAGCCAGCTGGGTATTGCTGGGGGTATGGCTGAGGGAACTGCTGACCATGTGTCGATGGGTCGACAGAGGTATGAGAGTAAGCGACCGACATGTTAGGAGAGGGGTCTTTTGCAGGGGCATAGAATCCATGTTGGGACATGGCATTTGACGGATGGTAAGACCCTATTGGCGTTGCCTGGGAAACATATGATGTACCATCTGAGGGAGCTTGAGGTTCATCCTTAGAAGTCTTGCGACGACGCAGCCAGAAAAAGACAATTGCCCCGATGATGGCAAGCGCCCCTACTCCCACGCCAACCCCGATGCCAGCTGCTGCGCCAGTCGACAATCCTTCGCTAGAAGAGGGAGAATCTGCACTAGTAGTCGCGCGAGGAGAAGATGATGTTTGCGAACTCGCGACATCGTCAGAAGCCAATGCTTTCCACTAGAGTCGCTAATTAGAACCGTTTTCTTGCACAAACTGTGTTTAGAGAAGCTAAGAGTATAGCAAGAACTCCAGGTAAGAATGAAAGGAGAAAGATAAGTGCTTACAGAGCCGGACCAAGATTCCTTCCAATCATTTGTGCTGGCGGTGATTTCAGTGTCCTTTTCCTTTAATGTGACAACCTGGGCAGCGGGGATATTAGGACCGGGCGCTTGTGCGAGCCACCACGTCTTAGAATCCCAATTGGCACCAACAAAAGCGTCCTGTAAGAAAGCTCGTCCTAGAGTATACCCGCTACTCGGCCCCGTATAACAAGGAAAGTACTGCTCGTCGCTATCAACAAGTGGTTCGGTCAAGGTGAGGTTCAGATGACGGAAAGGAACCGAGATGGTGACATATTTAGTGTTAGATCCCGCCAGGAAGGTGAAATCCAGAGCGGATGCCGAACTGACGATCTGAGTGTATTTTGGATCATCTTGTTGCCAAATATATAGACCTAGTTTCTGGTTGAACTTGACAGGTAGATGCTCGGCGATGGCGTCGCAAGTCGACTGAGGCAATGTTAGGTACGGCGAGCAGCCGTCAACTGATACTTTGATTCCTCCGGATGAGATCGACGCGTTATTGGCGGCAAGTAGGCCGTTTTTGGAATCGAATTCCCAAGGTGACATGCCGTCAATGACTCTCATGGTTATATCCTTCAAAACAATCGCCTTCGTATAATCGTCTGTCTCGGTAAGAATATCCCCTACTATGCGATTTTGATCATATCCTCCAAAGTACAACGAGCCAGGCATCACCGGGTCGACGGAGCCAATATGCATACCGAATGAGTTGGAAGGAAGCTGTTTTTGTTCGTGCAACCAGCCTGGAATCAGACTTGCATTGATCGAAGGCCCGTCGTTGGTCGTGAAGCTCTGATTGACTGTTCCTGGTGCGCCAATTCCCAGACACCCCGCGGATAAAGGATACCATGTTCCATCAGGGTAAGCGGCGTACGCATCGGAAATCAACGCCAGTGAAACATTAGGTACCGTTACGCCATTCACGTCCATATTGTCAATCCACGAAACTGCGTTTTCTCCCGCCACTGCCAAACCATTCATGAAATTCGGCCCTGGAGCGTATTGAACTCCTCCAGTTCCCCCTGTGTTGTCCACCTCCGCTTGTGCTTTATTATATAACCGTGCTTTCGTGGCAGGGCATGAGGCGTTACCATTGTTGCAATAGTCGCTCGTAAGTAAGAACGTTTGGAATTCTCGACCGGGATATAGAGCAATGGTTTGATCATATCCGAGAGTAACCTCTACCGCATGCCAGGGACCATCTGGCCCAAACGTCAAGTCGGACCATGTCACTTCTAACGGACTCGGGTTTTGTGCCGTAACCTTGGAGACTATGGCCAGGTAGCAAAGGAGCGATAGAGGGAGAGGAAGTGCTGAAAAGGCCATCATGAAGCGCGCTTATTACAAACCAGGCGCGAGCAGCGCGAGAAGAGAAATAACTGCTAAACTCATACGCAAGCGATCTTAGACGCCAGAAAAGAGAGGCAAAGAAAGGAACAGTATTCTAAGATAGGATAAAAGGAACAAGTGGGGATGGAAAACAACAGTAAATCTATCTGAGGCGGACATCAACTTTGGTCGGCAGAGGAAGAAGAGGTGGGTAAGCAGGTAACGAGGTCGCGAGCAGGCGAGCCATGCCCCATGCTCCAGTTTCACGGTGCCATTTGTGAATAGTCTACCTAGTATACTGCAACGAGGTGGGAGTCAAGTCCCCAACTACCCAAGCTGGGTTAGCAGAGGAGGCGGACAGGAGTCTCAATGTCCAATGGGTATCCAATGGAGCCAAAACACACAGCACTACGCCATGGTATTGTCCGTGTCGGATGTTGTCCTACACTGGACATGAATCGGTGGGTCGCATGAACTTGAAGGATCAGAATGCTGGGAGGTTATTAACGATTCTTGGATAAGGCTGGCTGGCTTGACGACCACGGAAGATCTCGCTTGCTCGTGTGGGTAAACCATCAGGTTTTGGTTTTGGGGGAGCATGAGACAGGCCTCCATGTGCTGCGCCGCTCTGTTCAGATTCGCCCATGATAGATCTCAATAATGAGAGTACACTAGACTATAACAAATATCTCAGCCAACCGATAGTAGGAGAAGCATTTCCTTCCATGCTAGCAAGATTGAAACAACCCAATGTCATGATGCTTTTCCTTTTGAGAGAAGTAGAGCAATGTGTGTCGTACTTACTATGTAAGTAGAGTAGCCGGCGAGGACTACCTAGGTACTTACTTAGAGCGCCCACTTCCAAGGTTCCTTCCCTACATGGTAGGTAACTCCTTAGGTAGGTGCTGTGCATTATTGCAGGGCTAGCGCAGGGCTTAGCGAAAGCTTAGCTTGGTCAAAAACTGCCTAGGCGGGTTTCATTAGTTGCAGGGTGCTACATTAGCAAGCACTAGCAACCCTGAGAAGTCCTTATACGAAGATAAGCCATTGGTTACTGCCTTAGAGGACTTTCCAGTTTCAGCATCTCAATCGAAAGGATTGGGATCGGTGTACTGTGTAACTTCTTAACGTTGCAAACTACATAGCACATGGCACGGAGCAGGTGTTTGATTTCCAAGTTGTGAGTATGAGCAACTATGTATGAGCTTCTTCAATAAGGCCTGAGCAGGTACATATACTACTTAGTAAACGAGCTACCTAGTGCCTAGTGGATTAGGTAAGTAGATAGACGACGGTTCATGAACTAGGCCCCCAAGTATCGTACGTTGGAGATGAGCCCAATTTCCGCATACTTATTTACCCACTGTTAGTGTACACTACTATGTAAGTAATCATGTTAGAAAAATAGTACATCGCCTTACTTAACTCAGAACAATTACTGAAAGTCCTCTGTTTTCCTTATTACTATGATCAGACTACCAAGAAGTAAGTAATCAGGGCTTATCGTAGGGGTCACCCCCGGTAGCCCATTTTCGCTCATGCAAGTATCTAATGCACTAAAAAGATAAAAATAGAAACCACTACAGTTTATATACAATGCAGACACCGTCATCCCCCTGAGCAATTACACAAGGTAACTGATCCATCCTTCTAAGTAACCACGGTCCACGAGTAACAGGGTGGCCACAGCATTTTATGTACGAAGTACCTATGGAGTTGAAGCTGAAGCACATGGGTATCTCTATTGACCTCTAGCCTCTGGACAAGAATACTTGGCAGGCGGCAGGCGGTATTTTTTTTTTAACACGCTCAAGAGTTCGGCAAAGAGGTATCTACTATGTAAGTAAGTAAAGATTGAATGACCAAGCAGACGGTAGTGTACCTTCTTATGTAATGTACTACTACCTAGTACTTGGCACAAATTGATTGCCTCATATAGCCTAGCACCTACCCCAACACTGCAAATATATTAGACACCTCCAGCCGCAGCGCTACGTAAGCCGCGCAGGGGTCTGACCAGAGGGCGCCTTCAAGTCCTGGCCTCTCACCTGGGCGTCCAATTGTCTTTGTGCTGTATTTGCGCATCAATTCTAGGCTCAAACAAGCCTGCTGTCGTTCCTGACCATCTCACACGACTTATTTTACTCGAAAGAGCACGCATATTCTGGTTCGATATCTGTCGACAACAACTTTGCGCGCTAGTCCTCCTCGCCCATGTTATTCCTACTCGATCCTGCACAACTCTGAAGGAACGGCAACAAGGTTTCGCTGACTGCCTTGCTAAACTTTGCGCATCTCTCGCTGCACCCTTATCCCTGAAATATCCATTGCTTAAACAACCGACATCCAGCTGACTTTGAACCGCCATCATGGCACCGCTCTGGGGCTCATCGTGGTCTTCCAAATGGGGTTCGGCATCGGCCGCCGATGCGAACGCTTCCGGTAGCAACGATCTCAAGCCCAGCCTTGCCCAGATTCTAACGTCGAAGCGTATCCGCTACACCGCGTCCGCCCTCGCCACCGTTGGCTTCTTTTTCCTCCTTTTCCACAACTACGATCGGCTTCCAACCTTGGCCACGATGCGAGGTGGCTATTCAGCTGCCGCACCATCCAACGCCGACTGTCTGCCCGCCGTTGTGCCCGTGTTCGATGATGCTTCCGTCGACTGGTCACAATACGCCTATACACAATATGTTACCAATAAAGAATATCTCTGCAATTCGGTCATGATCTTTGAGAGCCTGCACCGTTTGAAAGCGAAGGCCGACCGTGTTATGATGTACCCAGAGAATATGATGGATCCAGCCGAGACAAACCCACAATCGCACGAAGCCAAATTACTCGTGAAGGCACGAGACCAATACGGAGTGAAACTGGTGCCTGTGTCGGTGCAGCGGCGGTCTGGCGGAGACGGTACGTTATCCGCTGCTTGGAGATTGCCGCGATTTATAGAGACTCTTTACTAATTGTTTGTAGCTACGTGGGCGGAATCCTTCACAAAACTCTTAGCCTTCAATCAAACCCAGTATCGGCGTGTCCTGAATGTCGATTCTGATGCCACAATACTCCAGCCGATGGACGAACTTTTCATCATGCCGCCCTGTCCTGTGGCTATGCCTCGTGCGTACTGGCTCTTCCCGAAAGACAAGATTCTATCGTCCCAGTTGATGCTGGTCCAGCCCAGTGAGGTTGAATTTGATCGTATCATGAAACAAATGGAATCATCTGGCCGTAACGACTATGACATGGAAATTGTAAACCAACTCTATGCAGACAGCGCCATGATTCTTCCACATCGGCCTTACGATTTGTTGACAGGCGAATTTCGTGGTGATAACCACCAAAACTATCTGGGCACTGACCGTGAGGAATTCGACCCGGTCGCGATCTTCAACGAGGCCAAGTATCTCCATTTTTCAGACTGGCCAGTGCCGAAGCCATGGATAACGATGTCGGAAGGCATGCGCAAGGATAAGCAACCGAAATGCGAGAATAAAAATGGCCAGGAAGATTGCACAGCCAGAGAGCTTTGGAATGGGTTTTACACCGACTTTACCCAACGCCGCACGGTATGTCCGCTACCAGGGTTGTATATAATGAGACGTCACTAATTCATGAAACAGAAAGTTTGTGATACGGCAGCGAGAACCAGGAGATGAACAACAGCAACACATTTACACCTGGCATTGAAAAAATAGCCGCCTAGTGCATCTTTGGACGCAAGCGTCTTTTTGCTCAACCCAGTTTACGGATAATGACACGATATATTATACAGTAATGGATACCACGACTCGCTGTTTCACGATTTAGAACATGTAGACGATCTACCTATTCATCGGGTGTGAAGGATGGGGTAGAGAACTTTTTGGAAGGCAACACGATGTTTGCGACGACAACATTGTATGAATTCGCCTCAAAAGATCCACAGGGGCAGGACGTGGAAATTTTAGGGAATAATGCGTCGCAATTATCTCACTCCCTTTTTGGACGTATTGTGTGTAATACAAGGTTTTGAGCGGCTAGAGATAACATGAGCACTCCCAGGTATTTGGAACTCAGGGACTAAATCAATGAAAACCTGACAGCATAGCAATTCTGTATTAATAACTAAAATACCATATGAGGTCTACTCTCAGGACAATTCCGAGAGGCACGCGGCCTTTCCGCCGCAATCAGAAACATTGCCCCATTCTCAGATAGGGATGTGCACGACCCTTATAAACGAAGTACGGCGAGTCAAGCATCGAGATGAACCACTTACCGGCGCATATGCCTTCATGAAGCCACAGGAACATCTTCGAGATGAACACCCACCTGTGTCGATTTGCATATACTGGTATTCTTGAATGATGCATCTGGAGCCTTGGGATAGATCGAAGAACATACTGATAGTGAAAGGAGAAGTTGTTCATATAGCGCCCACCGCTACAAAGGGTACCTAGTATTCCGTGCATTAGGGTGCTTATACCTATAGCAACATCTACACAACGTCCGGCACTCCGGCCTTTCAAAAGATAAGTGGTCTGGCCTTTATATGTAAATCGGAAGTAATGTAGCTGTTGACAAGATGGGTTATGTAAATGTAGTACAAGACCAGCCTAAGGTTGACTTGCATATTGAGATAGGTACTTAGTTAGGTACAGAATACATGAGGCCTAATAGAGGCTGAAGCTATTGTGGGGTAAGTAGTGATGACGTCACATACACCCCCACAGGAGCTTTTTCTCCCAAGAGCCTTCATCAAACAGAACCAAACATGAGATTAACGGTCTTGACGGTATTCTAGCCAGTGAGACAAAACGACGTGGGCAAAGACGATCGAGATTCTGATGCGACACACTATTTTCTTGGCTACTTTGTACAGTTTTGACTTCTTACGTCATCTATCGCATCATTTGGGACCCCCTAACGTATGGATTACATTCACATGTGTTCTTTAGGAGGGCGCTGCATGTCTGGCCCCTTTAGCTAGGTAACCTTCTGTGAAAGGACCTTTCCAGAGGCGTGTATTATACTCTTATGACGTGTTCGAATCTGATCTACTTACATGTCGGCAAGCCACATGCCTATGATACAGTATGCGGTGAGGTTCTGTAGCAGAAATCCCAGAAGCAGCTGTTCACTGCCTATGGCCAACTTACTTGAAATAGGAATAGAGGTGAGATGTATACAACCACCGTTTGATTATACAAGGGGAAATCTTCCATCATTGTGATTGCAGATAAGTTCACACCTAGGTACTTGGAAAGGTAGTGTAAAGGTAAAGAGAAGGTACCTTTGTAGAAAAAGAGGTAGCCACGAGTGACGTGACGCATTATTGAATCATCACACCAGCCACGGCCACCTCGCATCTCCACACAAGCAAGAAGTCTTGTACACCATACCTACTCTGACCTTACCTTCACTGGCTCGGCTGGAGCCCAACAAACCAAGGCGAGCAAGGAACTCTTTGTTTGATTGACTTGCAACTTACCAAATCAGCACTGGAGATGTTCATATCTGCCTAGCCTAGCAATAGACTACTGTACCATACCCTCCCTAAGTACCTAGGTAAGTACTCAGCTATTACCTAGGTAGCGAACCACCTAGAACTAACTGACGTGACGTTTGTTTGAGACAGGAGAATCCTCCGCATATCAAAACTATCACATCTCCCCTCGGTTTCTCTACTTTACTTTCCTATTACAACTCTCAATCATCAATCTACCGTGGAATACCCATCAACTACTACCACGAATACGTTGCATCATCTTTCAGTCAGGGTATCATTCATACCACACACCGAATCTGATCAGCCACCACCGCCGACTGAGCCCTGCCCTGCCACAATGAGGTTGACAAGCCTCTTCACTTTCGCCCTGGCGACAAATGTCGCTGTCGGCAGCAGTAACTGGTTTTCGAAAGCAGGTGTGTCATCGATTCCAACATTCCACACCACCAAGCTGCCTTCTGACTAGAAGATGGCTCAATACTTCGGTTGACTTCGACGGTATACTAACCTGGCTCTTTGACAGCATACAACAAGTGGCACGAGACCGAACTGGAGCGCTGGCTGTCCGATAATGACATTCCCTATCCTACACCCGCTGACCGCAAAGATCTTGAAAACTTGATCCAGAAGAACTGGGATAATTACGCCATTTCACCTTACAGGAACTGGGACACCGACAAGCTCAATTCCTATCTGAAGACCAAGGGCGTCGAGACTAAAATCGCCGCTCAAGCGAACAAGGATTCCCTAATCTCCCAAGTCCAAGGTCAATGGTACGAGACCGAGGACAAGGCTCAACACGCCTGGGCAGATGTAAAAGACTGGATTTTGGACACTTGGACCGAGAGCACCCTGAAGTCATTTGCTGATAAGCATGGTATTCCAGGTTCGCATACTCCGCTACTCCACGTAAAAATATTCCGTCGACGCTGACAATTACACAGTTCCCCAGCCTCGAAAGCGTGATACACTACTGCAGCAGATTCGCAACAACTATGAAAAGGTTGCGAAGAAGACCGGTGAAACTGCTTCGTATCCTGGTAACTGGCTATATGAGACATGGTCTGAATCTGACTTGAAAGAATGGCTGGACACTCATGGGTTCCCCGCTCCTCAGCCCACGACTGTAAGTTGCCATATCATCCTCGTTTATAACTGATTACCTAACATATTTATAGCGTGATGAGTTGATTGCTGCGGTCCGTCGTAACTCCCGCCTCGCATATCTCAAATCGCAAGAGGAAATGGATGCTGCGTCCGCTAGAACCAATGCTGCCTATGGTGCTCTGACCGACAAGATCATCGATGCATGGAGTGACTCCCAGTTGAAGGAGTTCTGTGATAAGAACGGAATCTCTGGTACGTTCTTCGCTAATTTTTTATTAGTCCTAGCTAACATGATGATCAGTTCCCCAGGGTACCAAGGCGAACCAACTACGCGCACTTGTTCGCAAGCACCGCGCTGAGATCTTGGGCGACACCGTGTCAGGCTCGGCCGCTAGCGCATTTGGTGCTGCCACATCCAAGGCTGGGAACCAATATGCCAAGGCTACGAACGATGCTAGTCTGGCTGCTCAAGAGGCATTCGACCAGGCTATCCAATATTGGTCAGACACCCGGCTAAAGGCATACCTTGACGCTCGTGGCGTACCTGTTCCCCAAGCTTCTAAGACTGATGAGTTGCGTGCTTTGGTACGACGCAATTCTCACAAAGCGGCTTCAGGTTACAACGCATGGACTTGGGACGATCTTTCCTATGAGAACCTTAAAAACTACCTTGCCAACAGTGGCGACGCTGCTGCCAAGCAGGTAAGTGATAGTGCCAGCGCAACCCGCGAGGATCTAGTCAAGGCAGCTCAGGATGCGTACGCTTCTGCCTCGAGCGTTGGAGGTGGCTCATACGCTTCGGCCACAAGCTACCTCGCCCAGGCAACACAAGCCGCTAAGAATAATGTTTTCGACACATGGAGCGAAAGCGAGCTCAAGGCGTACTTAGACAGCTATGGCGTGGTACGTACCATCTATTCGATTCTGCTGAGCTGAGACTGACGATCACTCCAGCAAGTTCCCCAGGGCTCCACACTCAACGAGCTTAAGGCCGAAGCCAGGAAGCAGTCTACGTACTTCAAGTACGGTACTTCGGGCCCCGTTGACACTGCATTCGCCAAGATTGGCGAGAGCGTTAAGGGCGTTTACCAATGGGTTATGGGCCAATTGGGTGCAGGTGCCACTGAAGCGAAGAAGAAGGCGAAGAACGAGCTGTAAAGGTATTCAGTGTATACCCGGGGTCATGACTTGATGCCCCCAACGAGCCGCTCGGATATGCGGGCTTTTACGAGAACATGATTAAGACCACGATACCATTCGCCTTGTACACCCAAGAAAGATGGAGAAGTTTGTAATATTCTTCCTTTACGTATGTGAAGGGTGTATGAAAGTATGGTTTAACTGGTTGCGCAACGCGGATATCTTGATACTGGCGTACGAGAACTGTTGCATCTGGTAGAGACCGCTGGGCCTGTATTTATTATTTGGAGTTTGTCACGTTAATAAATTTACGATTTCGCAATAATTCTGGATTATAATTTTTGTATCAAAGTGAGTACATTATTGCTATCTATAAATAAGTGCATCTTGTTCTGGCACCCTAATGTCACATCCAAGTTGACCTGTCACACATAGATAAGTGCGAGTAGACAATATTGCATTCTACGCCATGGCCCTCGGCACCCTGTATTATCACTACCTAACCTAATTGATTCTCTCAAATACAGGCATGTATTCCAACGGCGCAGCAACCGAGACAGCAAACTCATCGTCACCCGCGCTGAAGTAAACGGGACCGACCCGCTCGCCATCGACACCGATCATCTGCCACTCGGCGCCGCGCGGCAACACGACGCGCCGCTCCCTCCGTCCCGCATACAACACGGGAGCCACGAGGTACTTTCCCCCAAACATGTACTCGTCACTAACATCCCACAAATCCCTCTGGTGCGGAAAATCGTAAAACAAAGGCCGCATGACCGGGTCCCCGTCCTCGTGCGCCGCGCGCATCAATCCGCGGATGTACGCGCGGAGCTTCTCCCGCAAAAAGAGGTAGGATTCGCAGATGGCGTAGACCTCCGCGCCGTACGACCACACCTCGTTGGCCGCGCCCGACAGGCAGTGCGATCCCCCCGTCGTCCCGTGGCGCGGCTGTTGGGGCTCGCGGTCCCCGTGTAGTCGGAATACGGGGCAGAAGGCGCCCCATTGGAACCACCGCGTGAAGAGCTCGCGGAAGGAGGGCGACCGGGGATCGCCGCCGTGGAATCCGCCTATGTCTGTTGTCCACCAGGGTATGCCGGCTAGACCGGCGTTGAGACCGGCTGTTAGTTGGGCGCGGAGGCTGGGCCACTGGGGTGTGTTAGTTTTTTTTTTTTTTTTTTTTTTTTTTTTTTTTTTTTTTTTTTTTTTTTTTTTTTTTTTTTTTTTTTTTTTTTCCGTCGTGTAGGGAGTTGGTGTTCTCTGAGAAGGACGGATGGGGTGAAGGGGTGTATTTTGTGTACTTACTGAGCTTGCTATGTCGCCGGACCACTGTTGAGATAAGTCGTTAGTCAAGTTTGAATTCAAGGATAGAGTGGTGTGGTGGCTGAGGAGAAAAAGGAGGCGTAATACTAGAAGAGCTCCGTATTTCTGGCTCCCGGCCCAGCAGCAGCGGACTAGATTCACGACGCGCTCTTGGCCGGCTGCTTTCATGCCCTCGTAGAATGCGCGCGAATACTGTACCGGGTATATGTTGCCGACCACTGGCGATTGTTAATTATTAGGTATTATTACTACCCCTGAAAGACAATTGCATAGTGTCGGCTCCCTATCGTCATCCGGAGAGCGTTGTACGTTTTCACTTCTGGGAGGATAGGGTTCTACCTGGGTTTCAATGATAAAACTTACTTAGGTCAGGACCAGCATGGTATCGATAATTATCAAAATCGTAATGCGTATACTCTTTTATCTACCCTCCAAGCTTGACCCCTGGAACATACAGGCCTATTATACCCAAATGCGGTTCAAGACACAAATAAGTGTAAAGTTTCAGTTATATTCTAGCTTTCAGATGCAATTTCATCACGTATCCGTGGATCAATTAGAGCTCAACAAGTCCGGATTATTTGAATGTAGTCGCACTGGAATACGGAGCTAGTTATATACTATCGCCGTCATTTACGCCCAAACATCAACATAAAATCCCCCTTATCAGACATCATTGACATGGACGTAAAACTCCGGCCCAGTGCATACACTGCCATTAAGCACTGGCGCATTATACCCGTAACCGTGCATCACGGGCGAATTGATCAGGAAGTTCGCGTCGGGTTCAAGGTTCGTTCGCGGGCTACACGACAATGGGGGCAAATGAGCGATACCTGTAAGCTCAACCTGGCTCCTATCAGGGCAAAGAAGTCAGTACTGTGAGTCTACTATATCTCAGGGACAAGACGTAGGAGGCATAGTAGGACATACTGTACTCTTTCGTCGTCACCAGGCCAACTCTGCGCAATTTCGAGTGTCATGTTCACAGGGTCCATGCGGATCTTGGTAGTCAAGTTCGCCAATCGATCGGCCATTCCCCAAACACTCGTAGTACCGTTAGCAAAGATGAACAGCTGATGGTCCATGTCGCATGTAAACCAGTGTGGACTAGGCGGTGGAGGGCCTTCAGGTCCTGCATTGTAGTCCGTCATATTCGTGATATTGGCGAGCTTCGCGTCGTTTGTCTGCTCGACGCATGGGATGATCTGCTCTTGTGAAAAAGTCGATTTGACTTTGGAACTGGCATTACCGCCCACTCTGGTGATGTTCATCCGTATCATTGCCTCGCCGCAGTTAAAGAACTGGGTCGGTGGCGGCGGAGGTGCTGGGCCAACACCAATATAATATGTCCACACCGTGTACCCCGTACGCCATTCGAAGTCTGTGATCTTCCAGGATACTAATTTGGTATCTGCTTCACAAGTTCTGGGTGAAGGAATTGCCTGTGTTGGCGAGCATTTGATTGTATTTACGAGAGCGGCAGCCGACAACAATAGCGCCAAAATCACCATTTTGATGATTCATGAGAAACGAATAGATGGTGAAATTCCAACAGTCGAGTTTATGGAACTTACCATACTCCTGATGTCGTGGGGTTCACATCATTCAATCTGTATGTGACTTTAGCCGGTTCGCATAGTATATCAGTTGGAGCTGATATGGAGTCTATATTAAGCAGCACACCTAACCTAATCTTATCTACGAGGTGAAGGCGATATGTACACCGAATAATGACAATACTTATGCTGGGATGGCTATTGCCTATGGTTTATCTTCCAGGTTTTGTCCTATATGGCCTCACTAGACCTTCATGGGGATGAGGGTGGTGATGGCTTCAAGTGGCAAGTGCATGTGGGTAGGTCAGTCGAGTATCAGAAGGCTACCAGGGATTGTCAGGGCAATATGTAGTTTTGTTGGGAAGCCGTATCCAAACTGTATAACCAGACGACAGCCAGCCATAACTGCCCGATAACTGCCCATTCAGTTCTGCTCTTTTGATAAACCATGGCTTTGAAAATGAACCAACCGCAGAAATCTTGTAGAAACTGCAGTTGCCTAGCTAAGTAGGTACATACTTAGTAGATGGTTTATTCGAGGGTCCCTGGAGCCTTCAACGCGCGATGACTCGTAGCAGGCCATAGCTGCTTCTTAGACAGGACATTGAAACCGCATTGGAAAGAGCGTCTGAGCATTCAAGATTGAACAATCGAATGGCAGAGGATGGTGTTATTCCCCCATCCTCTTAGGGCCATAGTTCAATTCAACTTCATCCACATCTCTCCAATATTCCCATTCTCTAATCAAAACACTTGTGAAGATTATTTTGCCATTCATATTTCCAAGCTTCGCAATGAATTGTCTATGGCATTCTGTCACTACTGCCCTTGAAAGCGCCCTACCTTCGGGGAGATGCGTCTATCCTTTCCAACCCAACTTTGATGATGTACACCTGGCCACGTACGCATCAGCTCTTGATGCAGAGCTACGCCCCAAGTTCCATGTCCTACCTCAAACCAGAGACGAAGTCACTATTTTCATCAAAACTATCCGGAATTACGTCATCAAAAATAACGTCAAATTCGCTGTTGTCTCTGGAGGATGCCTAACAGCTCGTGGTTGCTCCAGTATCGAGCAAGGAATTGTCCTTAACTTGTCGCAACTGAAAGGCATTAGGATTCTGTCCGAAGACATAGTAGAAATATTTGTTGGAGAGAAATGGGGAGATGTATACGCTCTACTGAAATCAATCGGGAAGATGTGTGTAGGGGCTGACGACGCCGGGATGGGTATCGGCAATGGGATGTCGCTGGACCGTAAGTATTGTGTTTTATCCTATGTTCCAACAATGAGGAACCATTACTTTATCAGCTATTACCGTAGATTGACACTTGATACAGGCGGATTATCGTTCATATCCCCTGGTGAAGGTGTGATGTGCAACAACGTATGTACAAGACCTCTTCAATCTGAAGCAACCACTTCCAGCATACAGCCAATCCCTTCGCTATATCCTTACAGGGAGTGCTGAAACAGTGTAACGCAGGTAAAATCTTGTGATGTGGTCTTGGCGAGTGGCGAAGTGATCCATACATCAGATAACGCAACTCCAGCCCTATTTCAAGCATTGCGAGGCACTGGTAATAATGTGGGCATTGTCACATCCATACGTGTCAGGATGTTCGACCATAGCCAGCGAATATACGGTAGGACCGTGAAATATGATTACCTGGGGTTCGTTGCTCAGGTAAGCTCGCTCCAATTCCTCAGCAGAGCAAATACTTACCCTGGACCCCAAAACAGATTCCCATGCTTGTTTCCGCAATGCAGAGCCCGGACGGACTCAAAGGAGCAGATGTTTCTATGCGCTTTGTAGTTTCTCGTACATCTGGTCTATTCGGCATCAATTATCTGAAGTACGATAGACAGACGGAAGAAAAAACTCCTCCTCAGGTGCTCGAGCCCTTTATACCGATTAGTAGCGAGTGTAAATTAGGGCCCGCGGATCTTTCTGACCTCATCAAAGGGCCAAATCGCACGCCAGGGAAAAGGTGCGTAGAATTGTTTGATTTCCTTCATTTAGAAAACCCGCATCAATTTCCTTTGATATTGATATTAACACCCATACAGGTTAGCCCATATGCATACGTGTGTGAGACCAGACAATACAATTCTTGTTGAAGGGGTGGATACCTTCATTATCAGAACAATGGATCTGGCGTGGTGCGAGGGACACATCTTCTCATATTGCCTGTACCCTTACTACCCAAGTCATTTGCGAAATATCAATACACGCCGGGACCAATTTTCCATGGGCACAGAGCCATTCATCATGATAGTGTTCCGATTGGAGTGGGAAAATCGGGACGACGACAACAACATTCTAGCTGAATTTCAGGATGTTCTAGAGCATATTGAACATTATGCCAACTGTAGGGACGTCGCTGTGCGGTTTAAAAATATGAGCTATTCGGCTCATTTTCAGAATCCCATTGCATCATACAGCAAGTACAAAAGGGATTGTATGAAATGGTCGTGCTCGTTTCGCGATCCCGACGATATCTTTCATTGGGGAGTTCCCGGTCCTTGGAAGCTATGATTGATTGATTGATTGATCGATGGTGTTTAACGTCGTAAGAGGCTACTCTGCGTTGCAGTTGGTCCGGGCCTCCGCAAGGGCACTGAGACGTGGCGAGTCCTTGGAAGCTACTTACCTAGTGTGAGACCATACTCTATAAATCAGGGAATTAGATGCGTTGGAGAGCACCGGTTAGACTTAACAACAGACTTTCCCTACCGTGTTGATAGATGATAGATACTGCGTTCTGTATAAGAACCCGCAATAGATCATTAGCCGTAACAAACTACTCCCAATCCAAATGGAGGTGTATAAATTTATATTCAAGAACATTCTGCAATATCTTTGAGTCGTTAATCATTCCGCTCATTCCGTACCTAAACTCTATAGTGTGGGATACCACCGTTTTGGATGACAGCTGGTTCCTGACTAAATTGAACAACTTGGAGCGTTTGTATCTCGTGAATGCGAATCCTTATACCTACATCTAACAAAACGACTCATGACCTCCGCCATATCAAAGCGTTCAATAGGATAACCATGCGAACATAACACGTGGCTGTCAGATATCCGGAATTATCGGGGCGTTACGGGGTGAGAACGGCCTTAATGCCAGACTTAACTCCGCCTTCTTACACATCCCTTGATACTTCGTCTCGTACATGTCCGGTATAGGATGATATAGGATTGAAAAATGCATCGACTTTGAAGCACTCGATACCTCTTCATAGGTAAAATAATCAGGACCTAGTGTAAACTCGTAGGAGTCCACATCATAGTATTTCGTACTTATTTATGGAACTGTCCGATGTCGAAAGATAGAAACCCTTATTTGCTAGCTGTAATCTTCTACACGTTACGAGATTCTGGAATGCTTGGCCTGGAACCCGCGGCGCACCGAGTGTATCCCATATGACTTGTTTATAAATACAGTAATAAACCACAACAAGTTCACATGCTCTACTCCGGCCCCTCAGGTCAGAACAATACCAACACCATGTCAGCTCAGAAAGTCGTTCTCGTCACCGGCGCCACTAATGGCATTGGTTACGAAACGGTCAAAGCATTCCTACAGTCCCCGAATAGTTACCACATATACCTCGGCAGCCGATCCTTAGAGAAAGGCAACGCTGTCCTCGAGAAGCTCCGGTCCGAATGTCCGGGAACCAGTAATACTGTGGAAGTGCTCCAAATCGACCTATACAGCGACGAATCCATAGAGAAAGCTTTCGAGACCGTCAAAAGCGGGCAAGGGCGTCTCGACGTTCTCATCAACAATGCCGGTATGTTGCATATCATGAATAATTCTTTGCGCGAAGAGGTAGATTAACTGACCGACCCTACCTTTATCAGGCGGCGGTTTCGACAAGGAATTCACACAAGGCAAAATGTCTCTCCGGGAATGCTTCACGAAAGCCTACGACCTCAACGTCGCGGGTACCAACGTCGTGACATGGACCTTCACCCCCTTACTCCTGAAGTCCTCTACTACCCCGCGGATCCTGTTCCTCGCGGGTCTATCGCAGATGACGCAAGCCGCAGAGTCGTATTTCCCCACGCCGCCACAGCCCGCGGGATGGCCGAAGACCATCGACTTTGAAACTATCGGGTATCGCTGCAGTAAGACCGCCTTGAGTATGCTCATGCTCGACTGGGACCATAAGCTCCGGGCGGACGGGATCAAGGTCTTCAGCGTCTCCCCGGGGTTCTGCGCCACGGGACTGGGGGATCTCGGCGAAGATGTCATGGCGGCCATGGGGGCTGTGCATCCGAGTGAAGGCGCGCGCAGGCTTGTTAGTGTTGCGGAGGGAAGCAGGGATGCGGATTCTGGGAAGATTCTGGATAAAGTTGGGTTTCTTCCGTGGTAGAAGGTAATTAGTTGATTTTGATTCATCTAATAATGTACCTTTTCTGCCTTCTCAAAGGAAAAAGAGTTATAAAAAGAGAGAGAAAAAATCGAGAATTGCCCCTATTTAGGACCCAAACGCAGCGCATCACCAAACGCATGACTTTCCCCCCTTCTATCCTCAATACTAAAAAACAACAGACTCACACCAACACAACACCTCAACCTAGACCAACCAACGAAATTTCAAAACCACTCACATCCAGCTCGACAAACAACCCTCATCTTCCTATCCCAACAGCATCAATTATTGCCAAGCCTAGCCTCGCAAAAACAGCTCAGACAACATACTCACCACCATAATCCTGCTCCGGCAACTATATTTCCAACACTATCCCGGTATTATCAGCAACTAAGTTCATGAGAACGTGAGTCATTATAAACGCAAATAAACCCTGCCAAACATGGCCACACCAGCAGCACTAATTACCAGGATGACTCACAGTACAAATGCCCAGGGTGCAACGGACCTTTCAACCTCTATTCCATTTCAACCAGCTTGACGGATCTGTGGTTAAGAAACGTGTTGTGAACAAAGCCCATGAGTATTAGATAGTACCGTCATACGTAATTTACAAGATTCTCTGATTGACATGCATTTACTAGTCTCTGATGAAAGTGCTCTGAAATTTTCATGAATAATTCATTTTACTCGTGTCTATCCTCGCTGGTCTCCTACAGGAAAGATAATACAGTGATTACATGTAAAGTGTGCATCCCATGTCTGGGAAACCAATCCTACAAGTTAAGGTCTTTTCCACCTAACTCCACCGCTGCCCATAGAGCTGGACCCAGGGGTATCACGCATTAACCAAGCCTTGTTGACACCAAAAGGACCAGGAATTCCAACTGATAGGAAACTTTTGTTGTTGATCGACGATTTTGCCTGTATTTTATTTCGAATCCTTCTACCCAGGATTTCGAATTGGAAGACTGAGAGAAATATGGTTCACGTAGAATCTATCGTTCTTATCTGAGATGCCAATTGAAGGTCTTGGCGGAGGACCTGGAGCATCATGAAAATAACAGGTAAACTTTCGGGCCCACGCTTGAAATAAGGAAACTGGGTGATTTAGGAAAAGAGATCAGGAAACATTGTTAGTTTGCTGTCTGTGGCCAGGGATGGCTCAAGGCCATGCCGTCCAACGACGTAATTTGGGGAGAGTACAAATAAGAAGTAGTGAGATGGAGACGATCCATAGAGTTAGATACGTAGCGGTCCGACATCTGGAACGCTTCTTTGTCTTTTATGGCCCATATGATGCTCCGATGAGGCCTTCCTTTTCGAAGATGACGAGAGAGGGCTGCTGGCAAACTCAGGCATCTTCTTACGTTTGCGAAGCGGTGAGATAGGAACATTGGCAGTAGCAATACGCCCATCCTTGATACCTCGCAATGTTCCTTCGAAATAGGGGCCCGAGAACGCCAATGAATCGTGTGTAGCCTTATTGCGTGTAATTAAACGATGATGTGCTTGGTCCCTTCGGAAGGCACCAACAAGGTTGGAATCGTGCGTGAAATGGTCTAGAAGTGAAGTCACGTCACTAGAAGATGTCGTAGGTCGGCCAGGCGTACACAGAATGTCTTCTCCGTCATCCTTGTTAGCCCCCTCCTGATCATCAGATGAGTCGCTATAGTCATCAATATCGAGGAAGTCTTCGATATTCAGGTTTTTCTCCTCTTCATCAACTGCGGGGGCTTCAGACCCGGAACTGTCTCCGTATCCGTTCGAATCAGTTGCCTGCGAATACCACGCTTCGGCAGGTCCAACTGCATGGGTATTCATGAAATCGCCAAAGGTGTTAGAGGAGATCATGCCGCTCATCATAATGTTACCAGGATTACCCAAAATAGGGGATGCTTGACCTTGGTCAAACAGAGAAAAGTTGAACGATTCTGGTGATAGATCAAGTGCTTGTTTCATGCTTCGATGGGTGAAAATCATCAATTTGCCTGTTTTCGGGTTAACCATAGCAATAGGCTTCTTCTTCAAGGACTTGTCCAAGTTGAAACGGCCCACACGGGGATGACCACGGCGGCCTTGGATGATCTCGACGTCAGATGCTTCCGACGCCTCTTCCTCAAGATCCTTCCGAGTTTTACGTCGAATTGGTCTTGGGGCAGGTTCTTCCTCATCCGTAGTGTCACCATCAGCTGAAAAGGGTTGATTAGCAGTGTTGCTAGGCGTCAAGCAACAATATCAACTTACTTTGGTAGCCATCTAAAGACTCCTCGTCTTTTTCAGGCGACGGGGCAGGGGTGGAGAATGCAGTAGACATGTCGTGTTGTGTCACTGGCGTAGCGACAGGGGTGGTATCATCTCCTTCAATGACACTCATAAGCGCTTCAAAATCTGACGTCTCTTCTTCATAAACGCTTCCGGCAAGATTAGAGGTTTCGTAGTGATCCCAATAGGCATCGGAGTCGTCCTCAGTGTCTTGATCGACCTCAAGACGGAAGGATGGGTCCAGTGTGCTCTTGTCGACAAATAGATCTGGGAAGAAGCCATAGGCAGTATCTTCATCTGTTTCAGTGTCGTCATCGTCCTCTGATTCGGGAACATCGAATCTAACCCGACGTTTGACAGCCGATGTAACTGGAATACCCGCTACATCATCGTCAATCTCGGTTTGCTCAGGTTCTGATGGGAAGCCATCCCAGCTAGTAGTCTCTTCGATCTCATCGTCGTCTTCCTCGTAGTCTCCTCCCTCATCGTCCCCGAGGGCTTCATCGTCGTCGTCATCTTCAGCTTGGTGCGGCCGAGGGGAGGTCCGGGTAGTATGTTGTATCTCGTCGGACAATATATGCTCCTCCTCGGCCGCCTCGACATCCTCCTCATCGTCATCTGAGCCAGTGATATCTTCGACACCTGAATATCCACCGTCGTCTGAAAGGTCCAGGGACGACAGGGAGTCGGAATCCCGGCGACTCTTAGCCTTAACTGGAGTTACCGGGATTTTCAGGCGTATCATCGTGCCTTGCCGCATGATGCTGTGCACAAGTGCAAGATTTGTGGAGGCGTATGCAGGGGGTATGTGGTCTTGGAACCGAATCTGGTACTTTAAGGTGTAAAGCAAACGGCGGTGAAGTTCCCGACCGTTTCCTCGAAGCCACTCGAGCTAGGGTCTTCCCAAGCTACCGGTAAATAGCAGCACAGTAGATACAATTATTGAAATTTCCACCTCGCTTAATTTTACGCAAGGTATCAAGGTATTGAGAAACAATTGATTGTATGTAGAGGGTAGAGGGTGGGATAGTAAGGTTAGGAGGCCGAGTATTGCAAGTAAGTATGAATCGCGTGGAGCCCAAGAGCATGTAGGGGCGTTAATGCGTAGGTTTCTGTTTAGGTTGCAGACTTTCTTCGAAGGCTTCTTCGGTCGGGGAAGAGAGCACAAGACAGTTAAAGTCTGTGGAACTTCGTCGATTGGGCAGTGGGTTGAATCTCTCGGTGAACTGACGGACTACGGGACACGCCCAGTGCAGGCATGTCCCGCAGTGGGTGTTTACAGCTCAGCGACGACCGAATACATGGTGATCTCGACGAAGTTGTAAATGGAATGCTGTTCTAGGTGGTATGGTAGTGCGACTTCGTTGTCTTTGGGTGTGGTTTGGTGGTTGATTCCTACGTGAGGAAAATGATGGGAGGGAGGAGAAAAAGGTAGCCGCTCGAGGGTGGGAAAAAAATTGAGGTAGGTAGGTATACTTGCCGTCCCGTTCGGCTGCACCCACTTTGCTCCGGGGCTGCAGATGTACCTACCTAGGTACCTTGACACTGCCGTAAGTATGTAAGTACCCTGGAGGTACCCACCTGAAATAGGTACCTACTTACTTAGCTACAATATTGTAGGTTCTGTAGGTACTTGGGCCCCTGTTGCTCGCTGGAGCGAGAAATGCCACAGGGGTCAAATGGGCAGACAATGGGACTGAACGGGACTGAATACCTAGGCCACATGGAGGTAGGTACTTACGTGCAGTACACTTCCAGGTGGCATCATTGCACCAAACCACGCTAAAGCCAGAGAGTTTCAGCGTCGGTTAATGACCCATGATTGGACCGTGCAGCGATTTACCTACGTACCCGTGTGGTCTGATTGGGCCAGCACGCCGTCACCGCCTTTTGACCTCTCACGCTAACAGCCCACTGAAGTCCACTGAAGGCCACCATAGCCCACTATGGCCAACGAGAATACCCACTGATGCTGCAGGGCATGCAGCGCACCAGCGCCATCCTCTCTGCCCCTACCCAGACCTATCTATACAGCTTCAAGGACGTGACGGAAGTTGTTGCTGCAAGCACTTGAGCATCGTCGACCATTCTCTGGTCGAATCTGTGGTACGCTACCCGCAATCTGTCTCCATAAGACCGCATACATAGTACTAGTATTTACATGTATTCTGGCATACCTGCTTACCTACATGTATCTGTCCAAGGTGTGTTTCATGGATCAAGTTTCTGCAAAAAAGTGGTCAGACGAGCAATCCAAAATCCCTGGCAGAGAACCGTGTCCCAGATTTGGCACTCGACCTACCCTTGACTCCCAGGATACTTAGGTGCCTAAGTAAGTAAGTACTCACCCCCAGTCTCCAAAAAAGATGGGAATACCGTCTCACCCAGGATAGATACTCTATCGTCTACTATGTACATTAGAGAATTTTAGGGGGTGTTTTCTTAAAAACTTTCTTATTGCCCCGAGGCACGTCAGACTTCCTAAACATTGGCCTAGGCTTTGGATAGTGTGGTTTGTAGCTTTGACTTCAAAATAGCGCATCAACTCCTAACCTCCTAGCTCTCGGAGGCTACGCCGGATCTAAGCCTCAAATTTTCTTTCATTCGATCCGAAAAAAGGTTTTTTTTGTTTTTTTTGCTTTTCCAACAAGCCAGAGATTGCCATACTTTTCACAGTGTACGATTGATGAGTCACTCTAAACAGTGTCCATTATTAGCTAAGGATTCGATTGACTCGAAGAGTGAGTCAGTTGAGACAATCATAGGTAGGACTCGCCATTGATCTTCTGTTTGCTCACTTTGTAGAGGGCTATCATGTACATGTGTCCGGTAGATGGTATTCCAAGTCCATCCTACCGAAATTGTATGGTCAGAGGTCCCACTCCTTTGCTTGAATGTAGGAGGAGCTGAATGGGACGTCATGTCATACTGTACCTATCGTGTACCAGTAGAATCCGAGTGGTCAAGGTCATCCAGCTTAAGGTCACTCTTGATTAGCCAGCCACCGTCCAACAAGGCTACTTGTATCTCCAACGGGGGGACCAAGATATGCTCTACCATGGACCACGGCTCGAGTCGCTGTCCCGTTTCGGAGTCTGCTGCCAACCGTTCCGAGATTCCCAGTACTGTCCTTCGGCTCGTGGCACCTTGAATTAATTTCTGTGTCCCCTATTATCTCCCCGTCTTCGTCAATGTCGCTCACTATCCATCCCCATTACACCTACCTACAGTATATTTGCACCCAGATAATGGCTCAATAGACAATCGAAACCACAAACGGAGCTAGTTTGATGAGTAAAAATGTCATACCTACTCCATACTCATACGGAGTCATACCTAGTAGGTTGTTTAACTAGATAGATCTTCGATGATATTCACTTACTAACGCTCGCTCCACAAACCCCTCTCTTAGCAGCCTCCTGTACCTAAAATCATGACGTCCCTTTTATGAAGGGAGGCTGATCTCGTTATAGTAGGAATATCTCTTGTGCAAGGAGTGACCGTTCGTTCTGAAATCTTGAAAGCTCTCCTAATCGACTATGCAATTGACTGATATTCATGTTCTGTTGCAACGTGGGTAGAAGGGGGCTTCATTGGGGTAATAACGGTCCATTCATTGGGCAGGCCGAGGCCTGTTTCTTAGTCTGCTCTCGAATAGACGCCGTGGGGCATAGTGTGGTGCATATGCAGTTTTCAGATCGGGAGCCTTGAGTCATCAAGTTTTGCAGCGAATTGTTGAATCCCCACAAGACTTACGTGGACAGGATTCTCCCTGCAGTGATTTTTTTCCTTTTTCTTTTTCCTCTTTTTTTCATGCCTCTCTGTTCCTTTCCACGAGACAGCATACCTAGATGAACTACCTATGAAGAACACACCTACCTATGTCCCTACTAAGGGAATAACCCTTTCATTAACTTGAGCAATTCTCGGCGTATGCTAGGTTGTCCAGAAGGGGGGTTTTGTTCATGATATCCGCTCTCCCTTGCCTAAGCAGACTTGTTCGCTCGTATCTTTTTGTACTGTACCGTATTATATCATGACGAAAGTGACGATGAGGGGCAGCCGGTCAAGGAGGAGGGGGCATGGGTATTACTAAGTACTTAGTTTCGTAGCCAGGGTCCATTAGCAAAGAATGCAAAAAATAAAGTGGATTGGATGTTCTCCAATGCGGGACATCCTTGGCGCGGCATCTCCAGGGGTCTTTTCGGAGCTGTGGGGCCAAGCATCGGATACCTACCGTAGCTGCCTCTTGTCTGCTCTTGGGGGTACGTACCTACCTTTTGCCTTTTGTGAAGTGGCTGAAAACGTGGCTTGGTTCACCCACAAAGCCACCGTGCACCCCATCCTGGACCCGCTCTGGTTGTCTGGTCAACTTCCCAGGTGCCTGAAAGTCCCATTTTATATAAACATCATACACAATCGAACCAATAGACGAACAAGGAACGGTTGCTTCAGATCGTCAACGTGAGCTTCCTTTTCATAGGTCGTCATCATCTGCATGCTTATTCTCGTACATCTTCACTAATCCACATTCGCTCGCGTCACAACCTCTGCATCGCGTCGCCCACAAATACGCCTCCACTGCTGCACATCATCGTGTCGTCGCATCCTAACGCGCCTCTCTATTCTGGTCTCTGTTCTGGGCCGCATGCTACAACATCATCATCCTCAACATCGTCACTCCCTGCCAAAGGTTTGATACAATAGTCACCAAAGTCGCAAATATGATGGACCCTCCCCAGAAAACCCAGACCAACCTCTTTGATGTCTACCTGCGACTGCGGCCACCTCAAGCAGGCAATGCCAACGCTGAGAAATTCTTGCTAGTTGAGGAGCCCGAGCAAGACAATGCGCCAACCCACATCACCCTCAACCCGCCTAACGATCGGAGGCGCGCTATTGAGAAATTTGCTTTCACCCGCGTTTTCGAGGAGGATGCCACTCAACTCGACCTTTTCCATGGTACAAAAGTCCTTCCTCTGGTAGAAGGTGCGCTTGCTCCTCACGGTGGGGATGGCACAGATGGCTTGCTAGCCACTCTTGGGATGACGGGTTCAGGCAAGGTGAGTTGGTCTTGTAGTTTGCAAACCGTGTTCGGCGGTATCTGACGGAGACTCTAGACACATACAATGCTCGGATGTCGTAGCCAACGCGGCTTAACCCAGCTGGCCCTTGACGTGGTGTTTCGCTCCATCCAGTCGAACATCGTAGACTATGAGTCGACGCCCGCCCTAGAATCCAGCATCCGGTCTTCAGATGCCTCCGAGGCAAACATACATCCGGCCTCAGCTTTCCTCGAGTCTATATTCGGAGACGTGACGGCCCCCTCGCGTGCCGGTTCAAGAGCAACTACCCCAATGATTGTAGGACCCTCCCGTACCAACTTAACCCCCCAATTACCTGGAAAGTTTCCGGGAAGTATTCGGCTAGTTTGCCAGGAAGACGACTTAACGCGCATAACCGTACTATCCACACCTCCAGCCCAGAGACGAATGAAGAAGCAGAACGAGACATCGGTTCCCCAGACGCCAGTAGCATCACAAAGGTCAAAGTTGACCAACAACGCATCTTCCCCAACGAAGCACTACATGGTGCCCACATCTACTGCAAAAAGTAAAACGTTGACTAAACCATCTTGTTTGAAGGGCGATTATCTTCCACCGGCGACCCCAAAACGTCCGTTACAGCGACCCTCTGTCCTACCTCAGATGCCAGACATAAGCTCTGTGCGAGCATCTTGCGATCCATCTGCAGAATACGCCATCGTTATCTCGATGTATGAGGTTTACAACGACCGCATCTTCGATCTACTGACACCCCCGATCAAATCAAACGCCACCAAGGAGTACCGCCGGAGGGCACTATTATTCAAATGCACTGAGACATCTCCTGACCGTAAAGTTGTAGCAGGGCTGCGTAAAATCGTGTGTAGCACGCTTCACGAGGCTTTGATGGTACTCGAGGCAGGGTTGCACGAGAGAAGAGTGGCCGGAACTGGCAGCAACAGTGTGTCATCTCGAAGCCATGGCTTTTTCAGCATTGAGATCAAGAAAAGACGGCGTGGCCGTATGAACGGCCCATGGGGCACAAGCACTTTGAGCATCGTTGACTTGGCAGGCAGTGAGCGCGCCAGAGACGCCAAAACCCAGGGCGCAACATTGGCCGAAGGAGGCAAAATCAATGAGAGTTTGATGTACCTTGGACAATGTCTGCAAATGCAGGCTGATTTGAACAACAACAACAACTCGAAGGTACGCTCATCTCATATCAGGTTAGACTCAGAGACTAACCACTATCAACAGCCAAACCTCAGACTATTCCGACAGTGCAAGTTGACTGAGCTGTTGTTCACGAACTCGTTTCCCTCTTCGCACTCAGCCGCTCACCGGCGTGCCCCGCAAAAGGGAGTGATGATCGTGACCGCCGACCCCTTCGGCGATTTCAACGCGACATCCCAGATCTTACGGTACAGCGCATTAGCACGCGAAGTCACAGTACCGCGTATCCCTTCAATAACCTCCACAATCCTATCCGGTAACAACACCAGCCACTTCCACCACCCCGAGCCCAGCACATTATCCAGCAGCCCCAACATCTCGCCAGTCCTCCAGCACCGGCCCCTCTACCACCCGCCGTCCGGCACCCACAGCCGGACCTTCTCGCCCGCCTCCGACACGGAGCGCGGCACCATGGAAAACGCCGCGCTCGAAATCGCGCGGATGGCCGACATGATCGACCAGCTGAACGCGGAGCTCGCGCGCGAATCCGAGGCCCGGATGGCGGCCGAGGCGCACCTGATGACGATGGAGGACCGCATCGTGGACCTCGAGCAAGAGATCCGCGAGGAGTGCTACGCCGACTTCGAGCAGCGGCTCGCGATGGAGATGAACAGATGGAAGGCCTCGCTGTCGCTCGAGCAGGAGCGCGGCGAGGCGCACTGGGACCGCAAAGCGGAGGTCCTGGCGCGCAGCGTCGGGGTCGTCGTCACGGCCCCCAGCGACGAAGACGACGTCGAGAACGAAGATAAAGAGAACGTCCTCATCGAGAACCTCGAGCAGGAGAACGAGCGTCTGAGGCGCGAGGTGGCGATCTTGAAGCGCGAGCTGACGAGCAGGACGCCTAGCAGGCGCGCGCCGCTCCAGGAACGGGGCGATCTGCCTAGTTCCAAGGGCGATGTGGCTGGTCTGGGGGGCAAGATGGAGCAGTTGAGGGTCAGCAATGGGAGTCCGACGAAGAAGGTCCGCAAAATAACGGGTAAGAAATGGGAGAGTGTCCCCGCGGATGACGACATGTTCGGATGAAGGGACTGATGGTCATCTTTTCATTCTTAGACGATGCGGTGGGATGTGTTTGGTCTTTTTTTTTTTTTGTGCAAGGTAGAGGAAATGTCTTCTGACGTTTTCCCGGTGGTGATGAGATATTCCCGGAAATGTTGCTGGTTGCTATTGGGTTAGAACACGTTGTCGAGGATACCCCCCTGAGATTTATATTTCTGTCTGTCTCTCTGTTCAGATTGGTGGCTGTTGAGGGTTTTAGATATCGGTGGTTCTTAAGTAATGGAGTTATAATTAATCGCTCTATATGAGAAGCTGCTGCTCTGTGGGATAATAATTCAGTACATACTAGTCAGGCACTTGTAAGATGTCGTTGTTAAGGGGGCGGGTATGACATGCAGATTGGTAAGGAGCGATGGCAGTGTCGCCTCCTAGGTGACTCTGGTACGTTCGAGTTACCTCGCGTCTCAATTGCTCTCCATTTAACCCTCGAAGATCTTCGTCATTGGCGTAGATGAGAATAGCTTAAAGGGTCAGGCCCATAGAGCAGACGTCGCAATCGCTTATTCGAAAGTACCTAGGTAGGTTTCAAGTCCCCAGTTATCTAAAGGCGTACAATTCGTTTGGAGGTGCTGAAAAATCCAGTTTGTTCTCGCAGCCTCTTCTACCGGTCAAGCTATTTGGACCCGGGATTGAGCATTTTTCGGAGGTATCCAATTTCAGAGTTTTGGCATAACGTCACGGTACACAGCTGCCTTCTTATTTCGTGACACTTTTCTGTCTCAACTAGTTACATAGTCAACCTCGCCACCAAGAGAGAAGAACACTGCCTCAGCTAGCAGAAACTACAAGAGATTAGTAGTCTACAGTCAAATTATTGCCTTACTGTCTTCCGGGTCTTAAGAACAATTGCGAAATTAGCGAGTTGAATCATACGTCCAAAACTTTAACGTGGCATAAGGCTTCAACAGCTGAGAAGGGGGGGTTATACAAAGAGAAGGCATTTGAGAACAAGCTGTATATAAGCATGTGAACATACGAGTATTTCTGATGGCTTTAGAGAATGCAAGACATATTTGTTCCTCTGTCGTCATACTTCTAGGGTATTTGATACGTTGCATTTGTGCAATTCTGTCTTTACCAAATGCTTCATGCTACCTAGGAAGACTGACTACTTTCAACTGACAAACACATCAAAATATGGAGTTTTTCAGGAGGTAGCATGCTGAAGCAACATGCTTTCTAGCAGCGTATAGATCTAGAATACGAGCTCCTAAAAGACGAGTACATCTATCTCACTTATTGGTCAAGACAGATTAATGACTTCTAATTTCATCGCTGCTCTTTTCAGCTTGGCTCCGGCTTGAGACAGCACAACTCAGTGTCCAAGACCTATAGCCCTTCGCAGTATATCTTGGCCACTTGAATCAATAAGATCAGGAAAGACTGATCTACACTGTCTGGTACTTTACCGTCTTTTTCCTCATGATACCTTGTCGGCGTAGGCACAAGCAGGGTCGCACAACCAAATACACTAGCTTACTCTTGTAATATATCCAGACGCGCTTATTTTAAGGGTGTCTCTTGAATCGTTCCGATTGGATGAAGAAGGTGATAGTTATGGTGATAGTAGTATTGAAATATCTTGTGGGTAGAGTGTGGTTGTGTTTGCTCACACCGCTGACTGGTTTGGGCGGATCATCTCATTCCATGCCTCAAATGATTGCCACCCGAATTCATGGAACGCTTGGGGCCCCGGATGTGGCGACTGACCCCCATATATCGTGTATTGTTATTGTTGGTGCTCAATCCAATCGAGCAATTGGCTAAATCCGGGGACTTAGCTGTAGTCTTAATGGGCTAGGGTAGTATCACGATGTCAAATGGAGGGTTCTTGGCACAACTGGATAATATCCCGATGGCATGTTCTAGGTCCTCGTGGTTCGGCATCGCCACCTTAACCGGTAGTTGTCTTGGTCCAGGGCAACGCACCAGGTCCTGATCCAACTAAACGCGATGGCTGAATTACACCAGAACATGGAACGATGACATTGTGGCTGGCATCCTCCTCACAGCGCGTAGAAAGGACGCTCAACGCCTTTGAGAGCTTTAAGCACACCATTTCCCTCGTTTCTTTGGTTCAGATATGGTTTATAATTCGTTTGAGACATATCGTGGGCTGATATTTTGACTCCCGGGTCCGAGTGGATCTACGGTGACGAGCCACTTCGTTTCGGCCGCGGTTCGGTCCCAGAAGACCCATTTCAAGCCGTAATTTTTGCTGGTCACTCGCGACAATCTCTGTGATCTGCGCCACACTCCGTTTTCATCGAAGCCCACTCTAACAACTACACCTCGGCAGCATAATCTCCGTACATGTGGGCATGGCGGTCCGTACAGCCATGCTTTACCTCGCCAAGTAATAACAATGCCTCTACAAGTATACCTAGACTCCGTTTGTACGTCCCGCTTGCAGCATTACTTGGGTGCAGAAGACTTTCTACCCCACAGGAGCGGCTCCGTGGTCACGATAAAGAGTTATTGGACCGGAAAATGAATGCCATGAACCTCCCAGGCCATGTTCAAATGATCACCGCAAGTCGGGCCGGCGTCTTAAATTGTCAATACTGTGACTTATGCGGATAGAGGGTGTTCACACAGTTTCAAGTTGGAGTCGACTTGTTCGCAGTGTTGTTCGTGCTCTTCCTAGCCCCCTGCAGCAAGTTGGGCGCTGATCACATTACCGGAGCAAGGTGACAATACCCGTCGGGACTGGGCTGCGTGAGAATGAGCCCTTAATCTATTTCGACAAAGATTATCCCTCCCATACCGCGACTTCTCCATATCGTGCCGTACCGCAATATGTCCCAAACGAGATAGATACGGAGATCGGTAGCCTACGGCCCAGAGATTCATTGCCACTTGACATTCCAGGGCTGACTATAAGACCAAGGGGCCTCCAGCCGTGAAGCTGAAAGTCTTACTCTCGAGATCATCGCAAGTCAAGACCTAAGTCCTTCAGAAGTTCTCTCTTCAGAATGTTGCCCCTAGTATTAGCCGCCATTGCGGGCGTTGCCTCAGCCCAGCAAGTGGGCAAAGAGCAAACCGAAACCCACCCCAAGCTCAGCTGGAAGAAGTGTTCGAGCGGCGGTAGCTGTTCCACAGTCAATGGTGAGGTTACCATTGATGCTAACTGGCGTTGGCTTCACTCAACCTCTGGTACCACAAACTGTTACGATGGCAATGAGTGGACCTCCCAATGCAGCTCTGCTACCGACTGTGCCACCAAGTGCGCCATCGAGGGAGCCGACTACAGCAAGACATATGGTGCCTCAACAAGCGGCGATGCCCTGACCCTCAAGTTCGTCACAAAGCACGACTACGGTACCAACATCGGCTCTCGTTTCTACCTCATGAACGGCGCCTCAAAGTACCAGACCTTCACTCTTATGAACAACGAGTTCACGTTTGATGTCGACCTATCCACTGTCGACTGCGGCTTGAACGCTGCGCTATACTTCGTCGCCATGGAGGAGGATGGCGGTATGAAGAGCTACTCCAGCAACAAGGCCGGTGCGAAGTACGGTACTGGTTACTGCGATGCCCAATGTGCCAGAGATCTGAAGTTCGTTGGCGGCAAGGTAAAACAGACACGTCAATTTGATTACCAAGTCTCAGTTCTAACTCGAACCCTTCTAGGCCAACGTCGAGGGATGGAAGCCGTCCAGCAATGACAAGAACGCCGGTGTCGGTCCTTACGGAGGATGCTGTGCTGAGATTGATGTCTGGGAGTCGAACTCGCACTCTTTCGCCTTCACCCCTCACCCTTGCGAGAACAACGCCTACCACGTCTGCGAGAACAGCGGCTGCGGTGGTACCTACTCTGACGACCGCTTCTCCGGCGACTGCGACCCTAACGGCTGCGACTACAACCCCTACCGCATGGGCAACACCGACTTCTACGGCAAGGGCAAGACCCTTGACACCAGCAAGAAATTCACGTAAGCACATAACGAGCCCCTTATAACTAACCCCTTTATTCCCTTCCCGTCCCCTCCACCAAGGACCTGTCAACTAATTCGTCCAACCCCTCGCCAGCGTCGTCACCCAATTCACGCAATCCGCCTACACCCAGTTCTTCGTCCAGAACGGCAAGAAGATCTCCATCCCAGGCTCCACCTTCGACGGCATGCCCGCCTCCAGCTCCATCACCCCGGAGTACTGCTCGGCCCAGTTCGCGGCCCTCGGCGACCGCGACCGCTTCAGCGAGGTCGGAGGCTTCGCCCAGACCAACGCCGCCCTTTCCAAGCCCATGGTTCTCGTCATGTCGATCTGGGACGACGTAAGTTTTTTTTTTTTTTTTTTCCATTCAATTTCAAACTTTTCGAAGAAAACATAATTTTAGAAAAAAAAAAAAAAAAAAAAATCTGACTCCTGTGTTCTCGATTTACAGCACTACGCCAACATGCTCTGGCTCGACTCCAGCTACCCTCCCGAGAAGGCCGGCACCCCCGGCGGCGACCGTGGCGACTGCTCCCAGGACTCCGGCGTCCCCTCAGACGTCGAGGCCAACATCCCCAACGCGTAAGTTTTTCTATCCCCAACTCTCTTTCATCCTCGTTTCCCCATTCATCCATCCTGTGCTTGCTGCTAACAATCTCACAGCAAGGTCGTCTGGTCCAACATCCGCTTCGGCCCCATCGGTTCCACCGTCAAGGTCTAAGCTCAAGCGGCTTATCAGCCTTTTGGTCGTTCCATTCACCACCAATCACAATTTTTTTTCCCTCGCCATCGTCATCAGACCAAGTTTCATCACACTATCATGAGTCACATGTATATAGCTGGAAAAGCTTGAGATGGAAGAACAGGAGTGAGACGACGGGGGTCCGAGGAAGTAGATTAGTCCGATATTCGAAATGAGGATTCTAGTTCCCACTGTGTCCATTTCCGTTTTGCATAGATTTGTTCCTACTTTCGGTGTTGTGAACAAGAAGTCCCCGTAGTCGATAGATTTACGACCAGGAAACGAAACACTGTGATCGTTAAAACGTCCATAAGCTCTCTTAGATAAACTCACTTACCCTTTACAAGCACTAGATGGGAAAACTGTTCCTAGGGAACTGCACCTATAGAATCAGGCATGCTACAATTTTGATTACCACCCTAAGGGTTCTGGGGCCGTATCTGAACACACTACAGCTCTTAGTCCATTCCGCTATGTTCCAGATGTGAAGCAAAACGCCGACATAGGCTTTCTCTTCAGACAGCCTGACGCTGCCAGATCAGCTGTTAGAGCTGGCCTCCAAAAAAACAACCAACTAAATTTTTATCGGCCGACCGCATATAGATGCTTCTCTTAATTTCATGGAAGGAAGGTGACAAAGTCCTTAGATAAATCGTATACCACGCAAACCTGTAGGTGTTCTGCGTCCTTTGTCGTCCTTCTTGTCTCGTTTATCTTTGCGGGTATTCGATCGGCCTAGGTCAATTAGAAGCCTGTCTAAGAAATAAGACTAATGAATAAGCTATTGTAGCTTGCCTTTGCTAGTTTGCCTCTCGGCTTTTGTGCTAGAATTGTCTGTCTTCGTCGAAGAGCCCTCGTCTCCCTGCAATGCTAGTGAACTCGCTTGTGCAGAGCCCGGAAGTAGGGAACCAAGCGGCTCAAGCGGTGGTGTCGCATTGTACGATGTGGTCTCGAAGATTTCGGAACCAGAATGGCTCTGGCGTCGCCGAGTCATGGACTCTAGAGGGCTGCCTGGGTTTGATGACATGTCGTCCTCTGTATCAACAGAAAGGCGACTTCTTGACCTGGATAGTTTTGGCCTGCTAGTCTCCAAGTCAAATATTCTACCCTGTAACTCTACATTTTTCCGTGAAAGTTCATGCATGCGCTTTCTCATCTCATCTTGTGTAGCCCGGCTCGCTTTCAAGGCGATTTCTAGTTGTTCTTTGAAACCTTCGACACTGTGTGCCTCGCCGGTGTTTGAGGTCTCTTGCAATCTAGAGTTGAGCTCTGCTAGTTGAGATTGATATAGATCCTGGATATGTTGAATTTCGGATTCACGTGTGGCTAATTTCATCTCAGCAGCCTTCGCGCGGCCATCTGCTTCGGCTGCCCGTGTTATGCATGCTTGACGCTCCACCTCCTGGGCTTGATAAGCTCGCTCGGATACTGTGAGTCTCGTAACTTCATTATTTAAATGCTCCAATTCACCAAAGCTGATATCGGCTGATTGGATTTTCTGCTTTAGCGCCAACTCCCTCACCTCAACCTCGCAGACCAACTTCCGCAAATCCTCGGCTTCGTCCTTAGCTCCTTTGAGTTCAGCCTGCATGCTTGATCTTTCGATATTCCACTTCTTCTGCTCATCGCGTAATACCTTCAGCTTATTGAAAATATCGGCCTCCCATTTCTTGGATAACGCACGACTCTTCTCAGCCTCGGTCTTTGCTTGTATTTCAGCCTTTTTAGCTTCCTCTAGTCTCTGTTTGAGGTGTTTATTCGCAGTAATGATATTTTGGGTTTCGGCCTCGCTGGCGGCTTCACGGATGTGCCGTCTCCTTAACTCGCCAATATGTGTGAGATGTTGCTGCTTCAGAAACCGCTCAAACACAAGATCGTTGTATAGGAGGTACACATAACGAAGCAACTTTCTTTGCGAATCATTGGCAGCAGCGTCAGAGAGCTGCATGCTGGGGCCAGGTAAGTTAGGATGCGAGTGAGATGCCCCTTTCTCTGGAATAGACTCATGATGGCTCAACGACAACGAGGGCACGCTGTCATTTGTTAAAGATTGATGCAAGCTGGACTTAACCGCCTTGTTGGAGTTCATAAGATCCTGGAGCTGGGTCTGGGAGCCAGAGGTGACAAGTTGCCGAGTCAACGTAGGGCTATCACCCTCGGTCTCAGATCGTATTGTACTTGATGAGTCGCGTATCGACTGGAGACTGCTCAGAGAAGAGTGGCGGACAGCTGTCTGAATACTTCGACTACCACTTCTTGACGGTGAGATGGAAGAAACTGAGCTGTGACGGATATCCTCAGAACCAGACGGCCCAATGATAAACGAACTATTCAACAGGCCAGATTCCCTTTCGTCTGTCTCCAAATCATTAACTTCTGACTCCAACATCCGGGCTATATCAAGAGAAGCCTCAGACGGTTGATCTGGGAGCTGGCGAAGAGCCATACAGTCAGCCACGACCTCGGCTGGTTCGCTCTTAATCCAACGCCCAAAGTCAGTTTTCTCTGAATCTATTGTTAAGTTATAGAAGTTCTCATGCAAAAGATGGCATTGACGAAACCGTTCTGATGCATGACGAATTTCAGTTGGTTGTACTTCGATCACGTCCGAGTCCGACGCCTCGGCATGCCTCAAGTATCTCTGGGGTTTCCTGATATAATCCATGAAGTTGATTGGGTATAATCCATACAAGATTGTGAAATAATCCAAGAGTTGAGGAATATTCGTATCATCAACGTCTGATGAGAACGGACAAACCTCCCAGTTAATAGCGTTCAGGGATAATCTTCGTTCCTTGCTCTCCTCGGAGTCTGCATCAACAGACAGCTCACGTTCCCAGAAGAGCAATCGTGCATATATATTGAAGAGCGCGGGCAAGTATGGGACTAATGAACTCGGCACATGTGGAAGCACCATGGTCAGGCCTGTGAGGGCCACGGACATAATAGTTGTAGAAGTGTCCCTCTGGAGACAGTTGAGGAGATTGCCGAAGAGAGGGGTCTGGAGGATGAGATAGAGATGCGGCGGCTGGCTCTGCACAAAAGACGATAGTAGCAATAGGGCACCTGCACGGTGGGATCGTTTACACACGAAATGATCAACTACAGTCATAAATTCCTGTTCCAGCGGGGTCAACAGAAGCTGGTTTTTGTAGTTAGATGTTAAACGAACCTTCGGTCGCTTCTTTCCATATAAGACCAATGTCTCCCGCATAAGCTTCTCCTTGAAGTCTTGAGCAGGATTAGAGCAATTGCGAAGCAGGTCAACCTCTTGAAACCATAGCGATATTATTTTCTCTGCAACCGGAGTGGTTGCACCCCTGGTGAAGGAAGTTGTGTCATTGCCATCGCCTCCCGTAAGAATATCAAGCATAAACCCTTGGGTCTCCGTTGCCAGGTCTTTATCCAATCCGAGATTGGCGAGGGCAGGGAGTAGCAGATCGAGCCATTGCAAGACCGTCGTGGTCTGGCCGATTAAGGGCTGCAGGCGTCGAAGTACGGCAATGAAGGCGGCATAGCGCGCTGTATCCTGAGCGATGTCTTGCTTGAATATCGGCAATAACTCATCGTGGACCTTGTCCGCTACACTTTCATCTAACTTATCGGTACGTTTGTACAGAAAGTTGTCGATTATTTGGACGAGGTCGTCTGGGAGTGGGAGGGAGGGATTGTGCGCGAAGGTGCCGACAGCTTTCACAAGCTCCTTGACCGTCCTAAAAGAAATCGCTCAAGCTGTCAGCGATGGGACTAGCAACCTGTGACATAGCTTCCACATAGCATGATGATTTAGGCACGAGGAGGCATGCAAATCTATGATGTTCTGATAAGGCAAAGGTTGTGGATTCGTTCAACGTACGGAGCTGTCGACATCAGGATATACGGGCGTAATTCTCGGTGGTGGTGACTCTAGTGGATTCACATATGGACTGAGGACTGCTGTTCAGGGCTCCGTCATTCCTAAACAGCTCATAGGACATGCGGTCGATGAATCCCGAGAGCGCGAATAGAGAGCGCAAAGACACCAAGCTCTGGACGATATCGGCCGATTATCAGGAGAGGTCGACTGCAGTCTGTGTCAGGGTGGAGTTTGGGCAGTAGCTTCCGAGCTGAGTCTGCTCTACGTGCTGCCCCACCATCCGTAGTGGGGTAGGTAGGTACTGTACCGGTACCTCACCTACCTACATATATGTATGTACTTACCTAATTGTCTAGCTTATGTAAGTGGGATCTGGCCAGAGTGCATACTATCTTGTACGGAGTATGTAGGTAGTAGATAGAATATACCTATCGTTCTGGCCATGCTTAGCAGCAAATGCAGATAGGTATAGCTCCGCAATACCCAGTTTACAGTGCCTACCTAGCAGGCGTAGTACTATCACCCCTCAGACCCCTCAACACCGACTAGGTATGTAAGTTACAGTGCATCCCATACCTACTATACAGTACAGTACCACTGGTTGCATGTTCAATGGTAGGTAGAGAGTAGGCAGTAAGAAATGCAGTACCTAGTCTACATAGATATTCACAAAGAGGGCATCAATCACGAGTCGTGTTGATATGGGGTATTCCACACACAAAAACAAAAGCTAAATACAACTGACAAGAGACATAGCCATCATACTGGCAATGATCAGCTCGTACCTACTGTGCATTTCTACGTTCTTGCACAGTGACAATGTGATCAGGCAGACCCCACCTTAGGATAGCACCAGCCAGACACCAGCAGTGCTGCACCAGGCTGATCTCCATAAGAAATCCGGGGGAGGGGGCTTTTATAGCGGGTCCGATGGGCAGTCATCGACTCAGGCAGCCAATTAGCGCTAAAACCCCTACGTAACCTCCCCGCTATGCTGCCATCAGACTGCCATGTCGTTCGACTCTGGCCGCAATGTACTGCCGCAACGTACCGATGGGAGGCTGTACCTCTTTGGAGCTGTCAGACAGGACAGGACAGAGCAGAGACAGAGAGAGGAGAATACTCGGATGCTGAGAGGAGCGAGGAGTACTACATAGAGTACAGTACGTAGCGAGGAGCTCCAGGCTATCCAGGTCTGTCAAGGTACCATTCAATTCACATGTACCTTGGATAAACGCAGGTACCTCTGCAATCAACCGCGCACACGCGACAACCTGTGGTACCTACATTTGTACCTACTTACATGTACCTACCTGCATAAACTCACCTCCTATCCTACTCTACTTTCTGGTAAGACAGGCTGTCTTCTTGACGAGGGGGAGACATGTAGACAGTCTGTAGCTAGCTACCTTACCCCTCCATCCATTCCCCAACTCGATACATTACATCCCCTCCATTCCTCCCTCGACCTGCTTCTCCTTTCTCTCTTTCTTCATTCACCTCCTCCATCGTCCCAAAGAGCACCCATCGTGAACTCAACAGCGCAATTGCCAGCTGAACCCATCGTGGTTACTAATCTCTCTACCTCATTTGATTACATGACCAGACTGTCCATATCTGGCATCATATTTTGATACACTTCTGCCCATTTCTTGTGCCTATACAAACAACTTGGCCTAGATTCCTCCACTCCCTCTTCCCATCATGGCCAACAAAGCAGCTGCAAATGAGCCCATTGAGGTGCTTTTTGCCCTTCAGGACAAATTCAACTTAACAGACTTTGCGGCTCCTCTAGAAGTTCTTCACACTGCCCTCCATGACAAGAACGACGAGAGTATGTGGTGACCCTTAGGCATTGACTCGTAACCCTTGCTATAGTCCAAGACAAGAGATACTAAGAACCTGTCTCCAGGTACAAGAGCCTTTGAGTGCACGGTTGCTGGTGTCGAACCCAAGATTATGTCCGAACAAGGGGTTGTCATTGGGTCCCAGATCTCCTTCAAGGAAGCCCATGAGCGCCTCAGCGATTTCGATGTCCTAGTGATAGTAGGAGGCAACTCGGATGGTGTTTTGAAGGGAAAGACAGAGCCTCTTCCCATCATCACAGCTTTTGCCGAACTCCAGAAGAACGACTCATCCCGCGAGCGTACACTTATGTCTATTTGTACCGGATCACTCTTCTTGGCCGAGCAGGGCATTCTTTCCGGCTTGTCGGCTACCACTCACCCAGATTACATGACAAAGTTTGAGATCCTTTGCAGCAATGCTGCCCAGCGCGATCTTCAGGAACGAACTGATGTTATCGAGGATGCTCGATACGTTGTCAACAACCTTCGCTTTGACCTCGGGGACGAGGACGAAAACCCTTACATTCGTCGCAAGTCCGATGGTAATGACAGACGCCCTTCTAATGCTAGGTACGTTAAAAGCTAGACACATCCAAACATACACACGTCTACTCTGCATATCAATCTAGTACTGACGTATCTGTGTCGCTAGGAAGGGAAGCATCTCTTTCCACAGTTCCAATGCGCGTCGTGAGTCAATTGCGCGACGCGCCGCGATGCGCCTAGGTGGGCTTCGGGTAATCACGAGTGGGGGAGTAAGTGCTGGCCTAGATGCAGCTTTGTATCTGGTCAGCATTCTCGTAGATGATGACACTGCTAATGAAGTCGCCCGTGTCATGCAGCATGAGTGGATTAAGGGAATTGTCGTTGACGGCTTGGATGTTTAAATAAATCAAATGATAGACGGGATAGAAGGATAAATGGATACATGGATCAAGGAAGTTCCATATGTGTAGAATAGCTCAAAGTCTCAGCTCGTAGTCCTAGTCAAGGCTGAATGCCTACTAAGGCACAATGAAATAAGTGTACCAATCGATCGTACTTTTTTTTCGTTCAATCGCTAATTCAAAACTTAAGAAAACATTCCCTTGCTTATCAAACGTCTTAATCAACATTGATGAGATTGCTTAGATGCATTTGGATGCTGAACATCTCGGCGAATGTTACTTAACACTGTGTATTGAATTATCATTATTGAACTCGCTATATTCTATCTTCTAATGATTTATCTGATCACCTCTTAATGTAGATGATAGACCAAAATACCATTCCCAGCCGTGCACGAAAATAGAATAGAATGGTAAACCACTAACTACCGGTATGTTAAAATACTAGTATGTTAAAGCTGGAAGATAACTCATGCGATTCGTATTATACCTCCTAGATCATGTGAAGATTAGCTAGAAGGGAACGTAAATAAGGAATGAACGCGTACTAATGAATTCGAAATGATGATGGTTCATTAACTTTTCAACGAACATGGCTTGTAAGTTCTTGTTGTCGCTTCCCCTCCCTCTCCATTTGGGTACCTAGATACTTACATAATCCACGATTTTGACGCCCCACTTTACGGAAATTTCGATCCGCCGATGTAGCCCAGCTTTGGCGGAATCTCATGTGAGCCCCTCGGCAATAATTGAATCTGTAAACCATAAACGATAGCCCATTGTGCCTCAAGACCTAGCAGAATGGCGGCCCCAGCAGCAGCAGCCGGAGTGCTGTCAAAAACATTCCGAACGGGGAAAAAAAAAATCTTTCTGTAGGTGTTCCAGCCCTTAACACCGATGCGATGCGATGCGATGCCACAGAGCTTCGGAGATGGATGTCGAAGAGGGAGCTGGAAGATACAACGAGTGTCAAAAGGATGAATTGGACCCTGGGAGAATGCTCACATTTTCACAGGCCCAGTCACACGGTCAAATTCCTCGCGCCGAAACCCAACCAACACCCGGCCTTCGCGACATTCGAAGTGCCGCTGACCTTCAACAAATTCGACCTCCGCGACTACCTTCTGCACGCGTACAGGACGCCCGTGCTCGCCGTGCGGTCGCAGCTGCGGCAGCAGCGGCCCACGAAGTCCAAGACCAACGGCCGCATATACCGCCCGGTGCCGATCAAGACGATGACGGTGCAGCTCGCGCAGCCCTTCGAGTGGCCGGCGATGCCGGAGGACTTATCGCCCTGGAAGCCGGACAACCTGGCCCGGGCGAAAAAGCAGCAGGAGGAAACGCAGAAGCTCGAGGAGACGTCGAGGAACGCGGCGTTGTTCCCGCTCCGCGAGAATATGCGTAAAGCGAAGTCGTGGACGAACATGAGGGCGGAGGCCAAGCGGTTGCTGCAGGAAGGCGGATGGTCGAATAAGCGCGACTTGGACCCGAGATTCACGGAGAAGGAGGAGGAGGGGAAGAAGAGGTAGAGAGGATAAAGATGAGATGATTGATTTTATGTCGAAAAGGGAGGAGGGGAAGAAAGCGTCATGAAGAGCGTGTATGCGTTCCTCTGCTCCGTGAATAGAGAGGGCAGATGCTGCAGATTCGAGACTATCTGTGTACGACTACGCGCGTTCACCTGCTTATGAGGTGTGTATCATAGCGAACGACTAGATGACTAATTGGTCAGGGGGGCATGATGAAGATACAATCAAAGTAAATATCAAGCCAATGGGTTTCAGCAATTGAGACAGTTGATAACCCGAAATTAAAAATTTTTAAAATAACCGTGAAGATAGCAGGTTTACTTCCAGAATCGATATATCAGCTTCGGATGATGGGAAGAATCGCAAGGTTAAGATGTTGTTAATATTACTCGATGGGAAGTCCGCTATCTCAATAATAATCCATTCATGGATGCGGTTCGTAATTTGGAGGGGTCTGTGAATAAGAGAGCATACAAAACGAGAGTACAGCTAACGAGAGAGGTTGTGAGGATTTGACATTGTATTCGACTCTATCTAATCACCATCTCTCTCGTCTTCAAGGGGATCTCGCCCATCGTCTACTTCAACCCAATGATGTCCCCGCTGGAAGAACAAGACCTCGTTTCCCCAGCTCCACCAGCCCGCCGTCAGATTCCTCGCGAACACTTCAAGACCTACATTTTCCTTCGGTAGAATGTCTTCGAACAGACCCCGAAGATTAGGTTTCCTCGAGTGGATGTCGGGTACGCCCATCATCACCCTCCGACTCGTAGGCAGTGAGATCTGACTACCCGTCCTCCGCGCTATAAGCAGTCGCTCCCACGGCTTCCGCCAGGCCGACTCGACATCCGAGATTGGCTCTCCGGTGCTCGTGATCTTCAGCCAGATCCACTCGCCGACGGGCTCGAGACCCCATTGTGCCAGAATCCCACCGGGTGATGTGAGGAGGTCTGTAACAGCAGCTTTGTTGGTTATCCAGATGGCCACGAGCCCATCTCGCTTTAAATGCGCCGCTATGGGGATTTGTTCTAGGAGCCCTCGGGCTTCATCCATGTTTTTTACAATGCCGTCTGTGTGGTAGTAGGGTTAATAATCATGATTTTGGGGCGTGTCCCTTAAGGACTGAAAAAAAAAAACGCTAAGATGATTTAATTACTGATGGTCGCTGTAGTAAAGTTGGAAATACAGGTCTCACATGGGCTCTTAAGATCTCACATACAGCTATTTGACTTCCTTTTTACGGAGCGGCTGGGCCAGGGCGGATCGAGCACGATGAGATCGAACTGCGGCGCGTTCTGGAGGAATGTGTCGCGCCGAGACTCTACGGTACCTAGTAGGTGGTGCGACCTTTCCGGAATATACGGCCCTGTCTCATCGCTCTGGTCTAACGGATGTGATGGTAGCTCGCGTTTCCTCTTCCGGGAGACATCAGCATGTACATCTGCGCGGACCGGCTCGACATCACCGGTTTGCTTCCGCGGCAGACACCACGGCCCATCGTAACTGGCTTTCACCGCGTCAAGAGCGGCTTTGACGCTCTCTAGAGTCATCAGCTCGGCGATTGCCGCAGAGGGCGACACGTATTGTGTCGTGTCTTTCTTTGGCTCCGGGACCTGCCATGGTGTGTCTCTGGGGTGGGCTGAGACGATGCGCCGTGTGATGTCTTGCCCTGGTAACACCTGTGCTTCCTCTAGAGAACGCGGTATGTCGATGACGATTGCGTTGCCATCTGGGCTCTTGAACAACACGCTAGATTCCATGATAGGTGGGTAGGTAGCTGGTTGCTTGGTTTAGTTTGGTTGGCGTCTTATGTAATCCGACCCTGCCATCGCGCAGCTTACTTAGTTTTTATGGGGCAACATTGTAGATAGTTGATTTTGTGCCATTTGGTGGTTAGTGAGAGTCAGCATCCCGCGAACCTTATCGATGACGTAATATCTGAGTCGGTAGTCATCTATTCCAAGACACTATTCAGACACTATCCAACCTACTGTGCTTGGCCATCAAGACAAAAAGCTGTCCTACATACTTAGTAAGTTTTATAGAGGCTGTCGTTGGTGAAAGTTGATTAATATCATGTCGATTATGTACCTATATATGAGATTGCCGTTATTCGATAGAAACTATAGCAATTGTTGGTAAACAAATACCGATGTGCACGCCGCGTGCTTGCATAGCCGACAAAACCGAGAGACTGGTAACACCAATCTGTAACTCCAATAATAAGTATATCGCCGCATGATCCTCCGAAACTGTCCGTCCGTGTTCAAAGACTAAGCATGTTCCTGTTGGTCTCATTTTGGAGGTCGGTCTTGACAGTTAGAAACATAGGTAGATAAGGTCCTATGACACTTGCTTTAACCGAAAGGTAACTTGCCTCGGTCAAAGTAACACGCGTATCGTGCTACGTGTACTGGTAGACAGACAGACAGAGGACACAAACTGGACATGCATTAAACCATCAATGATGGTGTTATCACTCGGCAAGTTTTCCCGGGCATGTCCAATTACAGTCCTGAATCGAGAGGCAACCGAACCGCCGGTTTAGCACTACCTAGCACCAAGTTTCGTGCTAACACTCCATCTTCAGTAATGATCACCCCGCTAACTAACACGGGGCCTGGAAACATGAAGAGATTACTGGTCCACGATTTAAGAGGTGCCAAATCATTACCGACCGATACAGAGAGAGAGAGGGATAGTCTGCCGAGTCTGCCACGAGATATTTATGGTTAACTAGGTACCTACTTTACATACGAAGTACTTATAATAGTCTCCTCATTCGTTTGTTGGAGATGACTGGCAAGGGAGCGTCAAAGGCGAGCGCAAAGATACACGCGCGCGTGAGATGACGTCCAATCAGGGCGGGTAAACACAGCGGTTCAGAGCAAATCTGGATCACAAGCGGGCCGCTTTCATGATTTCAGGGGATCAGGAGGGACCTTGTCCAGACTGTGGGGGACCACCACAGCAGACCACTGACATCAACATGCAGCGTTCCAGGTTTAGTGGACCTATGGTTGCTCTTGGCCCTGTCTTGGCTTGCGCGCGCTAGCATTTACCGGGCTAGAATCTGTTCTGAGTGTGGTAGAGAATGGCTGTTTCTGGGCTGGTGGGTGGTGCAAAGGAATCGTGAAGCTCCACCTGTGACCGGGACCACCCTTGCCACTATCCACGAATCTACACCAGGTTCCTGACCACAAGCAGACACAAGCAAACCCCAAGTCAGACCCAAGTCTACCCAAGTTACTGTACGCTAAGTCGCATGGTTCACTCCACGCAATCTTGTTTCGAATATACCTCTCCGTCCTCTTCCTCGTCTTGCCCGATCAGACGACGACTCTTTCTCTCGTCGGCCATGCTTCTTCCACCACCACCTCAGGAATATTCGTCGGGGCTGGATACTCGTGGACCGCATAGGCATTGATTGCTTTGTGTTCACATGTTGTGGGATGCATATGCTTCCTTCATACCTCCCTATCTACCTCCTTACCTACACTATACACTATCTTTGTCACACCCAACCTAGTCGACCTACGTATTAACACACCCTCTTATGCATCTATCGATCACGCTGTGTTTGCTGGGTAGTGTTTCTTATCACGAGCCAACGTCACTCTCCGAACTTTGATATATCCCTATTCTTCTTCTTCTTTTTGTCATTTTAAACCAGCCTAATATTTTTCCTTTTATTCCAAAACATTAAGCTAGCTGGCTAAACAGCGTTTTCCATCATGTCGTCTGTCGGTACGTCATCAGGCCAGCTTTGCCGGCCACTGAATATCTCCGACGGCAAAGCCTCACAGTGGACTGTTTACTAACAATGTTGGCCGTAATAGGGGACACCGACTCGGCCATGAACGACCGAGGCATCAGCCTCGTCGGTTTCATTACCGCGCTAGCTGCTTCGTTGGTCGTTTTCGGAATTCAGATGGGCTTGTTCTTACTATTGCGGAATAAGTTGGCTCGAATCTTGTAAGCTAGTCTCCTAAAGTCGGCCATCCAACATGTTCCCTAGTATCACAACTAACGAGACTCGTGGGATAGTAAGCCAAAGACGTACCTTGTACCCGAGCGTGAGCGGACTGATTCCCCACCGAGTAGCCCATGGGGCCTGATTCTGTCGTTATTCCGGCTTCGAGATCGCGAGATCATTAACAAGTGTGGTCTTGATTCGTATTTCTTTCTCCGCTATCTGCAGACCATGTTGATTATCTTCATTCCTATGGCGACTGTCATTATACCCATTCTCGTACCCATTAACTATGTCGATGGAAGAAGCCACAATTTCACCACAAACAGCACGAATTCTACAGAGCCTGATGTTACAGATAATCAAGGCAATAGTATCAGCGGCTTAGACACTCTGGCATGGGGAAATGTGAAAGATGAGAATTATCGAAGATATTGGGCCCATCTCGTCTTAGCTGTACTGGTTGTCATATGGGTTTGTGGCGTCATCTTTGCCGAGATGAGGGTCTACATCAAAGTCCGACAAGACTGGCTTACCACTGCCGAACATCGTTTACGAGCTTCTGCAACCACAGTTTTGGTGAGCGGTATTCCTGATAAGTGGCTAAACGAAGAGGCCCTCAAGGGTCTTTTTGATGTGTTCCCTGGTGGTATCCGGAACGTATGGCTTACACGAGACCTCACACACCTCCTGGACAAGATTAAGAAGCGGGATGAGGTCCACAAGATGTTAGAGGAAGCTCAGACCGAGTTGATTCGAATGGCGAAGAAAAAGCAGTTAGAGAAGAGGGAGAAAGAAGAGAAAGAAGCACGCAAGGCAACTAAATCACACCGCCCAACTAAGAGTGAGAAGTTAGAACGCCAAAAACAGGAAGACGCCGCCGCAAAACAACAGGCCGAGGAAGGCGAAGGTGTTAGCAGCGGTGATCAGCACGACGTGCCCCATGACATTCACGATGCTGAAGAAGAGATGGATCACCAGAAAAAAAGCACGAACGATCCTCTACGGGGAGTCATGACTGGTATTTCCAAGATAACTGGCGGCTTAGGCAAGGGCGTTGATGGGCTTCTTGGTGGTGCCAAAAACATTACACACGATATCGACGGTCAGATCGAGACTACCAATGGCTTTGTGGCGATAAAAACGCCGCAGGGTCGATTGGAAGTCCGTACGTCAGGTGAGCGGCATGTGCGGCTACCGCCTGATGAAGATCTCCCTCGGCCTTCTACGCAGGGTTCAGGCCGTCAAAGGATGTCCGAGGCCGAAGATAGAGTCATGGGTTCCTCTGCTGCGCGGCCGAAACAGTCTGGCAGTGCCTCTTTACATTCTGATGATGAAAGGCTTCAGAAAGAGAGTATCGAGCTGCGACAATTTGGAAACACCACTCGCAAGTTAGAAAATATTGACGAAATGTACAATAACGAGCAAGCGAGATGGTATGAGTTCTGGAAGCCACCAGCAGGTGGTTTCGCCTCCCCAATTCCACAAGGGTATGAAGGCAACGAATACCCTTTTGGTAAAAAAACATTCGGCCAAAAGCTTAAAAAAATGATCCCGTTTATGGGAGGCGAGGAAATTGGACCAGTCGAATACTCGAAGGCGTATAATGACGAGAACACGGAGGACGAAGACGGCACAGCTGAATGGGAGAAATGGATTAAAAGGTCTAAGCGGCCTACCCATCGCCTTCCCAATTTTGAATGGACACCGAGTTGGCTCCCTGGACTGCCGTTTCTGAACAAGAAGGTCGACACAATATTTTGGTGTAGGAAAGAACTTGCACGCCTTAACCATGAAATTGAGTCGGATCAACAAAATCCTGAGCGATATCCCGTCATGAAGTCGGCGTTCATCCAGTTCAATCACCAGGTTGCTGCCCATATGGCTTGTCAAAGCGTCATCCATCACCTACCCAAGCACATGGCCCCTCGCGTTGTTGAAATATCGCCTAATGACGTTATCTGGGATAATATGGCCATAAGTTGGTGGTCCGAATGGCTCCGAACTGTTATTGCAATAGGCGTCGTGTTTGGTATGATCGTCCTATGGGCTACCCCTGTTGCTTTTACAGGTTCGATCTCTCAGCTCAACAGCTTGATCCATACATTCCCTTGGCTGGGATTCCTTCGGAGGAGTGATGCGATCTGGAGAGTGGCGACTGCAGTTGCCGGTGTTTTACCAGCTATCCTGCTAGCCCTGTTGCTCTGGTTGGTACCAGTCGTTATGGATCTCCTGGCTAGGTTTAAGGGCGCCAAGACAGGAAGCCAGAAGACTGAGGCCGTCCAGCAATTCTACTTCGCCTTTCTCTTTATCCAAGTCTTCCTCATCGTATCACTGGCCTCCAGTTTTGTGGCCATTCTCGAGGGTGTGTTGAACAATCCGACCAGTATCACTGACACGTTGGCATCAAAACTCCCTTCTGCGGCCAACTACTTCTTTTCCTACATGATTCTTCAAGCACTCAGTGCAAGTTCAGGTACTCTTCTGCAGATTGGCGCACTTATTAACTGGTACATCATTTCAAAGATTTTGAACAACACAGCGCGAAACAAGTGGACAACGAACACCAAGTTGCCCAGCGTCAAGTGGGGCAGTTATTTCCCAGTCTACACTAATTTTGCCTGTATTGCACTCGTCTATTCCGTGATTGCACCCATCATCTCGATATTCGCCATTATTACATTCAGTTTATTATGGATTGCCAATAGGTACAGCATGCTGTACGTTAATCGCCTTGAAATCGATACAGGTGGCGTGTTATACCCACGTGCTCTCAACCAGACCTTTACGGGGCTATACGTTATGGATATTGCACTCATTGGTCTCTTCTTCATTCAGACGGACGAGAAAGGAATCCATGCTTGCACACCACAGGCTATTATCATGATCGTTGTGACAATTCTCACGGCTATATATCAGTTGTTGCTGAACATGTCATTTGGGCCAATGTTCCGGTACCTTCCTATCACTTTCGAAGACGAGGCTGTGCTCCGCGATGAAGCGTTCCAACGTGCTCAGGACCGTCGCCTAGGGCTCGTGGATGAGGACGATGACAGGAAAGAATCTAGCGATGGGGCTTTGCCCACTCATCGCGAGAGTGCAGATGCGCCGTCTGAATATCGGGAGAAGTACAGCCATGGCAGTAAACTCAGCAACCTCAATCCAGTTAAGGGCGTTGTGCGCGCTGGGACGTGGGCTGTGCGCAGTGGCAAGACCACTTACGATCACACGTTAGGAAGAGCAGAGAAGGGCATTAAGAATGCGGCCAAGTTCAGGGATGAACGCAAGCAGAAAGATCTTGAAGCGCAGAGAGCCATAGGTGAGGCTCTATACGGTGGGTTCCACGACGAAATCGAGGATTTAACGCCGGAGGAGCGCGATGTACTCGTCCGTCGAGCGTTTGTGCATTCGGCGCTACGAGCGCGACGGCCGACTCTGTGGATCCCACATGATGATCTGGGAATCAGCGACGACGAAATCAAGCGGACGCGAGAGTTGAGCGAGCATATCTGGATATCCAACGAGGGTACGGCCCTGGATAGCAAGGTGCGAGTCGTTTACGGGCGGGCACCACCCGACTTCTCGGAATTAGACATCATTCAGCTGTAGACTGACAAGTCGAGGGATACGGAAATGAACTGTACATAGCCAGCATAAACCGGGAGTCTTTCTTTTTTGCATTGTATACCTGGCGTACAGGTACAGATACGGAGGGAGGGATTCGTTATACCCCCATTGAAATTTGCGTTAGATATTATGAGATACTGAATACGAGTATTTGAAGTATAGAAAGTAAATGCGTTTTATATGATTTAGTCCTTTGCAATGTCAATGTTGTGTAGATGGTATATATTCATGTTAGTATGATTGTTTGAGGCCACTCAGTACCTATCTAAGTGACTTATTCGTATCACGTCGCGCTCTTAACAAGATACATTGTAACAAAGGGAGATAGATGACTCCGCTGGGGATTGAAAATATTCACAATATAATACCCCCCTGACACGTATCTACACTAATCCCATTTCCATCTTCAAGCGATCAAGCCCCAAAAGGTCACACTGTACGCTCTCCTTAAGTTCGCGAGGTACATACTCGGGCGTACAGCCGCCTCCCAAGTCAATGATGACGGCATCATCATCGGAGTTAATCATAACATTCTCCGGCTTTACATCGCCCTAGATGATGTTGTGTGCATGCTGATGTCGCAGAGTTGATTCGATCTGTCTCGCCCACTTCGACTGGAAAATTTCACGCTCGTTGCGCTCCTGCTCACTTGAATATTAGTAAAGCGTCTCGTCTTGGATATATATTCAATCAATAGGCCCATTAATGGCCCGTTGTCGTCGTCATCCTATGTTACGACGCTGGCTTGTTTTGAGGTCAGCATGGTTGCCTAGTTCGTACGTTTCCTAAACGACATGCAAGTTGCCGGCTTCGTTTTTGAACTTGAGGGCATAGGTTTCGGGGGTGTAAAATGCAAGAAGGGTAATGGGTTGGTGGACTTCGGATCTGGGAGCTGGGGCTACACGACTTAGGTAATCTCGGAGTGAACCATTGACGACCCATTCCTCAAATTCGGTGAGCAGCTATGGGTCATCGAAATCAGCTGTGAGCCTTTAAATTCTTCGAGAATGTCCCCTAGTCCTGCTAGATCTGCCGCGTTGATTCTGACTAGGAACCGTTTGCCATTTGTCATGAGATTGTATTTGATAATATCTCCAATTATAAGAGTTCGAGCATATGAAAGGAAGGGTATGCTGAATCATCTTTGATAGATTCTATATGGTTTGAGTACCGAGGAATTATAAAAAGTGGGTGAGAGAAGAGGATGCCTTGATGTCGTATGACTCTTCGTGTTGAGATGGAAGTTCATGTTTGGACTTGTTGGCTACGATACTCACTCGTGCACTTCCAGATTCTGAGAATACTGGTAGTGGTTGACAGGGGGTTAGGGAACGTCCTGGCCATACCACGTAGCTATACATTCTGCAGACTTTTATAACTCATGACCGAAAGATGACTGCCAGAGCGTACTTGAAAGGTAGACGGCGTCCACTTGTATGCATGATACGTGTGCCGTGATGTGTTCAAGTTATTATTCCTCGATACAAAAGAAACGGAAACGGTACTATTTATTTATCTGGCTGCATATCAAAAGTACCCAAGTACCTCATATAAAGTACCGGTAGCCCCACTCACACGCCGTCTTGGGGTCCCCTAGCGTCTACGTAAGTACATACATGTACCTATAAGTACAGTAGCTGGGGGACCCCTTTTGATATCTCATCGAGCGGAGGTAGAAGGTGTACGTACTTACTTTCATGGGAACTCAGCCCAAGACCTCCAGTTCTCAACATCTTGCACGTCACTTGGTGTTCGTCTCTATCTCATCAGAAAATAGGAGACGCAGCATTTTCTGTTGCTTCTAGATATTATATTTGACGTTGTGTAGACATTAATGAATACGCCGCACCCGTCGCCATCGTGCAGTTCGTCTATCTCTGTACCGCCCACCCGTGCGCCTCGAGGCTTATAAGCCGATACGCCCATCTTCGCATAATCCGTCATCCACGCCTGGTTCGATCGCTCTCTCATAAGGATCAGCCTCCGTTTCGTGTCATTGGCTCTGTGGTACTATGTACCCATTACATTCGTTTGTCGCCGGTCTTGCTCTAGTAATCCTCATCGCTTAGCCGCATTATCCATTCGCCTCAAACCCGATACTCCAACCACCGCAAGACGTGGCAGCCGTGCACCCGAAGTTGGCTTGGAAGAAGAAACAAGGTTTGCGCCATCAGACAATAGGGCTCGAGCGCCTGTGCGAGTCCTCCTGGGCGGAACGGAAACACGCAGCGTGGTACGCGTTTGTACCGGAGTCCGAACCTTGTAAAACAACTTTCCTGTATACCAGAGTAACGCAGCACTCAAAATCATTTACTCAGTAGCAACATGGCGAGGATTATTCAGAACGGCCTGAGATTTCTGTTGTCGTCTCTCATTGTCTCTCAGGCGCAAGCGTTTTACATCCCAGGTAAGTCCAAGGCCTCGTGGTCAGCTTCTTAGCTAGGAGACATCGACACCTAACGATTATCCGGTCCAGGATGGTCAATCAAAAGCTATCAGGATGGTGAACATATTCCGTTGATGGTTAATAAGGTCTATTCCGACAGCACCCAGCTACAATATGCCTATTACGACCTACCATTTGTCTGCCCTCCTACCGGCAAAACTCATGCCTCGGGTCTGCTGAGTGGCCAAAGCATATCGCTTAACCTCGGCGAAGTCCTCCGGGGAGACCGCATCATGATTTCCGATATTGATCTCACCGTCGGCCACGACAATGAATGCAGCTTTCTTTGTGATCAGCTAGTAACGAGAAGAGATTTGAGACGCGCTAAAGAGTTGGTCAAAGATGGTTATGTCGTGGAATGGATTGTAGACAATTTACCGGGCGCTACGAGCTTCGTAACGGTTGACAAAACAAGGAAATACTACGCTGCCGGCTTCAAGCTGGGCTTCACCAAATATGACTCGAGCACCGGCAAGCCTCGCTACTTTTTGAACAACCACCATACCATTGTCATCCGTTATCGAAGAGCACCAGGCCGTGCAGGCGAAAGAGGGGGAAAGGTTGTCGTAGGGTTCGAGGTATACACTAAGAGCATCGGTCTGAACAACAAGCGAGAAAATGGCTGCCCAGTTGAACTACAGGAAGTTGAGGAGAACTTTGAATTGTACATGCCTCCGAACATGACCGATGCTCTGTCTGTAGAAGAGCAACATCCAGACAACCACTATGACAATCTAGACGAGGGCGACGACGAGGATACAATAGCTATCCCCTATTCCTATTCGGTATATTTCCGAGAAGATGAGTCGATTGAGTGGGACAGGCGCTGGGATTTATATTTCGTCAACCAGGAAGAAGGTTCAAGAATCCATTGGCTCGCCATCATCAACTCTCTCATCATCTGTGGACTCTTAAGCGGAATCGTCATCATGATTCTATCCAAGACTATCCGAACTGATATCAAGGGCTATCGTGAAGGCTCTTTAGAAGCCGGCGCGAAACTGAAGAGTGGAACTCCGCGGTCTCCAAAACCGGAGAAACAGGGCCTTGGTCTTCTAGATCAAGGAAATGAAGTGGACAATCAATTGGATGACGCTTCTGATGACGAAGCCCTTGAAGACGTGACAGGGTGGAAGTTGCTGCATGGAGATGTTTTCCGACGACCGCAGTACGGGCATTTACTGGCTCCACTAGTTGGTTCAGGCACGCAGGTGCTGTTCATGGCCGTTGGCTTGATTACCCTCAGTGCCATTGGAATCCTGAACCCTAGCTTCCGGGGCGGGTTTCTCAGCTTTGGATTCGGCCTCTTCGTGCTCGCTGGTATTTTCTCAGGCTATTTCTCCGCCAAGGTTTACCAGGGCTTCGGAGGCGTTAACTTTGGGAAGAATGCTCTCATCACAGCATGTTTCTTCCCGGGTCTCCTTTTCGCGCTCGTCTTCATACTGAACTTATTCGTTTGGGCACAGGCATCCAGCACTGCGATCCCATTCGGAACACTGCTCGCGATCGCGCTTCTCTGGCTTTGCATACAGGTACCGCTCGTCTACCTTGGCTCCTGGTATGGTCACGCCCGCTCTGGGTCCTGGGAAAATCCGACGAAAACATCGAGCATTGCTCGCCAAGTGCCAAACCAAGCTTGGTACATCAAGAGTTTACAGTCGATTTTATTCGCCGGCTTAGTGCCCTTTACTGTCATCTTCATCGAGCTCCTCTTCGTCTTCCAATCTGTCTGGCAAGATAAAAGCGGCTATTACTACGTCTTCGGCTTCCTCGGCGTGGTGTCCCTCATCCTCATCGTCACGGTGGCCGAAGTCACGATTGTCACGATCTACGTCCAGCTCTGCTCTGAGAACTACCACTGGTGGTGGCAGTCGTTTGCAGTGGGCGGTGGAAGCGCCGTCTGGGTCTTCCTCTACAGCGTCTGGTACTACTTCTTCAAGCTGCATATCACGGGCCTCGTCAGCTCCATGTTGTTCTTCGTCTACAGCTTCATGGCTTGCTGTGTCTACGGACTGCTCACGGGGACCGTCGGCTTCTTGGCGGCGTATACTTTTATTCGGAAATTATATGGGTAAGCAACTCTTAACCTTGATTTTTTTTTTTTTTTTTTTTTACTTTCATCGTGATAATACCTTTGCCTCAAAATCCTGTATGCCTTGATGCTAATACTATGGTTCAATAGTGCTATTAAGATAGACTAAGTTTTCAGATGGCGATGATCAGTTACGGGCTGAATACACTATTTTATACCTAACTAGTATATAAAAAAAGTTTTCTATTTATTTATTTTGAGTGTGAATATACCTCCTGGATAGAGGGAGGTAGGAGATACTCTGTCATTATCACATAGCATCAACTAGGCGCATGAATGGAGCGGGTGCTTTTCTCTCTCTCTATCGTTGTTATCGGTGTATTTGGCTGGAGTTTTTTTTAGTTTTTTTTTTTTTTTTTTTGGGGGGGGGGGGGGGGGGGGGGGGGGGGTTTTGGGTTTTTGATTTCAAGGTGTTATTTTTTTATTAAAACAAGCAAATTATAGGGGGGTTTGTGT